TGCAAGTGATGGAGACTCGCAAGAAGAAACTAGGAGCGGACCATCCTTCCACGCTGACCAGCATGGCTAATCTTGCTTGGACATGGAAAAGCTTAGGGAGAAGTGCTGAAGCTATAGGCTTGCTGCAGGAGTGCGTTCATCTTCGCTGTCAGACTCTGCGAGCAGGGCATCCTGATCTAGTATCCTCTCAGGAAACCTTAGCTGAATGGGAAGCAGAGCAAGCAGTTAGAACTCTTGCGATAAGTTAATAATTCTGCTTTATATTATACGCACTTATTACCTTTGTAAGGCTGCGCTTACTATAGAATATATTGGAGATGTACTTGACAGTAGTTGAGGAAGTTGCAAGATTAGCACGAGTCATGTTGATACTAGCAAAGCTAAGACCTTAATACTGACGCAATGGTCGTTCGCTCGGCAGACAAGGAATATCCTTGCGTGACAAGGATCTTATACAACCTCGGAACGTGCTAAAGGTGAGACCGGTTTTGCAGGGTACTGTATCCTGTTTGTCCTGTTTGCAACTTTGCGACGTAAGTTATGTTCCTCAAACAGCTGACATTGCAAACACGCTAGCTATAAACAGTAACTGCTTCAATCCGAAGTATTACGTGCGGCGGCAATTCTGCACAAATCTCTATGCTGCACTAGGACTAGAGCTAATAGTTTATGTCTAAGTAGCTGGAGTAGGATTACAAGCCTCGGAACTCTCAAATAAGACGTATTGGAGCTGTATGAGCAGCGGGATACTACTGCTTTTGGAATGTCCTTTCTGCTTCGCGAATATGGACCTGCTGGAAGGAAGGCGCTAGGGCAACAATGCAGAGGTAATTTTGGGATAGGAACGGTGCGTCACAGAGAGCAGAAGCTATAGTACCTGCAGCATACCACAAATAGCTTAAAATTAATGCATATTCGAGGTAGCAAGCCAGCCAAGTCAAAGTACCCCTTGGACTTTTCGGCACGGCGGGTTTTTCGTTACGCAGGGACGGACGTTACACAATTTTGAGAATCGAGTTTTCGAATTTGCGAAGTCACGCTTTTTCTCGGACCGTCCACTAAGCTAAATTTTAATATAAGTAACAACAATATCTGTTCAATCCCACTGTCATTGCAAACCTATTGAGAAAACTGATCATGTGTCTCTTCATTCTGATTGCCCGTCCTCCCAAGGTCTACCCAGCCTCCGAAGACATAACACCTGAACGCCATGGACTATCCGAACTCAGACGTCGTTTATTCAAAGCCATATTCAACTGGGGAACCGACGATAATCGTTCTGAACTCTCCTCTGAACTCTCCCAAGCGGAGCCGCCGCCAGCATATCGTCACTCGCAATCTACCATCAGCGAGGGTCATGAGGAGTTCTTTCCAGCAGAGAATGGAATCATCGTTACAGAAGTGGAATAAATCACTGAAAACTCTATTCGTATTGCTTGGATATCTACAGAGGTGTATGGGCTATCATCAGCTAGAGTTGTGAGCTGTTCGCTCGGGTCTTAGTCAATATAAAGTCATGGTGCTCCATCCAAGTTACCGCATGCCTGCAGGGCTCCCATCTCATCAATTGAGTCTCATTGTATCATCTCCGCTGATTATGTTTACATTTGGTGATCACCTGACTATGACTAATATGCTCATACACCCGTGGGGAGAGTGGCAGAGACAAGAATTTAGATTTGATGAAGCAGCGAGCAGGATCATCAACACATCGCAATCGGAGGAATCATCAGAAACGGTGTATTCTTAGAGTATTTGTCTCCAACCTTTGAAGAATTTCCTCAAAAGATAGTTACAATAGCCGCAATTTGGGATACCGAACCAACCTCTGTCACCTCAATAAGGCATCTGATACTCCTTACCCCATCCGTCACTCGTGCTGAGCAGCGACCCACAAGGTCAGGCACTCAAATGTTATTAATTCTGCGAAGTGTCTCATGCATGCCGGATTTCGCATTGAGGAAGAAATAAATGCATGCTGTGCTCGTGAGTTAATGTTCAAGAAGCAGTTTGAATACCTACGGGCTTAGATAATTTGGTGGAGGCCGACCTCTCTTCGCTAAAGAGCTCATCCAAGAAATCGACCAGGACTTTACAGCCTGTCCAACGTTCCGGATCACTAAGACCAAACACTTTGTTTTGGGCTCTCTGCCCCTTGACGAAGTCGGTGCTCCTCTTCTCGGAGAGCAGGGGCCGGCCCTCCATGCATTCCAAAAGGACTAACGCAAGGTCGTTGAGATCTTTGTGTGACTCAAACGATGTGTCAAGTATTGCAGCCGACGTAAATTCAGCTAGATATAGTCAGTTGTTGAGCATAGATGTCAAGAACACCACTAACACAGCACTAATCGAAGATCAGGGACGGTAAGACGGATCGAACTCAGATTGATGGAACGGTGACTAATCTTATGGCGTGCAAGATAAATCAGAGCATCGAACATCTGTAATCAAAGATCAGCATGAAGAAATAGTCGAATGTTTCGCGAATACGTACAGAGCATGCAATGTAGTGTATTTGTTGCTCGCCTGGCTTTAAATTTACGTACAAGACTTCAAGGAGCGTAAAGCGGCAATATTCGATGCCCAGTCTCATCTTCTGTTCATGAAGATCAGAAAACATCAATCTCGCCACGTTTCTATGCTCCAATCGTTCTAGAATACTCTTTTCGCGTAGTCCGGCTGTTCGAGAAACTTCCTTGACCATGACTACAGTCGAAAGGCTTTTCAGGACACAGACAGTCCATTCGACACTATGCTGCGTGAATTTCCCCAGCGTCTGCATTGCATCCCCTTCGATGGGGCAGCGAGTTTTTGTGTCAAGAGGCTTTATGGAAGCCACAGACGCACCCCGCGTAACTTTCGTAGCCAGGATCGGTTCACAATCTTCATCGACATGGCGCTTGTTATTTGAAGCTACATGGATAGATTTTTGTTTTTGGAATAATGCTGATTTTGTTGGAACATTTGGTCTGCTCAAGTCTAGCACCCGCTGCGGACGTGGTAGACGGCTGAAGGCACTTTCCAAACTGTTGGTAGTCATGGGAGAGTCTTGTTCCGTCATATCGATGGGCAATAGGGTGCGAACAGCGAACACTATGTGACTTAAGGAAAGATTCAACTCTTACAGCAAAGAGTCAGAAATACAGAGTCCAGATCTAGAAATCAGCCTTTTGCGAACGAACACCAAGTAGCGAAATGGCAAAACGTGTTCATGAAAATGTGTACGCATTATCCGTGTTGCGTTTTTCATTTCCTTCAAGGGATGCGGTCCCACACATACATATCCTCGCGCATCCGGTGCAGGATGCCAGCCAGCATACCAGACCATTTCTGAACAACTCAGTTTACTCACAAATCAGTAATAATGTCCATGTCACATTCACTCCCTGCGTTGCTACCTAGACAGGGAAACGAGCAAGCAGCGGAGCAGGTCGGACTGTCTTTCTCTCCCATGTCGCCATCTACCAAAGTAACTGAGCGTGCAAAGTCCGACCCGATCGCCCGTCATCCACCCAATCCCAACGCCGTTGAGCATCCTTCCAATCCCATCATCGCTCAGCATCCGTCCAATCCCATCGCTGAGTATCCATCGAATCCCACTATCGCTCAGCATCCATCAAATCCCATCGCTGAACATCCATCCAATCCCATCGCTGAACATCCATCCAATAATCCGATCGCTAACCATCCGCCCAATCACCTCGCTCAGCATCCAGGAAGCCAGCTCAACGTATGGCCATCCCAAATAGCAAGCAACAACGCTACCTGGTTGTTGCCACCTCACAATGATCAAGCTGCAGCCCTCGCTATGATGCTCCGCACTGAAATACAAGCACATAATATCGCTAAGGAGATGCTTCACGCTACAGAGCAAAGAAGACTCGAGGTCTTCAATATCTGCAGTCGTCTGTCCATTGAAGTGAGAGGCTGGGAGGCAGCTTATAATAGTATGACAGAAGCACTCCAGCGGTGTTCTGATGAGTTCTCCAGGATCAGTGCAGAGAATGTATCTCTAAAGACGCAACTTCAAATCTCACTTAGACAGGTATGCAACATGCCCTTGGTGTAGGGACACGTTTAAATTGACTGTAGACCTAGTGTGATCTTGGACTTGCGACCTCTACACCTACAAATGACCAAATCCTAGATTTACGTAGCAAGCTTGCTCAGCAACAAAACGGATACAGCGCTTGAGACGAGGAAGACCCAGACGAGGACTTTTTTTGAGTTCGGATGCTGCTAAAATGCACCGGTGTCGTCACATTCCCTTCTGTAGCCACCCATCATTGTTCCATCCTGCAATTTGAACGCGTTTCCATCAATCAGGATACTCAGTTATTATTGATTTGATTCATTCGTCGCATCGTCATGTAGTGTCAATTTTAATCGCTTTTTCACAACAGACTGATGTTGCCCTTTGGTCATGAAGCCGCATAAGTCAATATTGTTTACCCACGAGTGATGAGACGCACGGTGTGAAGGGACATTGTAGGAGCTGTTTGACGATTAGTTATTGGTTAACTTAGTTATATCATTTCTTTAACAAATCGTTAATTACTCCTTTCACTTTCGCTGGGCATGTGTCATGATTCATCGAGACACGTTGTGCCATGTTTGGTTCAAGCATAATGATCACATCCACACTTACAGCCACGAAGGCTAAAGGTCGTCATCTCATTGGACAGTCGCATTGGCCTCGCACGACGAGACATTGCAGGTTTGATTGGTAAAGCCATCTTACGAAGTGTCATAATAATTACTATAAGCTCAATTATCGCGTCCATATATCCTCGCTATCCCAGTCTTCATCGCTCCCACAGTCCTCCCCCTCTTCGTCCTGATTGCTTCCACAGGACTCCTCGCTCCAACAGTCTTCCTCACTCTTATCGCTCCTCCTATCATCGATTTGCTTGTCCACGAGCACAGAAGGAACAGCAATTCTTTCGTCATCAATACCCAGATATTTTCGACGTTTTCCGGTCATAAAGTTGCCGGTGGTCCTCTGAAGTAGAAACCCTGTCCTCGGAAGTAGAAGCTCTGTCTTCTGAAGTGGGATCTCTGTCCTCGGAAGTGGAATCTCTGTCCTCTGAAGTGGAATCTCTGTCCTCTGAAGTGGAATCTCTTCTGAAGTGGAATCTCTGTCCTGACGCTTGCCTAATATATCCGCAGGCTTGATCAGGTTGTGGATCTTATGAACTGTCTGAAAATGTCTTCGCATATCAGAGACTGAATCGCATTGTACTTTGCACAACGGATCTGGACATACTCCTCCTTCTCTAGGAAATTGGCTTAGGTGGCCCTCAATATGACTTTTCAGATCACTTGTATTTTCCCAGCGCGTTGTTCGGCACCAATCGTTGTCAGGCCAAATACATCTTCCTTGTCGAATCATTAGCCCACGCCAATGTAAAACACCATACACCGGACTCTTGGGATTAAAGTGCTTGCAGTCATGTCTAGTCCTTCTCTTCCAAAACTCGGCACAATCGAAGCAAAACCTGACGTCAGCACTATTGCAGTAGCATTCCAGCAGATGCTCAGGCCATGAAGCAGGTCGCCCCACTGAGGCCCGAGAACTACTGCAATAGCAACATTCCTCGTCGGCACTCTTTGGAAGGTCTGGGATGGGATACATGGCTCGGAAGGGTTCAGGGTTGGCCAGGGCCACTAGGGGTCGGATGCAATCTGTGAAAGATACCTCCTTCGAAGACCAGAATGCATCAATCACTTCCGCTTGAAGATGATTGTACTTGAGCATGTGCTTGAACATCTCAGAAGGTTCTGGCCTGGTGCGGACGGAAACCTCTGGCGCGCTTGCATTTCCGTTCAATTCATCCCCTTGATTCCCCATACTAGATGTGATCTCGTTCTTAGAATTGGCAATATTGGAATATTCTTTGCGGTCTTGCAGATACTGCTCCCTCCGAGCCTTCCTGAGAATGGTCTTCCTATCAGAGTTTGGGTTGTCTTTGACAGTTTGAGCAAGGATTTCGTCTGAAGGTAGATCGCGTGCACACAGGTGAGAATTGTTCGCTTTTGGACCGCCAAAATCTCTTGTTGAAGCAATGCTTTGTGAGTACTCATTGTACTGATCGTCGATAGGCTCATCATAAGCAATGGCTTGCGCATCGACGCTTATGGTAGGTGCTGCATACGCATGCCAGGTACGTTCTCCTTTGTGACTCAACACTTCTTGTGTACCCTTTTGGCTTGCATTCGCTATAGTATCGGTTTAGTATCATGCGCCTGTGTTGCGAGGATGGCTTTTACCTTCTACTTTGTTGGCAACCCCTCTTCGAAAGGTATACGGTGTGACGGGTTCTGTGTATCCACAATCTTTGCAGAGCTCTCCAAGCATCAACGTTATTGATATAGCGGTCGTTGCTGCAGTCTCTGAAATTTTTTCTCCTTGGAGCTTTCGAAATATTGGAGTATTCTTCTTGCACTCTTTGATCTGAAAGACACGAGAACCAGCACTGGAATGAACCCAGCGGCGCTCGAAGTCCTTGAGCTCCAAGCCGTCAGCAAAGACCTCGTCAGCCAATGCCAACGAAAGAAACCATCTGATAGGACACTTAGATCTCTCCGCAGGGTTCTCATGCTCTCGCAGTGTTATGATCTTCCTATTCAGAATTAGCCTAATCGCGTAGCTCAGGCGCCGATCTCACTTACACCTTGCCTTCATGCCCTCTATTGAACTTCCGATTCCGTAAGGCAATCTTGAGTTGATACCTGAGGTTTCCGTTCCATGGAACAAGGCTCAGAGTGATATCGCCGTAATGTATGCTCTCGTTCGAACCACGATGAGAAGAAGACTCTGTTGTTTCTCCTGTGCGAAGACCCCATATAGCGGCAATATGAAGCCAAAAAGAAAGTTGTATCATGCATCGAGGATGTTTATAAACACGTTCATGGCAGTTCCACATATAATATCGAATGTTTTCGGCATCTGGAGCATGTGCTACAGACTTCGGCCTCGCGGCAGTTGAAGCTCCTGACAGATGTTCGATGAACTGGACCACTTAGTAAAATCGGGGAGCACAGGTGTTGGAGCAAACCCCACATGTTTTATGACTTTGTCATCTTTCTCGTCCAACTGAAATCCTATCGAGAGGCGGAGGCATCGCTTTAATTGTTGATACTCTTTCTTCAACGTAAGGACAGTGATTTGTGAACCCAGCCTTGCTGTTCCTGTTATTACCCTCCATTTGATATAGGCCTTTATCCAGGGTACTTTCGGTGCGTTTTGGAATGGCTGGACAACTTCTTGTTCTTTGAAAGGAGAAGGTAAGTTGACCGCAAATCTAAGACAAGCGTTTCTTTTAGCAATGAACACTTTCGTGATTCGTGGACCGCACCTTTTCCATAATTTGAGCATGCGTTTGATGCCGTCTCGCTCATAAGCATGAACTGCATCTTCGAAGGATGCAGGCTTGTCGTTGCCCGATGCTATTGCTGCAATATCGTCAAAAAGATCCATGATGGCAATAGTAGGAGGTCATCTCGTAGGTGAGTCGGAACAATACATCCCAAGTCATGTTCTCAAATGCAGGAAACGACCCTCGTCGCGAAAAACCAGGCTGTGTTGGTGATTTTCGTGATTTCATTTTCCAAAATCTGCAAGGTAAGCGCCCTTCTGATTTGCGTGATCCTGGATCCAGCATCCTGTACGTGCCTGCGAAGAGCATTTTTATACAATATCAAATTCTAGTAATCGTTACATAAAAATAGATTTCAGCTTCAACAACCTCTATATAATCAACAATGGGCTGGTAGTTCCACTAAACCACAAGCCCTGTTGGCTGATTATGGATATTCGATTATTTATTTGGTAGTTATACTCCAAAAAAAAATGTGCCTGGAAAGCGCGCCTGTACCTCATCTTATTGTTGGTTGCAGGGCAGGAGGGCGTACACGACTCAAAGTCCAACCAATTAGAGCCTTCCAGGAAGCACAGCACAGACCTCTCCGACACTTTGGGAAAATTATCCTCTTAAACCACAAGCCCAGTGACTGTTTAATGGCATATCTCTACAACCAACTAACATATATTATCTAGACTTCGAAGTTTTATTTTCGCAAGCTTCTGGGTGTCTTATACAGACGGCATGTTCCTGTGCAAGGTCCTGAATTTAATGGAATCGGCGAAACTGCTCCTGGTTTATGGTTTGCAACAAAATACAATCGTGGAGAAACAGCCAAACTTCTTAAAGACAGACTTCTAGAAAATTGCAGGAGATAAGCTTACGCTGCCTATTAGAAGGAAATATCTTTTTGTTAATGCAACGCAGTTATTTAAAGCACAGTTTCATAGGAACGACTATAGTCGTGAAATACGTTAGATTTAACAGAATATCACACACTAGGATATTTATTCTAAAGGTTTTAGGGGAACATACGTTGGCCTATAGACAGCATTTAACTTAAATAAAAGCTACGGACTTCAGGAGCTGACCATGGTATTTCGGGATATCGTTGAGGATTTGCGTTGTTACGACTTGGACGGAGATGTAAAGGTATGGCAAGATTAAGTAGTACAATAAAGGTCTCTTTTGTTCTCTTCTTTCCTGTCTGTTCTTCTTTCCTGTCTGTTACCTCTTCCGAGTTACTGCGTTTATGATTTTCATAGTTTGCTTTACAGCATGCCGCGAAGATGAAGCTATTCCCGTAAGATCGAACCATTCTCACGACATGCCAACCTAAAAAGCCCCCACCATGCCAACGCTTTTCCCTTGGATCCCTTGATATCCTCCGCCCCCGCACCTTGCAAGAGTGATGTTAGTCACGTCCATGCTATAAGCAAGTATCTATCACATCCGGCATCGGATGGGCTCCGTGTGCCAATGACAATGATAAGGAAGAGTCATCGGTGCAGGATGGTGTTCCAGATAACCGCGGGAATGAATCAATTTTAAAGTGCTTTCTGCTGCCATGTAACCTCGTGTAGCAATTCTTGTGTAGATTGGTGCATGTGCGTGAAGAAGCAACGGAGGACGAGGTGCTATGACCCTTGTCGATCGAGGTAGTTCCGAATCTGATGTGTTCTATGATCAACTGCGGTACAAGCGCTTGAGCCGGTATCTCTGACAAGCACCTTGTGGTCGGATCGGGTGTTCAGATTCGACATGGGACCTAACAGTCAACGGATATTGAGTGTTACAGCAAGGTGATGTCCTGCAGTGGTTTATTTCTTTTTGATACTTGTTCCGCTCTTACAAAGACGGACATGATTGTCGTTGGTGTGAGATTCGTGTCGTCTGAAAACGCAAATGATCATCTAATCGGAACATGATAGAAAAAGAAAGGAAGGTGGTTGCACAGCGTGAGCTACGAAAGAGATTACAAACAACTGTCGGCATTACCCAACGGAATTGGCAATCTGTTCACTGGATCCTGCTATCGCCCCCATTAGTCTGCACTCCCCTCCTCACACTGGCTTCATTCTAAGTCTCTGACTGGATCAAATGGTCTACTGGCGGGCGGCGTTGTCACAGAAGACGAATTAGCGGTTCGATCTCTAACATTCCTTTCTGCATGGCTTAGCATATGTAGTCAGGATAAACGGGAGAGGGCACGCACGAGATGGCGGCCGCATGAGCTTTTCCAGTCGCCAATCAAGGACTTCTTCGGAAGCAGGCTTCAGCCCACCGCGTTCCAGTCCCTTGTTTACATCTTCAAAATACTCTCTTTTGTCCTTTGGTGGAACAGTTTTAAAATTAGTCCAACCTTTACCAGAAGACTCTAGTGTAGTCTTTGTTACTTGCTACACGTTTTGTTAGTGTAGATCAACACTAGCAATAATCAAGTTCTTGCCAGAAAATAACGCCAGTCAACTTGTTTAATGTAGCCTGACTCTTGCTTCACAACCTCGGCAGATGCATGAGTTGGGACAGGCATATCTGTCGGTTGGTTAAAGGCGTGCTTGCGTCCCTTACTGAGAATCCTGAAAATTCGAGGAAAACGACAGCGCCGACAAACACAAGTGACAAGCGGGGTCCGCGTCACGGGCTGCTCTTGGCACTGATCAAACAATCCGATCTATGGCAAGTCCAACCAGGCGCTCGTCAAGCTATTTAGAGAGGTAAATCCTAGGTATCTAATAACAAATCTTAGGTTAAGGAACTCAATTCATGCTAAAGGAAAATTATACCACTAAACTACAAGCCCTGTTAGCTGATTATAGATGTTCTTTGTTAACATCAGTAACTATATATACTTCAAAATTTTAGTGCGCCTAGGAAGCACGCCTGTACCTCATCTTATTGTTGGTTGCAGGGCAGGAGGGCGTTCACGAATCTTAAGCGAAAAGGACAAACAATTAGAACCTTTCCAGGGAAGCACAGGCCTCTGCGACACTGAGGGAAAATTATCCAGTTGAACTACCAGCCCATTTGCTGCGTAACATAATAATTTTGCCTACATGTATCGCATACTCTATACCTAGGTAGTTAGTAACTTTATTTGCATTTTTTTGCGCCCACCTTTAGATTCTTTTCTGTTTCTGAAAACAATATCTTGAAATTTTAATTTTGCTCTGTTTAATACCCAGTGCTAGTGTAAAACACGCTTACTATAGTGACAGACAGGCAAGAGAGCAACATACGATGCAGCACAGCAGTAGCAACTAGACAAAATCATTGCGCAGCAGTATCAAGGGTAAAGAGTTGACTGCAGATCCTATCACTGCATAAACACCGAGTAGTTGATAATGTCATGATTTGCGCAATCTTGTCGTGGCACTTAGCAATAAGCTCAAGACTGGCTTCTGTTGTAAGATTAATTGGGCTCTTCCTTGGGAAAGATCGAAGAGTTGTGTGCAGCAGCCATGCACAAACAGCAGGGTGTGTATTCAGTGCAACATTGCGCTACCATCTCCATCCTCTAGTCCCTTCTCACAGACGTAGCACCCAACATGATCAATGACTGGACGCTCCTGGGCGCGAGAAGAGTCTTTTTTTTTTGCCCCAGAGTGTTAAGATTAACGTCGCACACATCAACCAGGCCGATTATAGATAGAGGAGGGTTGTATGAATCATACTCTTAGCACCTGATTCGTTTGAACTGTGTCCTGATCCAGGTAGGCATTAGTAGTATAATCACCTCGTGACTTACCGTAATACATGAACATTGACAATCTGAGCACTGTAAGCTAGCACCTCAAGGATCATTTTCGGTTAACAAGCCCATGAGCGAATACTCAAGAGGGGGAGGTTGGTTCCGAGGCAAAATGAAATCATTTCGTCGGTCTTCTAGCTAAAGCAGCCCAGGAATACTATGTCAAACCCCGTCGTCATCTTTACCACCTAGATAAGGAAAGGTACCTCTAGGTGACAAGCCAGATAATTACAATGCCTACTTGCACTGTTTCAGAGAATTGCGCGACAACTCCAATTTTATGTAGCTGTATGACCTCATGTTGGCGAGAGATTTGGTTGCTCCAGGGGTTAGTTCCGGTTATATATGGGGCTGTCAGCAACTTGCAGGAAGCGGGGCTACATTCCTTGTGCTTGCTCGTCGACTGTGCCTACATTGCATTAGTGCGACAACCTTTCTTGAACATCATAACAGATTTGCTCTAGAACAACATGATCCTTCTGTTCTTACTACCACCAAAAAAATACTAACGTTGAAGTGCTTTAAAATGAAACTCGTGCCCACAAAAGCTCCTGCTGCATCCTCTATCTCATCGTTGATCTACTATCTTCACTCTCAAGCCGTAGGAAGATGACAATTTACAAGCTCGCCAGCCCTATTGACTGTGAAGTGGCCATTGACGCCAGCGTTCTCCGGGGTAAAACTGCCATTGTAACTGGAGGTACGTAAGCGATTTCAGAAAGGGCGATTCCTACTTGTTGCTAATGTGTGTAAAGGTGCCAATGGCTTAGGAGAAGCATACGTTCGTGCTTTGTGCGAGGGCAGGGTAAGTTTTGGTTCATGCTGTCAACAGAAGGAATAGGTACTTAATCTTAACCATAGTTGTATCGTCGTTATTGGTGATCTCGATGCATCAAAGGGGTATTGTTTGGAATCAGAATTGGAAAAGTAAGGTGTAGAAAGGTATAGTCATATCTGCTGGCACCACTGCTCACACGTTAAGTGCAACGTTCGTCAAGTGCAATACTACAATTTGGAAAGACCAAGTCAACCTATTTCGCGAAACAGCGAATATAGCTCCAGATGGCAAGATATCGTTTGTCATTGCAAACGCCGGCATTGCCAGTGCCGACGACGTCTTCTCTTACGATGGTAATGTTCTTCATCAAAGAGAGACCCTTACAGTCAGCTGATCTGAAGCAGGTGGTGAAACAGAGCCACAGGTGCCTAAGCTTGACATGATCGATGTTAACATCAAAGGCGTCCTCTATACGACCAAACTTGCAAATCATTATTTCATCAAGCAAAATGGGCAAGATCCCAACAAGGAGCAAGATGACACGTGCTTGATCCTTATAGGCTCTGGCGCTGCTTTCCTTGACTGCCCTCGAGGCCCACAGTATGAGGCATCCAAATGGGCAATGAGAGGTCTTATGCATGCGCTTCGGAGAACTACTTATCACTATGGCAGTCGCGTCAACGTGATCTCGCCATGGTACGTGCACACGAACATTCTCCATCGAGAGAAGTTCAACCACATCAAGTCCTTTGGCATTCAGTTTGCAGAGCTCGAAGATGCTGGGCAATGTCTCTTGCGAATTTTAAGCGACCCGTCAGTTAATGGTCGCTCACTTTTCTTATCGGCGAGGAAATGGGCTCCCAAGGGCTACCTTGATCTGGATATCGATGATTACCCGGAAAATGATTTGCTGCAGGAGATACAGAAGGAACAGATCATGGCCGCGCCACCGGAAGCTGGTCTGTTCCTCTAAGGAGATATGGAGTATGAGAGACGAATAATAGTCGTCGGGTATTCACATTATGTTCCATAGGGATCTATGGTAGTTTGTATCAAATTGAGACGACTCTGATTCAGAGTATTTGCCAAGTCGCTGAAGTCCATACATTTGGATGATCTTTTTTACCATTCTATCAATCCCCGTTGATTTCCTCCATGGAACATTAGAAAAGGTTCAGAGAACCCATGAGAATTGCAATCTGGTATAGTACAACGTGTATCAACACTCAGACCTCCCCAATTCGGCTGTCAGTAACGTGCCTCTATGGATCCAATCGCAGTGGGCCCTCGCCTCTTTGGGCCCGCCACGAATTTGAGCTTTGAATCAATTCCGGGCAACCTTTTAGAAGCCAGCCATAATTGTCGTGGAACTCTTGGGTAGCCTCCCACCCATAGGGATCCCATGCCTCGCGCCAGATGATCAGACCTTGTCTTGTTCTAGGGCTGTTGCAAACTCCTACCAACACTCCCGAGAGGCGGTTTTCGTCGAAATTGTTGTAGGCCATGAGCATATTATCACGCATGGCAGGGAAAGGGAAGAGGTCTAGCCATGGATGGTGTTCCACTGTCCGCTGGAGATGGGTAGGACGGAGGCTGTCTGGCACGTTGCCGTTAAAGTGTCCTGTATAGATGGCAGAGACGGCATTTTCGTCGAACAGCCATGACGATGACAGATTGAGACTCTTCATATTCATCAGGAGTCCTCGAAGAACATTGAACTTGACCAGAGAGAGAAGGAAGTTGCATTGCGGGTCGCCATAGAAGAACTTAATCCACGCGTATTGCTCTGCCTCCAGTATTTCGCGATCTATATCCCTAGCTTCACGTGCAGAAGTGCCAAGACCTGACGCCTTCTCTACTCCTAGCAATTCTTCGTTCCGCTGGCGCATCCTTCTTAGTCGCTGATTTCTCCTGTTCTGGATCTTGCGTCGTCTTTTGGGGTCGGTAATTCCGGTCCAGTCATCGGGAGACGCCACATGAATATCGAGTTTCAAAGACGGGAGAACCCTTTCGAGCTTCGACGTGAGCTCTTGGTTGGACATTGCGCGTTCTTGGGGCGTTGTCTGCAAGCACGGGAAGAGCATACCGCCCAATTTATGCAATTGGGTGATGGGTGCGGCGGCGATCTTACTGGACTCTGCGTCATATCTGCGTGTGCAAGCCCCGGCTTTTACCGCGCTAACGTAAAGATAGGTGAAAGTCTTTCCCCACGCACACCACGCTAGACTGCTTGGCCGTCAGCAGTCTGCATTCTTTGGGCCGGCCAAGGCGCCGACAGTGAATACATGCATTGGATTATACTACGGCCAGTTGCTATGTTCGTCTCCACCGTCAATCCCCGATGCCATAATTTCATGACGCAAGCTATGGCAGTGCAACATGCCATGATTCATTTCACCAGCCATAAAGGGAGCAAAGCATTGTCCTAAGACGACAGCATAAACAATTGATTCCTTCTTTACGCATCCGCTTCCAAATAGGCCTGGCGATTGGATTCAACAATATGAAGTTCACTACTCAAGCTTTTCACCAAATGAGCATGATGAGTATATTCATGGCCTCAGCAACAGCCCAGAATATGTCCTACGGAGCCAACAATTTCTACCGCAGCGATCTAGTCACGCTCCAGCCGATCAATTTTCCCAATCAGTTCGGACACACCATTGCGGGCAACCTTATCATTCCTAGGGACTTCAGCAGCAATCATCCAGCCATTGTTGTCAGCCACCCTGCGGGAGCCGTCAAGGAACAGAGTGCGAACCTGTATGCCACCAAGCTGGCTGAGCAAGGTTTTGTTACTATTGCTCTGGACCACCCCTTTTTCGGGGGCAGCTCGGGTGAACCACGTCAATCGGTAGCTCCAGAGCTTTTCACAGAGGCATTCAGTGCGGCGGTCGACTATCTCGGCCTGCAGGACTTCGTCGACCGCGAGCGCATTGGTGGGGTGGGTATTTGCGGAAGCGGCTCCTACATCATCAGTGCGGCCAAAATTGATCCTCGCCTCAAGGCCATTGCCACATTCAGTATGTACGACATGAGGTCCAACTACCGCAATGGCATAAGGAACGGTACCAGCGCCTCAGCGCGCAAGGCAGCCATAGCCGCGGCTGCAGAGCAACGCTGGAACGAGGCTGCAGGTAGCGAGATCCAGTACAGTCTTGGAACGCCGCTTGCCATCACAAATGAGTCAACAGCCATAGACCGCGAGTTCTTCGATTTCTATCGCACCCCTCGCGGCCAGTACACTCCCCCAGGGGGCCAGACAAACCTGACCACCGGGTCGGTGTCCACCAGCCTTGTCAGATTCGCCAACTTCTACCCCTTCAACAACATCGAGGACATTTCACCCCGGCCCCTACTCTTTGTTTCAGGCGACCAAGCCCACTCGCGTGAGTTCAGCGAAAATGCGTACAGGCTTGCAGTAGAGCCTAAAGAGCTCTTGTGGATTCCTGGCGCTGGCCATGTCGATCTCTACGATCGTGTCGACCTTATTCCCTTTGATAAGCTTGCCGACTTCTTCCATACTAACCTTGGCGCCTAACGAGCGGATAATGATAAGGGGTTGAGTTTTCTTTCATGTAGCAAGTTTATGTAGTGGACGCACCAGCTCCACGGCGACTTCTGTCTCCCTCTCATTAATATCAACACGGTGTGCATTAATCGTCGTGCCAAGTAACTACGATAGAATAGAAAAATACCTACCTTGGAAATGTCATTCATCGCGTCCTCTTCAACTTCATCTCCCTCATTTCTTCAATGAAATCTTCTCCAAATCCAATAGATCAATGCAGTATGGGCAAAGGCCACAGCAGGGTTGAAGTACCTGTTATCAATGTTTGTAGCCAGGTATGGTGAACACTCCGCTCGTTCCGGTCCACCACTGGCCATGTTGTAGATAGTGTTGGCTACTTCGTTAGTGGCCCTGAATAACATTGTTTGATCTTAACCCTCACTCGTCTAAGAGTCGAAGCTTCCCACCAACAGTAAGAGGAAGAAGCAGACAACTACCTTCGATGATAGAATCTATTCAGTAGCATGTGGTAGCATGATAGAATATCACAGATCGATCTCTGCAGTCGACAGGTATATAACTCGCATGAAGATATGGGCTTTGAGACACAGAATTTGCGGAGAGGGTTGAAGAACAGAGTGAAGAAAATTGCAATAAATGGATGTCCTCCCAGGTGGCACATGGAAATGATTTAAATCTGATTGTATCATAAAATTCTTATTTTGCTATTAGATTCTCCCTCGCCTGGCTGAGACTAAATGGGAAAATCAGTAAGAAGGAGATTCAAGTCTATTAAAATTGGTCAAAGATCGATAGTGATTGTATACATTCGGACTTCAGACGCCGTGAGTCTGATTTGTATGAAAAAGAAAAGCCCCTTTTCAGCCGAATACCTTCGAAACTCCTACTATTCCATGTTGTAATGCTTTTGGGAATTCTACTAGCTGGGGAAACGAATCCAAAAATTGGCTGAAGGCTTCTTTTACGGCATGTCGCTGATGAAATGAGCAAGGTAAGGCTGTATGATTATAAGGGGATTTGCAGTATGGTTATCCTTCTGTCAGCAAGAATTCATTCCAGCTAATCAACTTTATGACAGATTTGGACTTTCCGCATCCTCAAAGGGTAACCTGAAGCAGGTAGACAAGTCAGATAAGAGAACAGATGAACTGGCGGAACTACATGCACGCGACAACTATCAAGCATCCAGAGAATTCAAGAGTACAATATCTCTCATCGTAGTTTAGATAGAGCTAAACAGACTAGTGTGGGATTTGAGCTTTGTTGAATTGTGTTGTTTATTCATTCTTCAATCATTCATATTCTTTCAAGAGGAGCTACATAGCGGCCAAGCGTTGCAGTCTTTTCCTGATTAACAGTGGGCACAAGAATAGTAGTCAGTCAGCTCCAGGCAGTTTGCCATTAGAGAAGTCCAGCCTATTACTAACACTCAACTATGCATAGTTTTCTGCACCCATATTGCCTATATCCATGTTGTTATTCTTTCAATGATACATAATTTTCCTTCTCCTCGTCCCTAGGTTTGGACCGATCAAAACATTAGCGAAATTTAGACTCCTTTGAGCGCATTTTTGGCATCAGAAAAGTGTCGAAGCAACACTCCGCTCGCATCGATAGTACAGTTGACGAGCAGTAGAGTATGTACTTTAACTAACAGAGTGCGCAAAAAATCGGAGAATAAAGACAGACGAGTTCTTGCCGCTTGCAAATGCGCTCGGTTTGAGTACAGAGTCGATCGTGTGGCCTTTCGCGCATGCATTTTGGAACAAGCAGATGTACTAGATAGACAGGACGTACTGCCGCCGGCCTTGCATGATTGCGGGTATGTTGACGACTACAATTTGGGACGATGCGGATAGACTAGCTACCCATGATAACTATAGCAGCTAGCTAATAGTTCTGTTCGTCGCTGTTTGTATCTTTCTCTTTAAGGAGATGAAATAAATGAATTCAAGAGTCGTCTGCTGCGTTATAAATGTGCCAGCAAAACCAGTTGCGAAGATTGTCGTGAGAGTCGTGGACGACGACTGGTGGAAGGGCTGGCAAGACGTCTCGCGCTCGAGCATTCGCAAACTTGGAGTGATAAGTGTTTCTACCGCAGAGCAATTCTGCACGTGGAAGCGCATCAGTAATGTATGGGGCAGTGCATCTCAGTGTTTTGAATAAGGTATGTACCAGGTTTCTGGTACCAATATAGTGAAGCATTCAACTTGTCTTCTTCTCTTATCAGAGTGCCAGCCTATGAGATGCCATCTTTTTTACTGCAGTTCTCAAGTATGCCAGAATTAACACTTGTGTATCATACTTCTCATTAGAAGATGAGGAGCAGATATCTCGTAATATGCTGATCAAGTCTAGCTCAGCGAAGGATTGGCAGCCGACCTTTACGATTGCATGGTGAGAATGTACGCTATCGCCTTCTATAACATGTCATCCTCAGCGGTGAAGCGTTTCAACGGCGAAATCTTTTTCATTATAGTCCAATATCGGCAATCAAAAAACGCTCCGAGTTGGTTCTGACCGAGCTTCACATAATGCGTTTGTTTAATCTTCGATCGGGCATTGCAGACGAATGCAGATGATTGAATGTAGGCTTCTCTGTTACCAGAGGACGGAAATGACATCTTACTAGCTTATTGAAGGGGTTTTACTCTGTAACTAAGATAACATGGAAGATCCACATCAATCTAATGTAAAGCGTAATTGATTATTATGTTTCTTGTTTGTAGCTACTATGTCCTTCAAGTACAGTTTGACAACGCGAATCAGTGTGTGTATATCAAACCAAAAGGTTCACTCATTTAGGACCTTCAGAGCAAAAGTAGTGTAACCATCGATAAACTATTACCAACATGTTGGACAATGCCAGGAGGTTTCAGTCATCATACTGAGAAATTCCGCGATGTCGTCTTCTCCGAGAGACCCTCATTACCGGAAAGAGGAAGACGAAACCCGACAGATCGATGACATTAATTGCAGCTTCTTAATCCCTGCCCATAGAGTCAACACATTAATATCGATCAGTAGACCCATTAACACTCCCATATGACGGCTACGCGGGCGGATGTTCCGCTGTCGATCAGCCCGCCACCCGTCAGAACCCTACCGTGTGATAATAATGGCAGCCATTATGATCCGAGAACAAAAGTCATTATTGTGCAAGTAAAGCTATATGATCTACGCGAAAAAAGGCGAGTAGATCATATAGGTCAGCTGAAGCCTTATCGCCCAGGTGTCATCAAATTACCACAACTGCAGCTTTCTTCTAGAAGAAATCCTGCCGTTAGTTTCTAACCACTGAGCACATCACTAGATCAATCACACTGCAGTTCACATGCACATAACGCCGCTGAAGGGAAGGTGGACGACGCTCTGAGCGAGTGTACATTCTGCTCGCCCGTCCACGACCAACGCATGCGTTTGCCACCCTAGCAAGCCAAATCCAGTATCGTGGGACCACAAGGCATCGTCCCCTTGCCAGAGGGCTACGGAAGCACCGATAATTCCATTCGCCCACTCTACGTCGCCGTCCACGACTATCGACTCCCCAGGGCTGCATGCGTGGATCCCACGAACCGGTCACACGGACAACAAACAGTCTCCCCATACGATTAGCACGCATAAACCCTCATTAACGTCAGGAAATTTGATGATGCCTAAATCGGCACCTAGTCGACCCTGCACTAGACTCTAATTCGCATGTCACGTCCAGCCCTAAACATGTAGTCTTCAGGGGTAGGCTCCAAAAATGGAAACGAGGATGCCCCCAGGTACCGAGATTGATCTCCTCGCTTGCATGAGGCAGGGGGGTCCGTGGGCGTGGGGACCAACGTCATCATCGTTATTATCGATGTTTATGCGATCCACGACGCTAGTTATTCGTACAGATAATCTTACGGTAAGTAGGGGTGCAGGATGGCGCTGGACGTGCGCGCGGTCGTGCTCGCATGAACGACAGCGGCCGGGATGCGAGTCGTGGGTTTTTCTAGCACGAACATGCACGTACGCACAGAACACTGATTTAGTCCTACACACATACCTACACGACTAGGCGCGAGATGCAGGGGGCAAGAGCCGAGCGGGCGACGAGGTGGCTTGCGATGCCGACGAGGGACCGTTTTTCTGCGAGGCGAAATGAGACTGGGGTTTTGTGGTGGAGTCAAGGGACGCTTCTTCGAGAAAGGTCCAAATAAGCTTTTTGGGATCGTCGGAACCGGCGAGTTTTCCTTTTTGATTTTGGGTCGGGCTTCCGTGGGGTGACACAACGCTGGGTGGTTTATGCATGGGGGAATTGAATAGGATAATTGTGGCTATGTGTGGCGTCATGTATGCATTGTGGGCATTTTCCGCCTTTGTGCAATTCTTGGATGGATTTTTTCGCGGGTTTTGGTGCATAAAATCTGCTCTCAGATAGGGTGGATTCAACTGATTAGCGCGACTGTCATTGTGCTGTATGATGTATTCAGGCTACAAGTCAGAAAAGTGACGAGTCCTCTGCAACAACGGGATGAAACAACATCTCCATACGTCAGTCCAAGGCAGATCATGTTTTTCTGCTCCCAAAAGTGCTCCTACCGAGCAAGCGAGTGTACTCGTAAGGGCGGCGTTTCAGATGCCTAAGACAAGTCAGACGTTGCATGTTTTACCTTTTCCAAAGCGATGACAACGGATGATCAAAGAACCGAGACCAAAGAAAAAGAGCTATAACCTCTGAGGATACGAACATGAAGTCATAGAGACCTCGATGGCTCCTTGAGATCAACTATTGTAAAGAAGATGAAGTTGTGTCTGGACTTGGGAGCGATATGTCACGTGCAGGCGGCGGCCTTTGGCTACCTACCTAGGTACCCAAGTGATTATCAGGCAAAGTGCTGCAACATCCTCCTTACCATGTATCGAAGATTTAAATGATGTCTCACATGTAGTTTACAGATATATCCTCAAGGGTCTTAACTTTTCGTAACCTTTCTGCATCTATTTATTCCAGTTGTGGGTTTAGGAAACAATGAACCGTTCGCGGCAATGTCCTGTCTTGTCCCATATTGATCCAATTTGTCCTACTCGTGCCACATGATCGCCCTCGATGATGACTTTACTCTGTTTTCCACATTGCCCATAACCATCTTCATGTTCAATAATAGTCGTGATGTTCAGCACTAGGTAAGTTCCGAGATGCAAATTCGGGGAGTGGAATTCTCGGCTTACCTAAGTGGGGTCCAATGCGGTCTAGACTTGCAAGTGCGTCATTGGGGATCCTCTTCCCGTGCCGACCCCGTGGTGAACCTCATTTCTTCAAACCTCCGCGTATCCTCAATGTTTCTGCTGGCTACTGTCTCACAATGAGATGGCGTCTAGCTCTGCAAAGCCGTCTGTCTTCTTCCCAAAAGCAGATGCCGCGATTCTATCCTGCAGGCTTGCGCCTGCGCCAGAGTATCCGGAAATCGTAGGGCCCATCTACGACAGTGAAAATGTCCACACGCCAGTCCTGCCGTGGTCAGCGGCCACAGAAAAGCAAAATTACCCTCCTCCAAAGGAACCTTATGGCCCAGCGAGTGCTCCTGACAGGCACTTTTGTGTCTCCGATCGGTATTTACGTGCTTCATTAGCGAAGAATGAGAGACTTCGACTGTCCATGTTGTGGTATTACACGCGGGACATTTTCAAGGAGACGGAATTTCTTTCTGGTCTGCAAGAGAAGGTCTGCATTGCCCAGGAGTCGTCTGGATGGGAGTTTGCCATCATCGGTATTCTCGACATGAACTTTTACGTCCGGCTCGCTACAGTCGGTGTCCCTCTCGGGATCTTGCCTCGAGGCGAAACCATCTGCGCACATGCAGTTTCTCAGCCTCCTGGTGTATGTTAACAATGTGCGGGTTCCAATCTCGTATTCTGCTGACCGCCGCCCCAGAGCGTATTTTTACTGCCGAGTTTGCTGGAGGACTGGAGATTCGAAGAGTCGCCCTATGTAGAGTCTGGTGGTCTTCGCGCATACGCTGGTGCACCACTCCGACTTCAGAACGAAAACGGAGACACCGTGTGCCTTGGCTCCATCTGTGTAGCCTCTCCAGAGCGCCAAGAACCCTTGACGAGAGCCCAGCAGACCACTCTAGCTCGGTTGGCCGATTGGGTGGTCTCCGACATCGTTCAACTGACAAGGGCACGGCGCCAGCGAGAAAGACGTCGCATGGTTGAACTGTTAGCCATGGCGCAAAAGCAGTCTGATGATGGATCTGACGAGCCTGTCCTTCAAATACTACTAGCTACGTATCCAAATGCGGTAGTCAGTTTACAGTCTGCAAAATCTGGCCACATTGAGGTTGAGGGTCGGGGGCCTGTACCGATCTCTGACTTAATGGAGGGGCTGTGGGAGGACTTTAGTTTCATTGACGACTTCGTTGCGACGACCAACCATCTGGAGCCTCCTGTGGATAGGGTGGTCCGTGTCATTGCCGCACAATGTGAGAGCGTGGAGGGACCATCTCTCCTCTCCGTGGCCTCAAAGGACTTCCGACTGGTATTCGACGACATCGACGCATGGTTCGTTCAGACGTGCGCTGGCATCATCTCCGAGAGGTGGCACAAGCGCGTTCTGAACGAGGTGATGCTTGCGAAGGAGAAATTCTTGCGAGGTTTCTCCCATCAACTCCGGACCCCACTCCATGGTATCTTAGGTTCTGTAGAGCTGCTAGCGGAAGAGTTGAAGTCGCGGGGTACGGAGAACAGTACGTCGCAAGCCACAGCATTGCTCGAAGCGACTGAGGCGGTCAGATCGGGCGGTGAACACAGTGTCTACCTTGACGCGATCAAGACAGCCGGACGAGATCTGATTGCGGTCGTCAACAGCATGATCACGCTCAACAGATGGGCCGATGTTGCCATCACAGAACGACAGTATGCAACGTATACTCTCCATGATGTCGAGACAGAGCTGGCGAATGAAACAATGAAGGCAATATCTGGCGATGTACGCTACAATGCCTCTGTTTTCTTCAACCACGACATCCCCCCAGATCACTGCAGTATCCGGACAGACCTCAGCCTGTTGCGAGACAGCGTGCTTCCTCTGATCATCAATGCAATCCAGAGCACGGCAGAAGGTGTCGTTGTGGTCACCATATCAGCTCGTCCACATATCAAGGAACTTGTCGTTGACGTTAAGGACACGGGCCGGGGAATCCACGTCGATCATCACAAGCGAATCTTTGAGCTCTATGAGCAGGTCGATGCATATTCAACTGGTGCTGGATTGGGCTTGACACTTGCATCCAAATTTGCAGCTCTCCTCAGGGGCACAGTGACTCTGGTATCGTCCGAGGTCGATAGTGGTTCACACTTCAGGGCCACGTTCCAGGGTGTGGAACTCACATCCTCAGATTCTTCGCTTTTGGCCGAGCCCTTGGTCCCAAAACCAGCCAATCTACCTGAACTTTTCCATGTCATTCCTTCCAAAACGCAAAGATTGTCCCTAAGCGACCACTTTGCAAAGTTCCTTACCTGCCACGGTATGCGCGCTTCAGACGATATCAAAAACTCCCTCATTGTCTTTGACTTTGTTGCCGATTCAGAGGAGCATCAAGCGACAATATCGCGTATCCCATCAGATCAAGCCGCCATCTGCCTTGTCCCCTTCCTAGAAAGGGATGCTCAATTGGACGAGTCCTACAAGAACATTGTTTATGTCCACGAACCTTTCCTTACTCGTACAATGAGCTCAGCTCTCAGACGCGCAGACGAGCTTCTCCCCTCGATCCAGGCTGATAAAGAAGATTCTACTTCTCCCTCATTAGAACCGACCATAACAGTGGCCGATGCAAACGAAGCCGTTGGAGAAACTCCGAGCACGGGCCAGGTCTCAGACATAGACAAGTCAGCCATACCCGAAGCCACATCAGTAAAGATAGAACTGCTACTGCGGCCCGCACAAGAAGGCGTAACGACCATCAGCAGAGATGATCTCGTGCCCGCAACGATCTCACCCAAGCCGGTGATCCCAACAAAAATCCCCATCTCCATCCCCAACTCTCCAAGACTCCCAACCAAACCCTTCCCAACAACCCTCCTCGTCGACGACAACGCCATCAACCTCCGCGTGATGCAAATGTACTGCACGAAGCGCAACATGCCGTACATCTGCGCCAAGGACGGCCTCGAAGCCATCACGCTCTTCCGTGCCCACCAAACCGTCTCCTACACCACCACCGCCCCTCCCATCAGCCTCGTCCTCATGGACCTCCAGATGCCCGTCTGCGACGGCATCGAAGCCACACGGCAGATCCGCGCCCTCGAGAGCTCGCAGGGCTGGGACCCGTCCGTGCTGTTCATCGTGACAGGGCAGGACAGTCCCGCGGACCGCAAGGCCGCGTCCGCAGCAGGCGCGCACGAATATTACGTTAAACCCATCAGCATGAAGATTCTGGACGCGGGGCTCAAGTCGTACTTCTCATAGCGTGCGTAGCGAAGCAAAGCGAAGCAAAGCGAAGCAAATCAAAGCAAAGCGATGCATTTAATTCCTCCTCCCCCTCTTCTTCTCGTTGGTCTATTACTCTCTTTTTCTTTTGGCATAAGGGGAGGCGGGGGATCGATATAAAAAGCAACGGAATGATCTCCTCACCCTCGCTCATTTAGATGAACAAATACCTTCGCTCTTTTTTTTTCTTCTTTTTGTGGGGGGGAGTCGGAATAAAGAGTCTTGAGACATAGATGTAGATACACGCAATTCATCATGTCAACCACATTTTGAACGCTTCATATCCTAACCCAACTAACCCCTGCAAAACTACCATCATGTCCTCTGATTAGCATCAGCATTTCACCAATCCTACCACAACTATACCCACCTACTCACATAGCCACATACCTACCAACCTCGTACACACCGCCCCATCAGTAAACACACACAGCACTACTCCATACAGCCTACACAATCCCCCAGACCGCCAAGCCCCAAGCACCCCCATCCCACCGTTTCGAAAAACTACCCGTGAGAAGCCGAACGACTTATGCGGAAGTGCCTCCGAGTGTCGTCGAGTCAATACGTCAAAATGCCATACCTACTTCCTTTTTCTTAGGTACGTCGTGAGTCGTGAGTCGTCAAAACGTAGGAGGAGGGTAGGAGCAAGCAAGGGTAAGAGGGCGTCGGCCAATCAGGTCGCGGTCGGGGAAATGAAAGGGATGAGGGTGCGGGTTAAGCGATGCATGCATGCGTTTTGTAGTTTGACTGAACAACTGCCCAGGCTGCTATCATTCATGCGATGGCGGTTGCGTTAGGTACGGTACGGTGAGGTTCTTGTTTGTCACTTTCCAATGATTTCGGGTGTTGTGAGGGAAGAATAGTAGTGGTGGTGGAGATGTTCCATTTGTTCCTAAGTCTAAAAAATACCCAAATACCAAAAACCGTAACTCTTTTATCGTCTCTTCGCTGAGTCCCAATCCGCGCCATTGTAGGATTATCATACAATAGTAGTGGTAGTAGTAAAAAGTCACAATAGCCAAAAACCCAAAAAGTATCGCATAGTATCGTGATTCCCATGATAATGTGTGATAAGACTTGCTCGCTTTACAATACCCAAAAACCCAGAAACAATCAGTAAAAGCGAATCCCTACGATTGAAGAACGCAACATCACCCGACAGCCAGCACAACATAACCCGAATTGTTTTAAAGATGTAGTTCTGATTAAAAAGCTCTGGGAGTAGTAGAAAAAGGGTTGATGAACGAAAGTGAAGAAGAGAAAGGCAGGTGGAGGTATAGTATGTGCCAGCGTCGAACCAATGTGAAACCCGCTTAAAAAAGAATATCCCATCCCATGTCATTACGTAAAAGAAACGATGCAGATGCTCGCTTCTACTGATCCCGAGGGTTCTTGTCCTCGGTCAGGAGGCTGGCAATGGGGACGTTGTCGCGCGGGGCCGAGCTCCAGGTGCCGCTTCTCTGTCGAGAAGGAACGGGCATGGGGAGAACATATGGCATGCGCTCGGGGGCAGAGATGGAGCTGATGTTCATGGGGCTGTAATGCCTAGGCTCCGAGGGAACGGGAGAAGCATATGGTGGGAAGGGAGAGGGCTTGAGCACAGGGTTGTACATGCTGGTGCCATCGGGAGAAGCATCTGGGGTGGGAGGGCGGACACCACGGGAGCCGCTGCGCCAGATCTCCTCGAGCTGGGCGGGGGAGACATCTGTGCCATAGTCGGCAGCGATGGTGGCCCAGAACTGCTGGCGGCGGGCCTCATAGATGGAGCGGAGGCGCTCAGTATCGACGACCTTGGGCTGGTGAGCAACCTCGGTGTTGATGCGGAGGGCGTTGAGAGGCTCGGGAGACTCGCGAGGAGTCATCGGGTGGGGCTTGGGAAGCAGGATCTTGTGCTGGTTGCGGTTGGGAGAGGCGCTGACGGAGGAAGCCCTGATGTGAGGGCTGCCGCTGGTGTAGCTCATGGGAGATGCGTGACGGGACGATTGAGAGTAATCGTCATGGTCCACTGCCATTGAATAAGCCGGGGACTGGCCGGCGGAATTGGAAGAAGCGGTCGAGGAAACGGATGAGGTGCGCTTACGGCGATGGCTACCGTGCGACAATTGGTGATAGTGCAGGCGGCAAGCCAACTCAGTCTTCTTCAAATGAGCAGCAATGTGCTTGTAGGGCATCTTCTGCATGCGGGTCTGGAGGAGGTAGTTTTCCTGGCGGCTGTTAGCTTTCGTTGGAGTGATTCGTGTGAAGGATATCTGGACATACCTCTTCCTCGGACCAAGACCTGTTGCCTCCAGAAGACATCTTGCGTGCACGGAGGCTGGATGAGTTTGACTGAGAGTCCATCTCGTTGAGAGGAGAGAGGATCTGGGGTTGATGGTGGAGCATGTTGATTGATGTGAGTGGTACAATAGTAATAATAGGTCGAAGTTGTTGTATCAATTGGATATAGGAAAGTAAGTAATTGTGTCCGTCGAGTCGTGTCCGCTAGGGATCGGTCGTCTTGAGTCTAGCTCTGAAAGAAAAGGAGAATTACTATGTCGAAGAGTTCGGTAGGATGCTTGGTGGTGTTGATACGATTGCTCAGCAATGTCTCGATTAAAGAATGGAAATGCAGCCCAACCAGTGGGTGTGTGTTGAAAGAGAGTGTGTATTACAAGGCTGCTAAGTCGCAAAAAACAAAAGACAGTGCTGATTGAACAGGAGCGGTTGGAGCCTGGAAAACTTGGGGCATCCGACAAGATATAGAGTTTGGACAGGACGAGTCGAGAAACGGGACGTTGTCGGAACATGGCCAGGGCATGGCTGATTGGAGTGGCACGAGCTGTGGTAGACGACGTTTTCAAACCTAAGGGTTGCGCCCAAGTTTTGATCGTCGTCAAGGGCGACGGCGGCGTTCGAGGCCAAAATGTTTGGAAAAACCCATGTTCGAAGGGGCACCTACTGCAGAATGGGACGGGAAAAACGATGATGCGAGATCTGGAGGCTCGGGATGGGGTTGATCTGAGGGGGTAGCGCATAAAGTCCGCCGCCCATTTGGTGCGTAGCGGAGGCAGTTTCAAAACTCGGCGCGTTAGAGGGGGGGTGCGTGCTGCAGGATGGATGAAGCGAGACGTTTGACAGTGTTTGGAGCAGCAAACAAGCTCACCCGGAGCTCCGTCAAGCAGCGGGCGCTAAGCTGGACGAGGAAGCGCCAGAACAGTTCGTATGCGCCATTGGGGCAAAGACGTTCCTCTCCTCCCCCCTCCCGTGCCCCCCAGTGGCCCTCCCAAGGGACAAGGGAAAAGGAAGGGCCTCAGGCTCCCGTGGTCAGGGAAGAAAACTGCTGGACCAGTTTTGTGGTCATAGTCCGTAAAACAAACAATTGCTGCGGACAAAACGTGAAGAGAAGGAGGTTTTCTTCCTCCTTGACATGTTTTGATTGTGCGATATCGTTGTTTTGGAGGAGGTTCAGGCGTACCAGGCAGGTATCCACCAGTCATCCAGTCGATGATGGGCAGTACTGTGTAGTAGAGTGCCTGTACAGTCAAGAGTAACACACGTATAGTCGTCTCACACATACACGCAACCACACATGGATATGACAATTTCGAAGGAACGCTATGAGATGGTGAAGCGTCAACATTCTATGCGCAGCGGATGCTCACACGAGGCGGCATCGCTGCTGGCTGGCTGGATGAAATGGAATGGTGCCATAGGTGGCAGACGAAACGAAAGGAAAACTCGGAATCGCAGCGATCCGTTTAGAGCATCAACGACGATGAGTCTGGTTTGGCTTGGCGAAGCACTGGGGTAGAGAGAGGTAGATCTGGTATGGTCAGGTGTAAACTGTGTGTGAAGTTACGAGGTATTACGCGATGGGCGGTGAAGGGGCAGGGCAGGGTTAGCAGTTCGGATTCGAAGAGGCCGGAGTTATCCTCGTAGGAGGATGGGAAGCATAGTAATTAGAGTGCAAGAGGAGGAGTGATTAGAGAAGAGGGCGATGCATAGCAAGGATGATGAGATGGATGAGGAGGTGAGTGAGTGAGAGAGGTAAGGTGGATGAGATGGAAAGGGAAAGGAAGAGGAGTAGATGGGACACGGATCAAACGTGTGAGGCTTGAAGTGACACTGGGGTTGTATGAGTGTCAGGGTGGGGGGTTCTTGGCAAGTCAGAGAAGAGGAAGGAGGATCGGGTGTGGACGAATCAGAGCAGAGAAGGGCAGGGCGGGGTGGGAAAGGAACGGAGAATATGAGCAAAAGAGTTCCACTACCAGTACGGACGGAACATCAACTCAAAACCTCCCGTTCCTTTCTCTACACAGTACACAACAGTTACTCCGCAGCAGAAAAGTGGAAGAAACGAATCACAATCCTGCCATGTTCACCATTCATTGTCAATATTGGGACCGTGATAGGGTTCATGCTCATCTTTCAGCCACCTCGTGCGCCACGTATGCACGTATCCCTCCCATTCCCACTTTTCCCCATGTATTAAGTAGGTAGGACGGCGCATCGCTCCCTTCGAGTGCCGGACTTGGGTGGAGCAACCTCCGTCAGCCTTCTGTAGATAGATAGGATAGATAGGTACGACGAGGCAGGTAGATCGCTGATGAGCATACGGGAGGGGGTTACTTTGAATTGTATCATGCAAGTTGCACGCGCTGCGTAAACACTACGTGTAGGTATCTCCCAGCTGGTGCGCCCGCCCTCCCCTCCCTCCTCATTGCAGTGGTGCGGGTAGCCCGTCGTGAACTACTGGCTGTAGTTACAGCATGGTCCGCAGGTAGGAGTACGAACAACTGCGACGGCGACGAAGAAGACGACGACCAGACCAGAACGGCCAGCGATTACTGCTTGTTGACGTCGTTGTGATCCTTTCTCCTCATCCTCCTCCATTAACCTCCATGTCCATGTCCATGTCCCTGTCCCTTGTCATATGTCAAATGATCGATTGAACAAAGTAGGTGTGTACTCGTGGGTCGTAAATAGTCATAGGCCACCCAACCCCCAGCTCCTAGATGCGTCCGATCTGAACAGCTCCGGCACTTTCCCATCGCGGCCGCTGCATGCTACTGTAGGCATGTACGGAGCACTGTACATGTGTACGAATGGAGAGAGCCCGATAGAGTATTTCGCATCCAGTACGGAGGTAGACGCCGAGGAGGATGGAGGATGGCAACACAAAACAAGGCCAGATGGGGGTTTCGCAAAAAAGCCTTGAGGGGTAAGTGATCTGCTCCTTTGCGCAGAAAAGGCTGTGGAAAATGAAAAATGCGGGCTTTTAATTAGGTATAATCTACGATGCGGGCGGCGTCATTGGTGGGAGCGGGAGAGGTCTATTCGTCGTCGCGACAATATTGATGAGCTGTCGGCGCATTATCGTTGCGACGGAAATTGTGTAACGTGACGTGACATTGGAAAGCAGCCGGGGCGGATTCCTGGACGCGTTTGCTGTTCATGGTTTATTGCTTTGACCGATGATGAAGCTGGAGCTGGAGCTGGAGCTGAGCGGTTGTTTTGATAATGATGGGGCGGTAGTATTTAGTGGTGATGTTTTGATGTAGGCTAGATATGAATGTAGGCAGGTAAGCGGGTAGAGATTAATTACTATACTCGTACGGAGTAGGCAGAGTAGAGTAGTCTCAGTGGTAGACTATTGTTCGTATTCGCATGTGTATACAGAATGCAGTACGGAGTTGTAGATGTGTGTACGTAGTACGTGTGGTCTGGATGGTCTACCTAGGCACCTAGGTACTCCGCAGATACTGTGAATGTTACGCACGCGCCATGTTCCCCGCTATGTATGCTGTCCTCCCTCCCTGGTTCTACTTCTACCCCCAAGGGCTACGATTATAAGCCAGTATCTTAAGTACTCCGTAATCATCTATTCGTATTAGTTATTTTACCCATTTCCTCTAGATGTTGTACTATCCCGATCATCCAATCCTTCTGATTAGCTGTGAGTAATTGAGTAATGAAGGGACGGAGTACCGTACCGCAGGATGGTTAGTACAGTTACGAGCCCATGTACTTGGTACATGACGAAAGGCGCGTCGGGAAGGGAAAAGCGGGGTAATTGGGACGAGGGTGACTGTGAGTGGACTCGATGGAGTGGAGTGGGTGGTGACGGGATGGGGGACAAGGACGGGGACGGGGTGGTTGATGATGAATTAGGTGGCTTCAACAGAGTTACCGCCAGTAGCCCTCTGGACCTCTCAGATGCGGGGAAGGGAAATGCAGCCACCAGCGCGTGATGATATTTCTTCATGCGAGTGTTGCATAAATGCAGGTAGACGGATTCAGGTGGTGGTGGTGGTGGTGGTGGTAGTATATCATCTATGATGATGATGGATGGATGGGTGCGACGAGTTCGGCGATATGATGGATAAGGTATGGGATGAAGATGAATGATTAAACGTGGTGCGCGATGTTATTATTTTTATGCCCCAGGTTCTTGATATGTGATTTCTTATCATTATTTTATAGAGGAATAAAATAGTTGTAGAAGTACTCACGGGGTACCTATACATCATCTATTGGGAGAATGTAACTGACTTTGCATGTACCCTATACATTATCAAGAGTACTGATGTTGTTATTTAGTTTGAAGGAACCACCAGGGGGACCATTAATGCTTTCTTCCTTCCCTCCCACCCCCGCCCGGCACTTTCTTTGGATGCCCCGTTACCTCCATCCTCATTCGCCCAATAAGCCAATAAGAAACCCCCCCATCCACGCATCCCTAACACTTTTCCCCAGACTCCAGCCCTTTTTGCTCATCCCATCCAAGCCCAGTTCCCCCCCTCCTTCCCTCCCCCTCCTCCTCTAATCCATCCCTCCCATCCCCATCCTATCCTATCCTATCCCATCCCAGCTCATCATATCTTCCATCTCTCCCATATTCTCTATCTTGTGAACCTGACCTACCCTCTTCTTGTACAATCCCATCCCATGTATGTACTAGTACCATGAAAGATCAGCGTCCACACCTGGTCAGCGATCCGCCCAATACTTGAATGAACGGGAATACAATATCATCATGATCAACCGCCTTTCACGCTTCTGGCCAGCCTCTCCCCATCACCACCATCACACATCATCATAATTATTCTTGAACCTCTCCCGACCTGGATACTCATCTACTTTACTATTTGTCTATTTGCTTGTTTACCCAGAACTCGTACCTACTACCCTGCGTAGCTACTTACCTACCTACCTGACCTTACCAACGAGACGACTCACGAGGTACCCAGCCTACCTGCCTCCCTCTTTCCCTCCCTCCCTCCCTCCTTCCTTCCCTCCCTGGCCTCGGGCATGGGCATGACCTCACTCGACAGCCTTGCGAACTTTACCCTCACCTTCTCTTTCACCCGTCAAGTATCCCTCGTACCTCCGCCTATTACTCGCTCATCCTCCTCATAACGCCCCCGTCCCGCCCATCAGTCATGGCTTCGTGAGTCCCATCCTATCTTACCCCCCATCCTGATCTCACTATCTCACCTTGACCTTGACCTTCACGTCCTCGTCCTCGAACGGGAGCTAAGGACGCGCTGGGCACGAGCATACCTTCGCGCTCGCGTCATACCCTATTATTTATTGCTTACCCTTCACTTACCCTGGGTTTTCTACGTTGCTGACGTTGTACTCGTCCGTTTCACAGCTCTTCGGCCGCTACCAAGCGCAACCTGAAACCTTCACCCATCATACCCAATCCACAGCAAAACGCAAACTTTGCCGCGTCTGTAGAGCTGCCTAGTCTTCAGCCCGCCCTCGCGCCAGGCCAGGACTCGTTCTCCGTCTTTCCTCCGCATCCACCGCAGCAGAGAAAGCGCAAATCCGTGAACGAGCAGCAGATGGCTGCGAATGCTAGCTCCACCGGCGCGACGTCTGGAGGCGGGCCCGCTGTTCCAGGCGCCGCGGGCGACTCAGATGCCCACAACCAAGAGCCAAAGGCCAAGAAAAGCAGGACCAACACTCCATGGACACCAGCAGAGGAGCAGAGGCTCAAGACCATGAGAGACGCGCAGAAGACTTGGAGTGAAATCGCAAAGGTAGGTTTTCCGGTGGCCAACGAGGGTTTTCCCCATTTGGCACTAGACCACGCCGTTTCGCGTTCCAAAGCGATGATCCTAGGCCTTTGCGGATGCTAATGTTTGACTGTGTCCAGACATTCCCGCAACGAACGGAAGGTAGTGTCAAGAAACACTGGTACAAGGTACGCTCGATGCCGGTATCCTTTTTTATTTGTATTGCATATACTGACTACCGCCGACACAGGATATGCACTATGCCGAATTTGGGGAGGACGAGGTATGTTTTCATAGGGTGTCGATGCTTTCAATGTCGTCCAGCCGTCCAGACCGCTGACCCAGGATGCAACAGAGCGCAGCGCTGCTTGCCGCGATCAAGGAGTACGATCAGAACAAATGGAAGGTGATCGGACAGAAGGTCAACAAACCCGCAAAAGTAAGGTGACCTCGTTGCATAGTCGTTGTTGAACCTCGCACATCCGCCTGTGAGACGCTCTCTATGGACGAACCCGGCTAACTGGTGCCTCTAGGCATGCGAGCAGTATGCGAAGGAGCATTTTGGCGGAAAGGCCTGAGGCGGTGTATGGGAGTACTTTCCTGCATTTCCCCTGATTTAGCGCGCGTTGGGCTTTTCCTTTATGATACCAGGCTCTTCTTCCTCTTCCTCTTTCTCTTTCCACCGCGCGAGAGAACGAGCACTGCATGTACAGACTCATGCTGGGAAATGCCGCTCGTCGTCTTTCCTTGGGAGTCCTCGGTCCAATTGCGGGTTTCTTGGCGGGTAGGACTACTTGTGCTACAAGACATCCACGGTTCTCTTCATGGGTCGGTGCTTGGGTAATTGGCATGGTCAAATCTGGTGGTGACCTTTGTTTTCCCTTTTTCCCCATCTCCTCTTCTCGTTCACCTTGGACCTTAATATCCCTCGCTCTTTGTGTCATCTGGGTTGGAGGACTGGTCTGGTACGCGAGGATGGCAAGCCACACGGTCTCCTCTGGGCAACAAATCCGGATCCGAATGAAAACGATATGATTGATACCTCAAATCTCCTGTCCCACTTCTACCGATCAATCGACCGCGCCGGAACAAACCCGAGCCTATGCAGCGGCGAAATCCCAAAAGGTCACCGGCGTTCTGGGAGGCGGGGCACAGCGGTCATTGGCGGAGAAAGCCAGCGTAGAGAAAAATAATGAACAATCTCCTTTTTGATTTCCCCTCTCATTTCCAATGGTTTCGTTTTCCTGACCTTAGGTATCTGCGAACTCCGGGTCATACTCGCACGTTTGCAATCGCCCGTCCCTCTCGTTTCGGAAACACACTGATGTCAGCCACGCATCCACCCAAATGAAACGATACAACGGACGTACCTTCAAACCAACACTTCACATCCTCGTGCGCCCAAAATATCCATCCTCGATCATTTTGCAAACACAAGCACCTAGTCGGCGATGGTTCCCAGACCTGGTACCGTACACCTGCCCGTGGGTGACGAACCACCCAGGTAGGTAGCTAAGCCCCGAACACAACCATCAATCGACAAACAAGCATCTTTCGTCTCGTTTGGTGATCGATCATATCAACAACCTTAGCCACTCCTCCTATTCCTCATCTAATTGCTCATTTCAGTCTGCTCTTGAAAAGTAGTAGATACTCTATACCATACATACCTCACCCCCCACCGTGGCTCCACCCTGCCCATTGTCCTCATAACCATGAACGTGAATGTCAAAACAGAAGCAGGCAAGTCGTGATGTACTACGTCCCCAAGTAATGCACTCGCACCTCACCTCATCTTCATCAAATGTCCGCATGCATACTCCCTGCCCGCCTACCCAACAGCGCGCCTCCCCCGTGAGACCTGACGAGACTATGTCTTTCCCTCTTGTTGTGTGTACGTCTCTCCTGTGACCTGTCTCTTCACTCGTCGCCGTCGCCGTCTATGGGGTGGACGTACGTTCGCAAACGGGCTGGCTGGAGAGTGGGTGTGCTTAGGTGTAAAGTTGCGCGATAGCTCGACTGCTTGTTGGGAGTATGTGTACGTGTGCGTGGAATCCAAGCTGTCTGTTGGACTAAGCTGTACGATTCTTGATGTGTACCTCGCGGGTAGACGTATATGTCACCCCGTCTCCATTTCCATTCTTGTTCTCTTCAAGAAATCCAAGCGTGTAGGATATTCGTTCGTTGTTCGTCGTACGTGAGTGGATATAAGTGTGCCGATGTATGACAGAACGGTCGAAGGATACGCTCAACAGGCTTCGCTCTCCTTTTTTCCGACTTTTTTCTTTTCTTGATATTTTTGACGTAATTCTATCGCGTGGGAGAGATGAATAGTGGTGGTGTGAGTGCTATATTTGTTGGTGTTGCCTCTTGTGGTTTTATCTGATTTTTGTGGTCGTTAGTTTTATCGTTATGAATGAGTGCATATCAACGAAAAACTAAATCAACGAGACAACAATCAACAAAAACACACATTCAAAACCGTGGGCGCTGTATCCGCGTATTTCCCCTAGATATGGAAAAGGCAGAATAGGGATTTCGACGAAGTTTTGTAAGGTAACGTGTGCTGGCGATGATGATGGGATGAGATGAGAACGATAGTCGCTGTGCGGGCGCGCGGTGGGAGGGTGTTGCGTTTTATCTTTTATCTCTATGGGTACCTAACCTACGTAACTACCTAGGTAGGTAGGCATATAATATGCACATACATCTATACACTCGAACATATCATAATCGTCGTTATCGGACAGTATTTCTATTATGGCCAGGAGGACTACGACTATAGCCAGGACTGGGACTAAGAATATGACTACAGGTATAGGAACGCGCGTTATCGCATCCACGCACGCACGCACGCACGCACGTATAGGATTTGCATTTGGAGTATTATATGACGCACGCATGGTAAAGGGTGTTATCGAGGAGGGGAGGACTGGTCGGTGGGTATGTGTTTGTATGGATATAAGGATGTATGTACTTAGGTACGTATGTAGGAATGCCAAAGATACATGAGATGAGACAAAACATCAGAAGCGCGTATGGGATGGGTAGCGAACGTCACTACGGGCCAGTAAAGCGCGAAAAGTTGTCCGTAATTCTTACGATTATACAATTATAACCACGATAAGAACTGCCAACTAACGGCCATGATGACAACAGCCCACGATGCAATCGAAACAAAGACACGGGTATACCTGCCTACCTTCACAAGATCACTATTTGTTTCTCTCATGCCCTCCCCTCTCCTCGCTTAGCTCTCGGGGAGGAGAAAGCGTAGCCCCGGGGAGGCAATGTAGTACAAGACGGCACAGCCTAAATGGATAATAAAACTACTTGTAGATACCGGTCGGGTACATCGATCCTTTTCGTTAAAACGTGCGCGGATGGAGGTATGTACATCGATCGTGTGGTCTGTTTCTTGGGTTTTCTTTGCTTTTTATTCTGGGGGGGGGGGGGGATATGGGGGATGCAATGTTGGGGGTGGTGGGTGGTGGTCAGAGTATGTATCTACCTATATGTGTGTAGGGGGAATGGGCCATGGGTGATGAGGATGTGGACTTGCGTCTTCAACAATCGCCAGACACGTATGTACCTAGGTATGTACCGACCGTTGAGGTACGCATACGGTACATCAGATCCCTAGACAAACAAGTAGACAAGCAAGTACCTGCGCTGCACCCATAGAGCAAAGAAAGTGGGAAGCACGATACCCCCAGCCGGGACGATGTCCTTTTCGCGCGCACGCGCGCTGTGACGCGAAGCGATGACGATGGAGTACCCGGAGGAGTAAACTAAGGGGATAAGATAGAACACCGCACCCTAGTTAACCTTGTGGGCTGTTTTGTCGAAACCAAACCCAACCTTGTCGGTCGGTCGACTTGTTTTGGTTGTTTTCTTGTCTGGTTGGTAGATAGACGGATAGATAGAATGGGTACCAGGACCAGGTAGTTAGGAGAGGAGGGAGGAGGATAGGTGCACTGGCCGTCACGTGGGGAGTGCGAGCGAAGTCTACCGGAAGTGTATACAAGTCCTTTATTGTTGGTAAGGTTGGTAGACAGGTTGCAGGTCGGGTTCGGTTCATGGGTTTGTTCCAGGGGTAAATAGAAAAAAGAATAAGAGTGGAATACTGGGCCGGGGGGTCGTAGGTAGTGGTTAGTGTTAGTGGTGGTAGGGAGGGAGGGGGATGTGTAGAACCGAGAGGATAGCATGTTCAATGTTGTCGACATTCCTGCGGAGTCTTACCTAGGAAATAGTTAGTTAGGTACGGAGGACTTTAGTCTGAGGTTGTCTTTCGCTCAAATTTACGAAGCATGATTCCATCCCCCTTCCGAATATACTCGGGCGCAGTGCATGTCTACGTGTCGCTGTGGTCGCGCAGAGAGAGTCGCGCGGCGTACATACGTCCAAACCATCATACGTCAACAGGGCGATGCAAGTGCAGAAGTCGAACAAGGCGTCAGGTATGTTTCTTGTAGCCCACTGCAAGTTTGTACACGGTAGATTGGAAAAAGGTGACGCGCGAGTCGCGACGTGCAGAAGAGAGTGGAGTGGGTAGGTATGTAGGTAGGGGTAGGGGTGGATGCGCGAGGGATGCGCGAGGATGATGCGCCAGATGGTGGCAGATCAGGACGTTTGGTTGTTTCTGTCTGTTCCCCAACGGCGTCTGCGCACAGTACATGTACATACATGTACATGAGTAGTACACGCATACATAGATAGTTAGTACGTACAGATACAGTAACCATCTACGTGCATTGCAATAGAATCGTCGTCTTCGTCGTCTTGACTAGCGGAACGCCATGGCCGTTGTGGGCCTTCTGCTGCTGCTGTGGGCGATTGAACTGCAACAAACGTGCGTACATGTACATGTACATGTACCGTGTATGTACCTGCCTAGCACTCCTAGGTACCTAGGTAGGTACATGGACAAAGCGGGTACGGTACCGTCATAGTCCGTGATGGAGCTGCAATAATGGAGACGAGTTAATTAATTCCCGTCACATCTGGTTCGGTAGAGAATCAATCAGTAGTTAGTCAAATCAGTCAGTCAGTCAGATCAATCAATCAATCATTTCATCGTTCAATCGGTCAAGCAGATATTGGATTGGAGTATGGACTAGACTAGCAAGGCTGTTGACCCGAATCTAGCGTACCCCGTTGCGCCCGTTTGCTTGTAGTTCTACAAGTAGTCTCCGTCCGATAGGCTATAATAGCAAGGATGCTTGTGCTTGTCTTGCCTTGTTCCTATTTAGTAGTCCGGAGAAAGGTGTGGGTTAGTCAATTAGATAGTGACTAAGTTGACTATTGACTTGACGTTCCCGTAACTTGAGCGTTGGTCTTGTATCTTCGGGCGCATTATTGAGTGAAAGGCGATGAATGTCTCTCTGGGTACGGAGTACTTAGGTACCTGATGGGAGATGAAAGTGGGAAGAACCGCAGCGACAACAGCTAAGTGGGAACGACACGGCGCCGGTCGAACCATTGCGTTGCTGGTGTCTTCTTTGCATGAACAAAGGGTAATTAAGTCGGCACCTTTTGGTAAGTAGTGGTGGGTTCTGTGGATATTACTATTACTCGTAGAATGATGAGAGAGAAGAGGTACATCCCAGGTACACACTCGACCAGTTGGTGTACTATGCCACTTTCTGCCACTTCCTTCCTCTTCCCATAGACAGTGACTACTCGACCAACAAACCCCCCCGCTAAGCTTTCGACATCCACAACCACGACCACATCCCTCCCCCCCCTCCATCTCTCCTCCACCTCCATCATCATCATCATCATCATCACCATTCACCATTCACCTTTCACCATTCACACCTCTCACCACACACTACCATCACACTACGCCCACTACACCCCCCGGCCATCTCCTCCATTCACCCTTCGCCTCCGATGACTACACGCCATGTCCCTTCCATTCATCCATCCAGTTCGTCGCAGGTTTGACAGCCATCTTGCTCATCAATATTGAATGATTCTCGCTCCTCCGCTCATCATCTTGCCACCGCAGCCATTTCCATAACACCACATGCATGTTTCCCTCCGTACGCCCGCACCGCCTGCTGTTGTGGCCCGCGTACAGTGTACATCATTAACACATAGACACAATCTCACACACACTCACACTAACACACACACAAAAGTGAATAATCTACTATTGTCCTAGCGACTCGGAAGATTCCCTATGGGTGAGATGCCTGCCATCATCCTGTGCCTCGGGCGATCCTCCTCGCTCAAGCGGGGGATGGCGAACCGCATATAGCCAGGGACGAACTTGATATAGTGTCCTGAAACGGTATTCGCATGACCTGATGGCCAATCTGAAGCCAACCATGCCAATGCGTAAGAGAACCACCACCACTAGCTATCCACCACAACGCTACCTACCAGGCTACCACTACTGCCACAGTACGCGCTACCCATCCGCCATCCTGTCCCCTTTGCGGCTTACAGGGCGGGTGCTACGGCAAGAAGCCTGCGCTGCCGGCATTCTTCCTAGGCCCTGATCCGAGAAACCACAATCCACAGGCGCAAATATGCGACCAGGCGATTGCGTTCATGGCCTGGATATTCAATTGCCTGCCATAATGTCTTCCGTTCGGTGCACATGAATTGGCCCACCACGGAATGACCCGCTTCCAGGACAGCCCAGCAGTCTGCTGTCAGAATGTGTAGAGAGCATGGCATGCAAAGCCATGCTCAGCGTCATGATCTCTCTCTTCCAACCCCCCCTCCACTCTTTTTCCTGCTCTGCGCCGCTGTCATAAGGTATGCCATGATGCCTATCGTGCCGGAGCTCCATCCGCCCAAGCCGCTTGTTCGCTGGTTCGTTCGCTCACTCGCTCCATCGCGCAGCTTGTATTGTAGCTAACCCCCCCCTCTCCCCATGCCTCCCCCAAGGCATGACCACCACCACCAACGTCCAGGGCTGTCCCTCCCGCGGCCCAGGCTTTTCCTTGCCCTTCCCTTTGCCTTTACCACCCCAATCCAAAAGAGGCCTTGTCACCCTGTGGCCGCCGTGGGCCATCTGGCGTGCAGGCGTCTAAGCAGGTGGCGTGTACCGATTGGGAATTGTTCATCTTCTCTGCTCGCTGGCCATGTCGCGCCGTCCGTCCTAGCCTGTTCTGCATCTCCTTCATGCGCCAGCACCTGCTGGCCGTGCTTGGGGCCTCCACCTCCCGGGATCGAGCCTGCAGAGCTCTGTAACGGCCTGAAGATCTTCTGTGAGGATTCTAGAAATAGGGCTGCGATGGCATGGACCTCCTCCCACCCCCGCTAGCCCGCAGGCGAGGGGGCCAACGTGGGCAACAAAGTACCATCCCATCATGGGCGACCTCTCATTTTGCATCACCCAGCCACTCACGCACACGAACCAGCGGCATTGCACTGGGCAAATGACCTGCGATTACTCTCAGATCTCGTGCTGGGGGCCCCCTCCCTGGCAATTGATCACCGCATTATGCTTGACAGAGAATTCGTCCTGGGGCTTGCCCTACTCAGCTAATTGCCCACCCTGCAGGAACAATGACCGTCTCGTGGGAAGGTCCATAGCCTCTGGTGCTTGGACACAGATGTCCGTGTGGCAATTGCACAGGACCCGGGGCTTTTGAAGGGACCATACTGCCCGAGATTTCTCAATGCTGTTCCACTCCTATCTTTGCGCGAGACTGGATATATATCTTATGATGCACTGCGCTCCCAGCCGGGTCATCATCGAAGGTCTAGTTTTCTCAGTAGGGCTATATCTGGAAATCCCTAAGCTTAACGCCCCCTCCGAGACGAGAACCGAATAAGAACCTCTTCTACTGGATGGCGCGTCCTCCCCAGGTTCTCCTGCTGCAAAATTTGTCAATATAGCAAAACGCGAACAAATTCCCAAACACGTGCGACACACAAGGTCTCCCTTCCAGTCGGCACACCACCTCAAACTGGGCATCCTTTCTGGTTCAGGTCTCACTGCGGCGGCCTGCCAGAGCAAGCTAGCTCTGGTAGTCTCCATGCATATTCGCAACGCTGGCGAGTCCCTATCGAGGCCACTTCCTCGACTATGTGCAAGGCGATTCGGGAGAAGAACCTCACATTCCGACGTCAAACGTCGAACATACACATGTCCTCCCTCCCCAACATGGCTTCTCCTACCCCTTCCTGCAGCCACATCCAACTCAAACACTACATCATGGGCATGCCGGCGCTCCACATCATACCCCATACACAGACATCGAGGCTCATCCAAGTCTACATCAACCGCACGCCGGACTGTTGCGCCCGATGCCAGACCAATCTCCAACTTCCTACAACGTCGCCGGCTACGGCCATACGCCTCAGCAGTCTCGACCTGGAAAACGTTCGCGGCAAGACGAACCTCTACAGCTCGATCCCATAGATCAGTCCCAGGACCCTTACGGCCAGCCTTCGAGCGCTGTCTCCTCCGTTTCTCACCATCAACAAGCTCAGGGCTACTCTCTCCAGCCCTACCAGCAACAGCAGCAGCAGCAGCCGCAAGCTCCGGGCCCGCACCATCAGGTTCATCAGGCTCAAGCTCAGGCTCAGACCCACCATCACCATCACCTACCCACCTCGCGTAGTGGTAAGAGACCACACATGGCCGACGTGCCTCCATCCCCTCCTCCGCATCATGGCCCTCCCAGCGTGGTCGGCCAGGAGGGAATGCCTGCGCCTGCTCCCCGCCCCCGCGGTCCCAAGCTCAAATTCACGCCCGAGGACGATGGTCTGCTGGTAGATCTCAAGGAGAAGAAGAACCTGACCTGGAAGCAAATCGCGGACTTCTTCCCGGGTCGCAGTTCCGGCACGCTGCAGGTTCGCTATTGCACGAAGCTAAAGGCGAAGACTACTGTCTGGACGGATGACATGGTAAGTAGTCACAATCTGAAACGCGAGACGTCAAGACGTCCCTCCACAACCTCGGATATGCTAACCGGAACGGGACGACAGGTCGTGAAGCTTCGCAACGCCATGCAGGAGTACGAGAACGATCGATGGCGCATCATTTCCTCGAAGGTCGGCAGTGGCTTTACCCCGGTCGCGTGCAGAGACAAGGCGCAGGAGCTCGAGGCTTTGGAGATTGCCGCGGCGGAGGAGGAAGAGGAGGAACAGAGCGGATACGGACAGTCGCAGCTGGCATCTGGTTCTAGCGATCCAACTGCGTCTTACCAATGACTATCTGACCAGTTCGAGGGCTTGCGCGCGTGGTAATGCTAATGATGGGCTATTTTCCGATTCTGGGACGGTCGTGCTGGTCGCGACTCGATAATTCTCTTCGCTTTCTGAGGGTGGATGCGCATGCCTCGATGCTCGGATCAAACTAGGGCAATATCATTTAATCACCTTTTTTCTTACGACATACAACGAAATCTACGGAATACCCTTCTCTACACTCATTCATCGTTACAATCAACCTGGCTTCTGGAGGCCAATTCCCTTCGTGGGGCACTTTCCTGGCCGGATACCATACGGGAGCGGTTTCGATACAGCATAGCGGACGGCGTTGAGTTAAGGATGCGTCTCGAATCATTTGGGGGTGGGGGGAATCTGGATCGGGGGGATGGTTTGCATTTGGCAGGCAGCATTGACAACAGTCACCTTTTTCTTACAAGTACGGCGGGGAGCGGGACGGGAGAGATCTGGGTGGAAGCGTCATGACGCAAGAGCCCTTGGCTCCCTAATATTATACGTTTCGGGATCACCAAACTGGACGATTGTTGCGCCACGGGCAGTGGAAAGGCAGATGCAAAGATACCCAAGGGGGGAGAGAGAGCCATTTAGTTCGATGTGTTTCGAGTTGGGGGACATTTTCTCTGGATCTGGCGGGCGGCGACAGTTTCGAGGCAGTATCTGCTGTATTCCCTTTCTTTTTTGCTTTATCATGCATTTCCTTTTGTTCTGGTTATTTTTGGACACGCGTGGTTCACGCACGACACTCGTTACAAACGCATTTTTCTATCATACTACCCTGGGAAGCTCGTTTGCGCATCTCTTACTTCTTTTGAACCCTATTTAGACTCTACATACATTGTAATACAGTTTGTGCTTGAACAATTTATTCTGAAATGCATCAGAATGTGACGTTCGAAATGTACATGCAATTGACTGTCGCAGTAGTTCACGACAGTTCACGCAGGTTCGTATGTTGAAGCACAGACACGACACGCGCTGCACTCCACATAGATCTGAAACCGTCTCTCATTCTTTAAGTTTTTCATGCCTTAGTATCGACTACTAGGCACCATTACTTACTGCAGAACTCGGTTTTCATCCTCCCGATGCCCTGGTCCTGTTTTCCAGGATATCTGGCTCTGTGGGTTTTGCTACGCGCTGATCCGTCTTGCGCATTCATCTAGCCACGAGTGCGCGACAAATCCTCAAACTCTTTTCTTCAGAATCGCATCACCTCAGCAAAGCAGACTGGACCGTCACGCGTACGCAGAGAAGATTCAATCGTTTAGCCAAAGGATTCGATTCTGCCTGGCCATGCGATGCTTTCCAAGGAACTCATGACCGCCATCGAGCGTCGTCACATCCGTATCACAGTAGCACAGACCTTTGATGCTGACCATCATCCTTTGCGCTAGTACCAGGAGCAGGAGCAGCGAGAAATCAGCACGCGGAGCAGGCATGGAGCTTCCGGACCTCTTCGCTCCTTCACAGAACCAGACTGTGCAGGAGGAAGGTGGATAATATCAATAGAAGGGTGGGGACATTCTTGCGTAGCGTCCGCACTTCGCTCTGTCCACTTCTCGATCAACATCATCCTCCATTGCTCTGCTCTCTCCATCTTCATCTTCAACCGACGTCTACTTTACGTTGTTTCTATACTTCGAAGGTTCTACTTAAGATTCCATCTAAGATTGTGGCTTTTTTCGATAAGATAATGTCCACATTTATGGCTCTGATCCTATCGTTGGCCAGTGAGCCACTATAGCAAGGGCGTCGAGTCGAGGTGCCTGCCTAGCTGCTATAGCACCGGGCAGATATTACCCCCGCACGATTCCTTTCCTCGTCGCCGTGTTTTCGCTGTATCTGTACATCGGGTACGGGATAAGCAGCGAGATGCGAGATCCCGCGAGGCATGATCACAACTCGATGCAGAAAAGAGGCGGAAGGACCATCGCCAGAATGACTGCAGATAGCAGATCTGTAAGCTGGCTGCTCGCCCATATCGGAGCTGGCCGCCCACCATCCACCTGTAGCAACCAAGTTAGGAAAGATCACAAATCCGGCGTGAACGAAAGAGAAAAATTGAGGGTACGCCAAGTCGAATACTGCTTCTGCATCTGGCTTGCTTATCCACCGATGGATGCGCTCGTATGTAATGTACATGTACAGTACCTCCATCCCATCCCATCCCATCCCATCCCATCACGCACATGGATGCGTGTGAAATTGATTCTCGCTGTCGACGTTCGTTCGCTGAACCAACTTTTCCTCCCTCGCCTCATCGGGATGCAAGCCCATCCCGGTTCTTAATCAATACAGCATATATCCGCGCGGTGGCCAAGGTCGACATCCTACCCCCGGCGCACCAACCAGCCTGCCCGGACGCGTCTGAGTTCCCAACCTTTCGCGGGCGGCAGGCAACGCGAGTGGCTTTGTTTCTTCCTCGACGTGCTTTTGCATGCCGCTACTTTTGGTGCGCCTCGCTGCTCTACGTTGGCCAACGAGTACGGCAAACTGTGCACAGCTCTTTCAATCATATACAATATACCCACCCTAGAATCAAGTCCCGCCACCCAGGTTGCAGGCTCCACCAGAAGCAATATGCCAGGTCCAATACCGTACTGTCTTTGCTGCCGGGCACTCCTTGTCTCGTTGTCCTGATCATGCTTTCCGTCCTCGCCAAAAAATCTCACCATTTTCCTTCTTCTACGCTTTCCTAGTCTAGAAAACGATCGAGAGTAAGCCACAATCTGTACTGTATTGCAGGCGGTAGCATCTATAGGATCAACAAGATGCATCCTGCTCTTCCGCGGCACACTTCATCTATCAAAATATGGGGTGGTACAAATATTCAGAGAACCAGAAACTTCTCTCAGATCGGCAGAGGAGAGAAAAAGAGGGTCCAGTACACTGGATATAGTACCCCGAAAAGAACTCATGCCCCTCCTCTCCCATCCGTCCATTCGATAGTGCTGGTGAAAACATCCTCGCTGGCCATGTGGCTGTGGCAAACAACAGCACTTTGCCGAAACTGCCCTCCCCTTCACTTCTGCACATGGCAAGTCCTCTCGATGGTGGTATGGTGCGGTGCGGTGTATGCAGGCTCAGGTGGCGAGCTGTATAGATGTACATCATCATATTCCTTTCCAATATATCCCAAACCCTCCAAACAGGACGGCCAAAGCATAGGTCGCTCATTCGACCGGCGACATGGAGTACCTCTCCTACAATGCTTGATCGTTTTCTTGCATGTCTTGAACATGATCAACAGAACAGGGAGAGGGAGAAGTAAAAACCAAAGAAAAAACAATTCTGCAGTTAGCGGGCAGTCAGCCACTCACAGTGACCCTTTCACTCAACCCGTTTCTTGAACCTAAAAAGGGAACGCGCCGCCCAATTCATGATTTCGAATAAATCAGATTGCTTCCTCGTTGATTGGCCAGAAAACGGGGGTAAAGTAGAATTTTTCGTTTTCAATAAAACGTCGAAACCGCCCGGCAGCCACACCCACCCACTCACACGTACTCAGCCTTTGCCGTCTAACGTTTAACGTTCGTACCTCTAGGTCCAACGTCCGTACATACGTTCGTTCATACGTAGTTACATACGTGATATTGCCAGAAAACGCCCCGTCACGATACGCCGCCACTTTCCCTTTCCCTTCCCTTCCCTCCCCTTTGCCCCTAAAAAGAAGTACTTTTTAAAGTAGCTCACTTCAAATCACCCAATCTTAGTCATGGCACCATACCCCACACATCTATCGACCCACCCAATCGCCAAGGAAACCTTGCATTGTGTTGAGCAAACGGCGATGAACATAGTAACTACACTCACGCCCACACCCAATCGTATACAATGCAACTCACTACCCACCCCGTCATCGGTCCCGCTGCTGATCACTAGAGGTGGAGATTAGGTTTTCGGTGTCGCCGGACGGGGAGGCTGTTCTTGATTGTGTATATGTGCGATCGTCGCTGTACTTTTTTAATCGTGCCGTTCTACGTATGGGAGGGATGTACAAAGATGGTTCTGCGAACGACGGAATAGAGTTCCATTCATCCTTGTACGTACATACGTACGTAGGTCCACTAGGTGGTTGGTAGTATGGTAAGGTATCTTCGGCACTAGTCCGTACTCCACGTCTCAATCAATGAAGCGTAATATCACATATAAAACCGACCTAGCTAGCTAGCTAGCTAGGTATACGCGGGAAATGGAAGGAATGATGACGGCTGTGTAGATGAGATGTATGTATGGCGCCGGCGTTGCCTCCCTCCCTCCCTCCCTCCCTCCCCTTCCCTTCCCTCCCGTGGACCGGGGATGCGGGTCCGTTGTGTATGTGTGTGTGTATGTGCTTGCTTCTGAATCTTATTTTGCGTCTCCTTGTGAATGGTGGTGGGTGAGGCCTATTTTAATCTGTAATCTATAATCTGTGTCGGTGGCGGAAGGGATGGAGGGATGGGATGGGAAGCAGTGTGTGAGGTACCGTGACGAGTAAGTACCGTGCACCGTTGCGCCCAACGAGAATAAACAGAACACCAAGAACAAGATGCTCTATGCCAGTTTGGCTTTCTTAATAGGTAGTACCAGTTTACTGATCACGTTTGGGATTTCGAAGAAAGGAGAAAGAAGATTCCATCACGTGTAGAACACCAGTGGAACCCAGACGCGTAAAGGAAAAGAAGCAGCATCGAACATCCAAAAGAAAATTCCAAACCAAAAACCAAGAAAAATTAAGAAGGAACAAAGCCCAACTCCAATCAAATCACCGCCAAATCCTCCCGCTCAACCCGACCCGAACCCGGATCCGAGGCGGGAAAGCGCGTCCAAAGCAAGCGAAAGGAAAAAAATAGAGAGAAGGAAGACGGAAGGCAAGGGAACAGGAAGGGAGGGAAGGAACAGCCGACGGAAGGGCAGTTTTACGAGTACCTTGGCTATAGCCTATATGTGCTGCGGTGATATAGGGGGTTGGGCGGTTGAGGGCCCTATATGTGAGGTATTATATAGGGGGGTTGGGGTGTTTGCGTTTGGGGCTTTGGGTCCGGGGGGAGAAGTGGCTCAACGAGAAGGGAGGGAGGAAGAATGTGTGTGGATTTGATGGGTTTTGTTTCTTAAGGATAATGGTAATGATGGTGACAGTGATGGTGGTGGTGGAGGGCTTTGATATGGGTGCAGTGGATTGTTGTGGTGCGTATGATAGAAAGGACGATTGGCGTAGCGTTGAGGGCAGATTTTGTGCCTGTTGGTGATAAGATAGATGGATAAAAGTGTTTTCATTCATGGTATTAGGTGCAGTATACTCCGTACTCCGTATTCAATTTTCAGTGTTTGGTGTTCAGTGAGAGCGGGAGTTTTACGTAGATGACACCGCTCAGAGTGATTCGGTGCTATTTGATTGCTTCTCATTTTGTTTTAATTCGAATTTTCATGTTGAGCCTTTTTACATGAGGGGGCTCTCGATCTGATGGCGTTATTCCCGTCGCGTTTGGATGGCTTCAGATCGCCATCCTTCCGCTCGGCGATGAACTCTGCGGCAGACAAGCAACCGGCATAGTCATAACGCTCACAAATCGACAACCCATATCTACCGGGTAGTTATCAAACAACCAGATATCCACTGTTCCACAGCATCAAACATCCACATATAGATTCATAGCCCTGTCCTGCCTCGACAGCAGAGAGCAGACATCGCCTGCGAGTAACGTACGATATGATCCTGCACCTCGCCGGGAAAAATACCCCCAGATCTCCTCTCGTTGATTAGAAACAAAACGAAAATGCCCCGAGGTCCACTGTTGTATCGAGATTTCTCCATTCACGGCATGCACCTGCACATGCGTATGCGTATGCAGCAAACACGCATGCAATGCATGGTGGGTGAAAGACCCGGGTTTCCCGCATCACCCAAGGCGTGCTGCACTGCACAACGGTAGTCGCCAACGTCTGCCAGTTGCAGTTGGCACGCGCGGCTTACTCTGCTTCTTCTCCTTCTTCCAGGCGACTGGTTGCTTGCCACTGTTCCACTTTCAAGGATCAGTGTCAGGGAGAGCGAGTGGCCGCAGCGGAGGAGAGGTCCTGCCGCTACTGCCCGGTTGATGGTGAATACGTGAGCGAACAGGGATGTAGAGGTTGTTTCCAAACGCTGAGCTGCATCAGCAAGGCAGGCGGGTGTCTTTGATTCTCAATCAGCAGAGCGTCAGATCCCGGTTCGCTATATCCCCCCCAGCAGCCGGAGCAGGTGGTCCTCGCTCAGTGGCACGTTGATGTGCGGAGAAGACTCTGGTCCATCCATTATGTTGAATGATCAATAGCGCTTAAGGGGGAGAGGCAAATGAGGAGGCAAAGAGGCGGCAAGGTCTTTCAGTGGTCGCCGTCCGAAGAATTAAGACGAGTGGCCTCCAGGGGTCCAGTGAGGAAGGAAGGAAGGAGGGCGCGGCGACACTGGTCGAGGGGATCTGACAGGGTCTTCTTGGTGCGTTTCCCTGCTACCCTAGGGAAGTCAAATTTGGATGGCCAGTGATGAAGGATGCCTTCATTTTAACATGGTGATTCTATAAAGTTTGTTCTTTGTTTCTTCGCCCGCTGGGCAGTCGGCAGGGACTCGAGTGCGGCGGCATCCCTGACGGTCAATATCGCGAGGGCTCAAAGTCCAGGTCCAGGTTTACTTCCAGGTGTGCTCGGTTGTCTCTGGGTGCCTGTAAGTGTGGGGAGATAAGACGCTGATGCTGCGAGAATTCCTTGCATGACCCACCGCACAGGCAACGGAAGTCCTTGGAAGAGAATAGGGGAACGGAGAGACTTGGTTGTGGGTGAAGCTGTGCCTACGACTGTACATCAGCCGTCATAACGGGGACATGGCCCGCAATCCAGGATGAAGAGAGATATCCCGTGCATGTCATATTGGCAAGGTGTCTGTGATGGCTCGCTCCTCATAGCTGGGGGAAGGTTCGGGTGGATAGCACTGTCACCAGAAGCAAGGCTTCTTTTATTGATAGTGACAACAACCAGGTGTATAAAATGAATGATTCCTTGTCTGAGTATTGATAGGTCGTATCTACTTGCAATAGCAGAGTTGTGGAGCTCGGCGGGGTTGGGTCAGCTGGCGCACTGTCTTGTCATAGTCTTCCCATCAATATAGGATCAGTATAGAGTGCAAAGCGCCGAAGTGAGGAAGAAGCCTTTGAGTTCACCATTTTGTTTCGATGTACTTTGTTATTGTCCATTCGGATGGAAGGAATGAAACCAGAGACTTACTGTCCTATCGAGAAGATACGTCGTTGACCATTGCAACCCTTGTCGAGGACCATTGAAGCCGGAGACCGCCGCTCCTGCCATGTCACGGCCTCGCAGCACCACACCAAGGACCTGAGTGATATCAACCATAACGGAAGTGGCGTCCAAATCTCGGAACAAACAATGCCATCCGAAGCCGAGATCAAGCAATTCTCCCCCACGGCAACACATGGACGACTCCCTGACTGCGGAAGCCATCCGCCTTGGTCATGAAGTTCATTGACCTTCAGCATGTGGTTTGAACCTACACCTAAGTCCAAGTTCGCGAGATACCTTGAAGCCATTGCTTTTCATGTTCATGGGACGATGTGCGTCATGCGGAAGTCTAATGTCGGTGCCTTCTTCGGAGTCCAGGGCTGGGGAGATCGCATAACATACCTCTGGACCAACATCATCGGAGAATGAAGCAAGACATATGCGGACTCGTCGTGAGTATGCATGACATCTTTCTATGCAGCACGTACTCATGATCGTTGTGGGTAGCAGTCACCCTGGAGTTCAAGCACTAACATGAATCAGTGACGGTAGAGGTACAAAGTGGGGACATTGAGAGATATCTCATGCTATAACACAAACTCCATCAGTGGATGGTATCGATCCGGGCTCATGCAAACCATGACCATGGATGTCCCCCACCCCACCCCACCACACTCGACAGCACGAACATCGAGGAAAGCGAGAGTGGCTCAAGCGAAAGGACGACATCAAACGGTCTGACCACCATCCATATCGATAGCATTTCCAGTTGCCGGAGCCTTGGGTTCAGTCGGGCATGGACTAAGAGCAAGCGGAGACGTTCGGGAGCCGGATCAAAGCGAATTCCAGCGTCGGTAGATCAACAGTCGGGCAATTTCAAGAAGATGGGAAATGAAGGGAGGAGATTGGGATACCAGCGGGGACGGGTGAGCCTTTTCAACGCGGTGGAAAGAGCGTATGATAAGGCAATCATGATCATATTCTTTGAGGGAATTCGTACGGTCAGTACAATATGGGTTTCATGGCAGCTGGAAGAACGTCTCTAGTTTTTCTCGAAGCTTGAGGATTTGGAAAAAAAGATATGGCGCTGCTTCACAAGCTTCCACTGCTATGAGTTACGTGTGAGAATGTGGTCTGGAATAATGTGCGGCACGTTCCTTGCGGGAGCTTTGCAAACTCGTTCATGCGCTGACGAGTTTGATATTGCTATCATTTTAATAGCATGCTGGCAAGGTTTCATAATCGTCAAAGAATTACCTGCTCAGCGCCACAACAAATTTCTGAACGTTCGTGTAAAGAATGAAAGCAGATTGGGACCTCATCCAAAATCAAACACACCAAGGCATGAAGGCAAATGCAAAGTTGTACCTGATGCTCGAGGCCAACATCCACGCCCAGCAGTCGAACGACGTCCCACGTTCCCAAGTAGGACTAGTGAATCACATACGTTTCAGCGCACACTGTGCTGTGATGGCAGGAAGGGGCCGTGCGAGATGCTTGGCATCAACTTCATGCCATTGACGGAACTTCAATTGAGCCTCATGCATATCACCAGAAGTGGGTCTGGCAATTTTCTTCAATGGATCAGATTATCTGGGACACGTGATTTCAATTTCTCGCTGTCCTTGGTTGTTCAACTCGCTCACTGTTCGTTGCGCGCACCTGTAGATGGGAGGGCTCCACTGCGCTGGCACAGTGATCGACTCAGGGAGGCATGCTCGCTCCATCCCGTCTTGGACATGACGAAAGGCCCTCGAAGGGGATCATTTTCACGAGGGGTCCAGCAAGCCTGCACTGTACCATTACATTGATGGCAACGAATGGTTCAATCGATGGTTCAGATTACACACTTCCATTACCTGTAGCCAATGCTACCGCCCCCGATCTCTGCTATGATTGAGAATCTGCTAGTTCGCAGGGGAAGAATAACTATATGTTGCAAGATGGTATATGGAGGGCTTTATAACGGCACTCAAGACTAAAGGAGAGAGAAGGAGATGCCCTATGCGAAAGAACTCGACAAAAGAAAGGCAATGGGAATCATCGTCAAGTCCAAAGGTTGAAAGAGAATTTGAAAACTGCGATTCCTAGATGATTCAAGGCCGTACAGGCCTATGACAAAGCGTCATGGAACTCTTCCGGCTCGTGAGTCTCCGAATTTGTCCTTTGCGTGCTTCCAGGTCCCTTTGGTGGTTCTCCGGGCGTGGAGTGTAGTAGCTTCGAGGGCGGATTCACTTGTTGTTGGGTTTCTGATGAGGGGTGATTCGTGGTGTGCTTATTGTGCGAGTCGGATTGCGATATCGAGAGGGACTGCAACGCCGCCGACGGTGGTTCGTTCTTCGCTTGCTGTGAGACTGGTTCGTCATCAAAGTCAATCAGGTTTTGCTGGGTCGCTTCCTTCTTTGCGGCGGGTGGAGCAACTGCTGGCTCGCTCAGATCGATCAGGTCATTGTGCGTGGGTGTATCCTGCTTGGGGTTCTCTGGGTTGACCTGTGTTCTCGTTGGGACACGTTCGAGGCTGTTGGTACGCGTTGGGATATTGAATTGCCGACGTGGCGTTTGTCCTGGCAAGATGGCAGAAATCTGAAGAATTTGCTTCACCTGCTCTTCGGGTGTCTTTCCATCACTACCTCTAGTTAGCATTCGATTCGTCAAAATCACACAGCGATCATACACTTTAGCGTTGATGATCCAATCCAAGTCCTCCTCGCCCTCCTCCGAATTCCCATGGCCCCCCTGTACTCGTCGGAATAATTGAGGGTGCCAGTCGATACCATCATTCATCCGCTTAGCAGCTTCACTGCGTTGCATGTCTTCAATGCGAGTTTTCTCATCCGTTGCTGTGTCCTGGTCTTTGTCTTTGATTGCCTGAGTGACCTTTGCCCAAAGTCGCTGCGACTCGCGCTCGTCCTGCTCCTCTAATGGTCGTGCAGTGGGTACCTGTTCTTTCGCATGCGTGGCATCAAATAGCAGCTCCTTCTTGCCGGTCTGATGTCCGTCAGCCTGTGATCTGCGGCCAATGATAGCCGTGTCTTACCGTGAGATCTTTGATGTACATCTCCTCATTCCAAAGTCCCGATAACTCAAAGAGAGCCTTGTCCGTCCTGGAGTCTTTGATGTAGCCTCCGATCGCATTGTATGTGCCTCCAAAGTAACCCTTTACTTTGAACTCGATGTCCGCGACCAGACCGGATTCCGGGCAGCGAACATAGCTGTGATCGCCGAGCTCGTACTTCATCTTTCCGAACAGAATGCCGCGCGCGTACATATTGGGCTGTGTGACGAAACTGTAACATGTCAGCGCCATCGCAGGACGCAAATCCTCGCGGAATTCCTTACAATCGCTCTCCTGTGTTCAAAAACCTCATGACTGCTATGCCTTCCATCATGCTCGCTGCGGAATTTCCCAGAAACTTGCTCCTCGGCTTAAGCGTGCCGTCAATTCGGATGTGATGGTCAGGCGCCATGAAGAAATAACTCGACTTTGGAGGATGATGGGAGGTTTGTTCGGCGATGTAGTATCCCCGGGTGTGGTCGGGGTAGTCCCAGTAACAGGTGAATATCTCGCCCAGGATTGGATTGAGTGGTTTCTTCACGCCCCTGCTTCAAGGTCAGCTCCAGTTCCAGTGCCTAGCCAATTATGATGGTGATGATGCGTACGGAGGTTTGATGTGCCAGCCGCTCAAGTAGAATCTCACGACGGCTACGAATCTCTGCACGGGGTCCTCGATCTTGGTCATAGGGAGTAGTGTATCCGGGTGAGCCATGAAGCTGTTCGATTGTTAGCCTCCACGACTGCGGCAGGCAGCGTACGGCATGCCAACGCACTTGGTTATCCTCTCCAACATTGATCGAGGCTCCAGAATGAATGTAGGAAGTGTTACTCGGCTGAGATCTGCGCCGGGTCGCAGCTGTGAGATTATGTGCGATAGAACTGTGTAGACATCCCCATGTCAGCCCACTGCCTCTGTAGTTGCATCTCTATCTTTTTGTTGGGTACAACCACATACCGTTGCCCTGATCCGCATCGACCACAGTCTCGTCTTCTTTGGTGACTTCATCGTGTCTCAGCGAGTCGGTCGAGGACCGGGTGCCTATAGGAAGAAATACTGTATCAGCCTTGGTTCTTTGGAGCTTTGTTGCAGTATTCAATACACTACGATGTCTACTGGAAAAGGGGATGACGCACTTGTAAGAGAATGTCGCCTGTGTCCGTGCCCGAGAACCATGGTGGGGTCGCAGTTCCTCGAGAGTAGGAAGGGAAATAGAGAAAAAAAGTAGGTGGAAGTACAGTGTTTCGCAGTAATAATAGGCAAAGACTGACTGTTCTGGAGGCCAACAGGTCACAGGCAGCAAACTGGGATCCACAGATGAGTCTAGGAACAGAATCGGTGTTGGTGACGGGAAAAAGGTGTGGCAGCTACACAGCCAGCGATGACGGAACGCGCGCCGCGCGGGGAAGAAAAATTGGCGTCAGCGGGTAAGCTCTGCTCTCTACTTTGCAAACGCAGCTCAACGCAAATGCGGGCCACGCCGTAGCTGAACAAGGGGGTTTTCCAGCGATGCCTGGCTCTAGAACGTAGGCGTACCTCGTACGAATAGCAAAGACAAGAGATTGTACCCACGTGTGTGTCTGTGTGGAGGGAAGAAACTGCCGATTACTTATCGACGCGCCCTCCGGATGCGCAATCTACAATACTCCGTCCTCGAGTAATCACTCTGCCAATTACTCGTACAATACTCGTACTACCACTACTACGACTACTACTGGAGGAGTGGAAAGCCCGGCGACCCCACGCTGAACCCACCGAGTCCTCAGCGGAGGCGTCCGGATACAAGAACAGGGATAGATAGATGTTGAATTTCCTGTTCCTGAGAGTCAGATTACGCTGATCTTTGTTTGTTTCAATCATCTTCCATCATAGTCTGTCCATGTCACATCCTCGAGTATTGAATATGAATGAGTTACCGCCTTTTTTTTAGCATTTCATGACTTGAATTATACACAAGTCTATCTAGTTTGTCTGTGATGAAGAGGAGCTATGCCAATTCATCGGGTATCATCTAGCCGCCTGCGCCGCTTTCCGTAGGTCAGATTCAATCAAAGTATGCAGTATGCTCAAATGACCGTCACATGGCGTCTAACTTCAGGTTCTGCTTTAGGTTCCGGCCCCTTCCAAGCGCTGACGAGTAGCGTCCACGGTAATGAGAGAGATGCCGGCCGTCTCATATCCTTTATGTACATCTTCTAGAGATGTCGGGTCAACAGCTTTTGTCACTTCCGGCAAGACCCAGGTTTTGAACCCTTCCTTTGCCGCATCGAGAGCTGTGTATTTGACACAGTAATCCGCAGCCAGGCCCGCAATATAGACATCAGAGATCTGCTTGTCGCGCAGCAGCTTGGCTAGCTCGCTACGGGAAACGTTTGGATTTACGAATGGATCTGCAAATGCAGAATACATCTCAACGCGCTTATCCTGTCCTTTCTCCACGATATGGTGAAATTCTGTAGCGTTGAGCTCGGGCAGTAGCTCGGAGCCCATCGTCCCCTGTACGCAGTGATCCGGCCAAAGGCGAGTCTCTTGCGTTTCTTCCGGATTGAGAGGATTCTGAATCGTGATGAGAGATTCAAAAGGCTTATTATTCGGCTCGGTATGATTCGAAGCAAAGGAGACGTGATCTGGAGGGTGGAAGTCTTTCGTCGCTACTTTGAGTACGAAGTCGAGGGACAAGAGTTCATTGATAGCAGGAACGATGTCCCGGCCATCCTGAACGGCGAGCGCTCCACTCTGCAATGGATGTTAACATGTCAAAGCATCGGAATCAGGCAAGCACGTGGCTCACCGGAGGACAGAAGTCTTCTTGGACATCGACGATAACTAGAGCAGGCCGGAATGCGGTCATGATTGATGGTTGTTAGGTTGCGCGAGAGGGGATGAGAGTGGTATTAGGAGGGATCAGTTAGTAGGTGATGTGTTCAGAAGTGAGCGATCAATCAATGAAGAAAAGTAGCAGCTTGTATGTAGAAGCCAGCCTTCGCTCCGCCTTGACTACAGAACAACAATGGGCGTGACTGCTGACGCCTGACGCCTTGACACCTGACGCACAGAGCTGACGTACGTGATGCGTGGAATTGCGATTCGCTCTGTAGTAGCATCCAGGCAGCTGATATGATTTGTATGTGCGTGCGCGTGTGTATATGTTTTTGTGAGGTTTCGAGATGAGTACTGTGTTGTAGTTGAGGTTCGATGTTTGATGTTTGACGTTCTGTGCTGGTTGGCGTTAAACTTCCCTCGTCACTAGCGGGTTGGGGCTCCTCTTCCAATCGCACGAAGACTTGGCGGCGTGACTAATCGGTGGTCCGATATTGAGAGTTACAACCTGCCTCGACTTTTGTTCAAGCTTAGCAGCTCGATCACCCTCCACCCACTCTCCACTCCACGTCAATTGAACTCGCCATGTTCCTCCAACGCTCTGCCATCGCTGCCGCAAGGCGATCTGTCCCTCGCGCCATCGCCAGGCGCACTTTCACCAGCTCTTTCGTCCGACGTACGCCTCTCAGGAGCTATCATACGATCCAACAACTGACGGAATTGCAGGTGATGCGAGCCAGAAGCCCACCGAGGCTGGCCACTCTGGCACTGCTCCCAGTGTTGTCGAAGGCTACAAGACTCTCGATCGTACGTGGCCGCCCCGCAATGGCCGTTCCCGATGGCCGAACAGGTTTTCGGCTAGGCTTGGGCATGAGGAATACCGATACTAATGACTGTAAATGCGTGTAGAAATCAAGTCCGAGGCCGACCTCTTTGGTCCTGGTGCTAAGGTCGGAACCGTCCCCACCGATATCGAGCAGTCTACCGGTTTGGAGCGTCTCGAGATTTTGGGAAAGATGCAGGGTGTTGACGTTTTTGATATGAGGCCATTGGATGCCAGCCGTGTTGGTACGTCACGATACGTTTCGAAGAGGGTGACAAGATGATGGGACGGAATTCTGATCGGATATAGGTACCCTCGAGGACCCCATCGTTGTCAACTCCGCCGGCGAGGAGCAGTACGTTGGTTGCACTGGATGCCCCGCCGACTCCCACAACGTCCTCTGGATCACTGTACGTCATCCGATACCACGATCGCATCAATCAATCTAACATGCCACAGTTGACCCGCGAGGAGCCCGTCAGCCGCTGCATGGAGTGCGGTTCAGCATACAAGATGCACTACGTCGGCCCAGCCGAGGACCCCCATGCCCACGACCACGGCCACGGACACCACGGCAAGTTCATGTATTCTAACAATCGGGGTGGTACTAATTGGAATATCCAGAGAACCCTCACCCCAAGCCAAAGAACATGGCCGATTTCCTCAAGCCCGAGTACGCCAACCTATAAGCGTACTTTGCAATCAAGGAATCGAGAAAACAACAATCCTCTCGTGCAGGGATATGGACCAAAATGCACGGCCTGTAGCATAGTCGAGTGGCCGCTTTGTGTAGAATGGAATGCAGTGCTTTAGATTTTGTTACCCAATGCTCATCCGAGACCCCCCAACCTATGCATCGCCAGTCGTCAAGTCGTGAGAAAGTCACATGATACTCTCTTATGAGCCCTTTATCGTCATCAGTCCCAATATAACAGCCTCCATCTCTTTCCTCGGGTCAAGTGCCGCTCCATCTCCGTTAACAGCTCCCTTCTTCGGCTTCCCCCCTCCAGCAGGCTCGAGTTTGTAAATTTTCCTCAGTTTAGCCTCATCAGCCCACTGGCCCAATTCCTGCCCCTCCTCCCCGAGAGGAACACTTTCGCCCTTGACGTGCTCCCCTAGATGCTTGGCCACGCTCTCATTAGTGATCTCCGGTGCAAGGCCAAGCTTTACTGCTATCAGACTGGTGGTGGAATCGGCGATACCGAATTTGCGGTAGGATTCGCCAATATTGTTGTTAGGGTGTAGGCGGAAGACCAACTCGCTGTGCGGCGTCCGGGACTTCGACCGTGAAGTCAGATGGAGATGAAGAGCGAGGAACGCTGCAGAGAGGAGTTGTGTCGGGGAGATAATCTAGTCGGTCCCGTCAGTTGCTTGTGAGCAGCAATGAATGAGGAGGAAGAGGTATCAGCACGTGATCATGGTCGAAGAGACTTACCGTCGTTGCGTCGAGGAATGCGTAGTCGAACGCCGAGTCGGCTTCCAGAAGCTTACTCCGCAGGTATTCCGCATTGCTCACATCTTTGAAGAGAGCTATGTGGATGGGATAGTCTGGGTAGTGGGGGAGGGTAAACGTCCGTACGGAAGCCATGACGATGGAGGTTGTGCACAATGGCTGTCTAAGTGGGTATACAGCACAGCTTCTTCCAGTATCGCAATGGATATTGATCCAGAATTTGGTAGTTCTGGTGAATGATACAAGATCTCTTGCCAGGGATACTTCCAACCAATGATGTTTCCCGTACAGTGCCTATTGTTTGCAAAGATGTCCACTGCATTCACATGGGCGGCACCGATTTGGGCAGAATGCGATTTGGCGTGTGCGCACGGACCATTGGTTTACTTTCATCCCACTTTCTATGAAGGGTCGCCAATCGGAGGTTTAAATGGTAAAGATTGACCGCGGAGGAGCTGGGCGCTCAGATATATCTGGAGTATATTATTAAATGTTCTTGCTGATTCAGTCTCTTCCCTGGGTTGTGGTAGTAGTAGAAGCAATTGGTACTGATACCGAACCACGTCTCTCGTGACTTCCCCAGGCTGTTGGTGGTTTGGTTGGTCGGTTGGCAAGCTTGGAAGTCGAGCTCCCGTCTAGAACCTTTGCTACAGTTCACCAACCAACCATCCATCTCACAAGCCGATTCTCTTCCTCGGGATCTCAAACAACAATGTGCCTCTGATGATAGCTTTCTAACACTGTACAGTTGCAGACCGAATAATCAATCGCATTCGCACTCGCATACGCCGAAACAGTAGATACCGAATTGGGTACTACATACCAGATGCGAGCTGTCGCCGTACGTACCTGTGTGATAAGCCGCCTTGTACACGCCCACGCCCACACACGCTCACTGGCTGGTTTGGTCTAAACCGGCTTCGTCGCGTGCAGGGCTGGGAGGAAGTGGGAGCGTCGTTCCATTGACGTCGGCTTTTCCCACGGCGATTCCCTTTCTCTCGTCCACCACATCATGGGTCCCAAGAGGTCGCCAGACGGTGACCTCGACCAGACCTCCAAGATCCCCAGACCCGACCAAGGCGCAAAGCTGCCTCTCACTCCTCTGAGCCGCGCAAGTGACTTCTCTGGAAGCGTCAAGAAGAAATTGGCCAATTCGACGCGTACTGGCCAGGCGTGCGACCGATGCAAGGTACGTGATGCTGCTGCGAGGCTGAACATACAAGCGATCACGGCGCGAATGCTTCACAAATGTGTTTCGTCCCCCGCACAATTATTCAATTGTTTCGTCCAAATGCCACCAAGAGAATCCATCTTGCAGCATATGGCAATGCCTCATCTCGGTACTCACTGACCACCCCCGCTATAGGTTCGGAAGATACGATGCGACGGCCGCCCCGAGGGTTGCTCGCCATGCGCCCAGAACCGCACAGAGTGCAGGACGACCGATCGGATAACTGGCAAAGCTACCACGCGCGGACATGCAGAGGCATTAGAGGGAGAGATCAATTATCTCCGCGCCCATATCGTCGAATTACAAAATCAAGTCAGAGAATTGGGAGGCGAACCGAGATCGGGACCCAGCTACGGCGCGTACAACACCCTGCAGGTATCATGGCAAGCTCCGCCGCCGGCCAACGAAGCCCAGAGCTGGCCGAATCCTTCGCAGTCACGAGCCAGCACGTCTCCATTACCTGGTTATGCACCTGCGAATGAGGTTGGGGTCATTGACTACCGACCTCTTCCAGAATTCAAGATGCAAAGTGTTGGGGACAACTATCTGGGGTTATCCTGCGTGGATTCCATGGTCAGTCATATCAAAGGGACTTCTCTCAAGCTCTTTGGTACTGACATTGACATAACCGACTTTGTGCATGCGGACGACCAAGATTATGAAGAGTCGGTCATGTCCTACAGCCACTTCTTGAAGGTCGCGATGAGCCAGGAGGAAGTGGAATACGTGCCATTCCCTGAGTATCCAGCCCTCAGCGAGTTCGCGAAATGGTATCTGCGATCTCTGAACCCATATACCATGCTGCTCGACAAGCCCTCATTCATGCAATTGGTATGTCACCCCCCAAGTCTGAGCGATTCGAATTCTAATGACTCTAGATATGGCGGATAGGAAATGAGCCAGACTTTCGCCCTTCGCCCGCCGAAACAGTATGCGTCCACATGATGCTGTCTACAATCAAATATCAGATAGCCGTCCGAAACGGTGGCGAGCAAACCATGCTATTGGAATCGCACAAGCACTATCGTTATTCTCTCAGTCTTTTCAAAGACCTTCAGCAGGGCCACACATGGAAAGATCTTCAGGGTCTTGCTTTGATATGTCTCCACATGCGCAACTTCCCTAAGCCTGGAGCTGCCTGGATCGCAGTCTCGACGGTCTTCTTGCTTGCGGTTGAACTGGGCATGCACCGCTCAACGAAGGCGTGGGCAGGTTCGGCCGAGAAGGACCAGCTGGAGATCGAGATGCGGAAACATATCTTCTGGACTCTACACGCGCTACTTTCTAACTTGAGCGGTAAGCTGGGGAGGCCAATGCCTATCAATACCCAGGATATCGATGTCGAGTTTCCTGATCCGGTCAACGACTGCCTTCCTGGGGAGGGTGCTGATTTGAGTCCCTTCCACCAATGTTCCTTCCAGGTGGGCATCCAAACGGCCAAATATACAGCCTGGGCCTCCGAATTGTACCGGACGGTGTACGCCATTCGGCAGACCCCGCACGGGTATGAAGAGGCTGTCCGACGCCTGGAGATCGGGATACGAGACTGGAGGCAAAACATTCCGGCGGAGATCAGCGAGCCGTCTCGAGCCTCACAAGACGACTACATATTTGCACTATATCTCGAACATTGGGATCAGGAGTTCCAGCTTCTCCTCCATCACCCCGCAGTATGCCGTTCCACGAACCAAGAAATGATAAAGTCGAATTCCGACAAATGTCTCGCAGCAACTCAGAAGATGCTCCACAACTGCAACGAAATGCGGAAACTCAAGTGTTTAGACATCCCCTGGGTCAACACGGTTGTTTACATAGCTGCCATTTCGGTAACGCTGTTTGTTTACTTCGAGAGGAAAGACACACTGACTTCGGCGGACATGACGAAGCTCAGGGAAGATATGGATCAGTGGCTTGACGTCATGAAGGACTGCGGTGAACTCCATGGTAAGTAGGGAGTTCATTTCTTGATGGAACACGATCTAACAACGCGTAGGAACTGGTATTAAGCTCAGGCAGGCCATTGAAAAGGTCGTGGTACAGCAACTTCGCAGTATCAACGACAGCATCGTGAAGAGGACTGCAACAGAGTCGCTAGCCCATGTGGCCCTCCAAATCCCACAAGAGCAGGCAGCAACCATCTACCCTAACAGCGATGGCTATAACCAATATCCTGATGCCAATGCCAATCCGGCAGACCCAGCTCTGGGCACCTCAGGACTGCCCTATACGAGTGGCCCCCCAGAGGTCTCATATCCTTACAACAACGGTGCCTCAAGTACTACCACCCAGCAAGCAGCCGATTCGTTTGAGCAACCTCAATTCAGTGGCGAAGACGCCAGCATGTCGGCTTCTCATGCCGCGGCCCTTGCCGCGGCAGCCTCTAGCGCAGCGGCATCGCAACGGCCGAACGAAGGTTACGCCTATTCTAACGCGCCAGGTACCAGCAGCAGCCATCCGGCTCCGTACCCTCCGAACAGCGGTGTCACGCCGACCGGGTGGCGAAATTGGCAGAAGACGTACATGCAGCAGATTGGCCCTACGGAAGGCGAATATCTAAATACAGCAAACACCCTGATGACCCTGGGGACCGCCAGTCAAGAGAACCAGGTCGCTGGGCAAGAAGGCACGAGCGACGTTGACAGCTCGGCGATCCAGGGCCAAGCGTCGTTCCAGTGGCCAGCGATCATGTACGGGCCACCTGATGGTGGACACGTAACTCAATAGCCCCCATCCGCCGAGAAACCCTCCCCCAAACCAAATAAATACTCGATATTGGGGGAATGGGAGAAGGGGGAGGAAAATATGTGATGTTTTTAAGCGACTTTCTCTTGTTTATTTTCTTCACGAGCGCAGGGAAAACAAAAATCTAGAAGGCGTTGATTCTCGGCTAGTAGCCTGGGCGGACATGGGGCGAACCCCGGCTTTTCATATGGGAGAAGTGTTAGGGCGTGAGGCTCTTCTTTTTGCCTGACTGCCATTTGTACGATACTAAGTTTGGAAACAGCGACGGGATACGTTGCTGGTGCTCGTGACCACCAGGCGGGTGGTACGGGTAAAGGATGGGTATGGGTGGGTATGGTGATCTGGACGATCGATCGAAAAGGTCCAGAAGGGTGTGCGAATCGTCGTCGTCAATATGTACATGTACCTCTCTCTATCCGTCGGACGAGGGAGAGAGAGAGAGGGAGGGAAGAACCCGGGAAGCACGAAGGAAGGATACGATTAATACCTAGGTAGTTATTAGTACAGAAAGAAGAAGCGTAACAAGTGACCGTACAGCATAGCCATTGCGCGCGTGTAACTTTTCCCTGGTGGAACGATGGCCCAATGCGTTGGTAGCTGGATCTAGGTACATAGTTCCGTGTTGTTTATGTTTGTCAGATCAATTTTTGTGCACGTGGAATTCGACGCAGATAACGCGGAGATGAGTGTGTAACAGGAAGGCAGGAAAAGATGGGCGAATCTTTGACCAGAAGCGTGTGTGTGTGGTGTCAGGGCGTTTGCAAGTATCCGCGGGATGGGCAGAGCAGGCAGGGCAAGGCATTAGGACGGTAAGGGAAGGTTTCTATGTGTGCATGTTCGGTAATACGTAAATACAACAACACGAGTGACGAGTCGGTGCTGGTAGTACGCGGTAGGTGTTATCGTTCGTACAGCGTTCGTATGTAACTACATATGTACAGTACCTATGTACAAAGTTCTGGGTTATGGGCTTCGGATTCGCAGCATATGCGCGCCTATTGGGATCGCCGTTATTATGGCTTTTGTAAGATTCATAATTTCGGTCGACCCGGTCCAGGTCCAGGTCCAGGCGAGTAATCCGTAGTGTCTGTTCATCTACAGAGTTGTGATAGTGGACGGTAATAAGTAGTCATTATCATATCGAACCGTATAACTACCTGTACAGTAAGGCAGTCAACTAACCACCTAGGTATGAAATGTCCAGGGTGTTTGGGGACTTTGATTGAGTTTCCTAGGCATGCAGACAGATTAAGCGTTCATGCGCTAGTCCTTGAAGGGAAGGAGGGAAGCTAACAGTCCAGGGACAACAGGGATGTGATTGGTTGCAGTTCCTTCTTGACCCTTCTTGAGTCCTTCCCCGCTATGGCAATTCATAGTCATCACCAAATCCTCCACTGGCAGTGCCAGTAGGTACTCAATAGTCCTCACTGTTCTCTACTTGCGCTATCGTCTTCATCTCCACCGTGCCGTGCCGGTACGTGCCTTCTCCTCCACCTCCCACAATCATACAAGCTCACGGGTTGTCCCACCTTCCCGGTACGCCCTGGCGTCCACCTTAGAAACAAGATTCGCCGTGCTTGCTCGGCACTCTACTGGCTTTTCTAACCTCGTACGCCTTCCGCTGCTCGTTCGATGGGGCTCCCAATGCAGCATCATGCACGTCTTACCCCCGGCACACGAGAACTTGGGATCCTGATAGTGGCCAACCGAGCTCCATCGACATGCAACCTTCTCTGTTGTGTCTCGGAACCGTGAGGTATATTAGGAGCTCCTAACCTCTTGCCCTCGGAGCTCTCGTGCTACCTCCACCGCCTTTCACCTCTCACTTTCACTCACCGTCGTTCGCGTGAGGTGGCTCTGGGTCCGCTGCGGCACTGTAGAAGCCAATTGCTCTCCTGCTTCGAGTCTACTGCCCCTGTCGTCAATTGCTTCTGCTGCTCTAGCCATGCGTGCTTCCACAACAGCATGGGCGCTCGCTCTTGCGGGCATCCAGGTCTCCTCGGCCATCAATGCCGCCACCGTCCACAAGCTGAACGACTTGGCTGAGATGGGTCTTTTGCCTGACGGAACGTCCATGGGTCATGCCGTCTTTGTGCCTGAGCTTGCCAACCTCAAGGTTGCAGCGCCCGCGTATCCTCCACCCAGCAAGCCGGAGGTAATCACGCCTGAATATGTGGAGCTACCGCTAGACCATTTCGCAAAGAACCAGGACTACAGCTACCACGGTACCTTCAACAACCGCTTCTGGGTTGCGGAGGCTGCCTATAAGCCCGGCGGCCCCGTCTTCATCTACGACGCAGGCGAGGCGAACGCCGCGAACAATGCCTTGTTCAGACTGCAGAACGAGACGAGCTTCTTCAAGCAGCTCGTGGACAAGTACAATGGCGTTGGTATTGTGTGGGAGCACCGATACTGTAGGTCTCGAATTCTCCATTGATTGACACGCGATGCTAACAATTGTAGACGGCAACTCCACCCCAGAGCCCATTGACCTGAACACCCCACCTGAGGTGTTCAAATGGCTCACCACCGAGCAATCCCTCGCGGATGTGGACAAGTTTGCCAAGCAGTTCAAGAGGCAGAACATCAAGCAAGACCTCACTCCCAAGAAGACTCCATGGATCTTCGTCGGTGGCTCCTACCCGGCCATGCGCGCCGCTTTCATGCGTGAGAAGTACCCTGATACTATCTACGCCTCATTCGCCTCCTCCGCACCCGTCGAGGCCCGCACCGATATGTCTGTCTACTTCGAGCCCGTCTGGCGTGGCTTGAACAGGTACGGCTTCGGCAACTGCTCCCAGGACATCCACGCCGCCATCAACTACATCGACAACCTCCTCGAGAAGAGCCCGGCCAAGGGTGCCGAGCTCAAGAAGCAGTTCTTGGGTCTTGGAGCTGAGAAGAACTCGCACGCCACTTTCGCTGATGCTCTCACCACCCATTTCTCCTACTGGCAGTCATACGGCGTCGACGGAGCTCCATTCGGTCTCCGCGGCTTCTGCGACTGGCTCGAAACTGACCCCTCTGCTGGAAACAAGACCGCCCCTGCTGAGGGTTGGGCAAAGACCAAGGGTGCCAACTACACTGTCGCCAGATGGTCGCAGTTCCCATACCTTGCGGACATGGTGAACGGCTTCTTGGAGACCAACTGCTCTGGCGATGCGACCGTCCAGGGAGACTGCGACTTGGACAGGCAATTCACCGACCCATCCATGATCTCCTGGACATGGCAATACTGCACACAGTGGGGTACGTATACCAGAAGACATGAAAGCTTTTACATCATGCTAACAATCAACCAGGATACTTCCAGTCCGCCAACCTCGGCCCTCAACAGCTCGTGAGCAAGTTCAACAGCCTCCGTCACCAGCGCGACATCTGCCACCGCCAGTTCCCGACCGCAAAGGCGCCTCTCTTCCCCGACTGGCCACGCACCGACCGCACCAACGACGTCTTCGGCGGCTGGGACATCCGCCCCTCCAACACCTACTGGTCCGGCGGCGAGTTCGACCCCTGGCGCACGCTGTCCCCGCTCACCGGTGAGCCCGGCTACCCCAAGCCGCGCGCCTTCACCAACCCGCCCAAGTGCGGAGAGGAGCAGGACGAGGACGACATCTTCGGATACACCCTTCCCAATGCCCAGCACTGCTACGACTTCAGGACCTACTTCGCCGGCGGCGAGATCTCGAGGACATACTTCACCAACGCGCTTGACAAGTGGTTGAAGTGCTTCAAGCCCCGGGGCGGTCACTAAGTAAACAAGCGATGAATCTATATATCCCGGGTACCCAAAGTGCCACCGTTGATAGTCGTCGATATAATAGTGAAATGACGTACGTGAAAGCAAATAACGAAAAAAAAAATATTCAAAACTTCATATGTGCCTGCTCTGCCCCTCAATATTTGTGACATTGTGTACGGTGGTGATCTGAAAGTTTTACGTTGGATCCGTCGTCTTTGGTTCATGTTTTCTTTCCTTCGAATGTTCCTTTTTTTTAATGTGCAATATGTACACATCTACACACCTAGTTTAAGCCGCTTGTATGTTGTATTGATGCTGTGTTGTTTTACATTACATTAACTGTGGTATTCATGAACGTAACTTTCTATAAAACATGTGATAACATTAACTTAAAACTCTACAAAAATAGTAAACGAAAGAATAAGGCATTTAGGAGAGAATTGCTTTTGTGAATTGAGCGCGGTTCTCTAATTTTACGTGGTTATATGGGTTTTCAATACTGTTTTAGGTGCTTGGGGGACGTTGTTCGTTGTTGTATGTAATTGTCTGGCTGTCTGAGCTCTAGGTGTCAGGCCTTTGAAAAAGCTCTTGATAAGAGCGATGACGACATGGCGGCAGCAGTAGATATTGAGAAATGATTTTTTTGGTTTACTTTCACTGCTTCTCTTGCCAATTTATCGTCCATGTTCACATTCAAGACGTCTCCTAAGTCCAGTTATTTGTGTTCCAGTACAGACCACCATATACTTCAATCAGGCATCTTCGCATATCCTCACAGCACACACACGTCATTGGAAACGACAATTTGAACAACGAAGGTTATATTCATATTATTACCTCATAATCTACAACCAGCCCGTCGAACTGGCCGTAGCCATAAGCACATCTACACATATCTTTCTCGGAAATGGGAGCCAGACAAAAAGTAAAAAAAAAGGGTTAGGCATCATGCGCCCATCTCGAACGATTTCCAGGAAACAAAGGAAGAAAAAATATATCCTTCATCCTCCCCATCAAACGTGTGCACCGTAGCGCCCCCCGTTTAGCCAACTAATCATTGTTTGTGTGTGTATGTGTACGGATTTCGACTGATTATCAACCACCTTCTCCCCTCGGCTTTTTTGTTGGAACAGGAAAAAGGGGCAAAGAAATTTGTTTTGAAGGTTATACGATGGAAGATCCAGACCGGACTGGTGGACGGCCTGCGTAAGAAGTAGAAAATGGACCGACTCGAGGGTCGAGAGGATGTAGGCGGGCCCGACCGAAATGAACAAGAAAATTTACAATGCCAGGAAATTCAACATGGTGTCTTCTCACCAACTCCGGAAACGCCACCCGATGGTATGTTTGGCAGGTATGACAATGCTGGCTATGCCAAAGCGACCGTTGCTAACGAAAGGAGCAACATAAGAGTCTATAGCACACGCAACGCGCGCAAAGGAAAGAGGAAACGCTGAACAGGAAAGTGGCGACGAAAAGGAGGGGACAATCACTCCGCGCCCTTTTCGTATTTCACTGGATGGAACAGTGTCGGCCGGATGCAGAGGCGGCCGGTGCCGTTCTCCTCTGCCTCAGGACCGCCCTGGTTGTTCTCCCGCGAACCGAGCCATCGTCTCCACAGCTCAGACGAGAACCCGGCATTGTAGTAAAAGCTGTTGCCGAGCTGGTTGTGTTCACCCCAGCCGAAGACGCTGTCGGTGGGTTTGGGAGGGTGGTTGAAGGTGCCGTCGATGGCGCCGAGGGGCCAGTTGTGGTCGAAGTAGACGGCGTGGGGTGCGTAAACAGCCTTGAGGCCGTGGTGGAAGGCGACGGTCGACGGCCACATCTCGGGGAACATGTGGTGCTTCATGAGGTAGGTCTCGCGGTGCATGGCATCGAGGAGGCGCTTGGATAGACGCGAGACGGTGATGATGGCGCATCGCCTGGGTGGCTCGGGAAGCTCGAGGTCGTAGCCAGAGACGTCGTCACGGAAGACCCAGTTGGTCTTGGCAGGGTCGAAGATGGGGTTGAAGGTGATCAGGTCGGCATCTTCGCCAACTCCCCACTCGTAGTTGTCCTGGACGTACGAGGTCTTAGGCTCGACCTCGGGGAGGGTATCGAGCATGCCAGAGTTCTCGAACTTGGGAGGACCCCAGACCGGCTTCTCATCGCTGTGGTATGTCTCCTCCTCGACCATCTCGGTGAAATTGTGCCACGATCCATGGAGCTCTGGGATATAGTAGCGAGAAGCACGCTCCCAGATACCCTTGCGGGGCTGACGCTTGGCCCATTCACCGATGCGGTTGTTGAACTCCCAGTAGTGACCGCTGAGGCGGAGATCCATCTCCCAGTTCCAGTAGAAGTCGTAGTCAGGATGGGCCTGGGCGAACCACTGCATGGCGAAGTGGGCGCTGCGGTAGACGGAGTGGACGGGAGCCTTGGCGTGGTTGTAGACGTTGTTGGGGAACGGCTCGGGGTAGTACATCCTCATCTGCTGCTCCGACCAGAGGACGGCCATGTTCCAGAACTCCTTGGGGAGGTTATCCTCAATTGTTTTGCGGTAGACCTCCTCCGAAGACCAGATGGGAAGGCTGTCATCCTTGACGTGGAGCAAGAAGTAGACGTCGTACTCGCCACCGGACTTGAGAGCAAGCTCGTTGATCATGGCACGGATGGTCAGGATCTGGTAGTCGCTGTACTTGTAGCCGGTCCAGGTGCGGAGAATGTAGGCATGGCGCTTGACCTTCTCCTTGGCGGTGGGATCGTTCTCGGCAGCCGTGGCGTTCTTCTGGAAACGAATCTTGTTCTTCTCGTGGCACTTCTTCTGTGCTGTGCCCCAGTCAACGTCACGGTAGTCGACCTTCTTCTCCCAGCTCCAGATCTTGTCGGCACCACCAGCCTCGGACTTTTCGGACATGCCGAGACCACCCTCTTCGCGGGAGTACGAGTAGCCATAGGGACCGAGGCGGCCGTAACGTTCGAAGCAGACTTTGTCGTTGATGCCCAGCTCCTCGTAGGAGCCGAAGAAGGGCTCGGTCTGGTTCTGGGGAATGCCCTGGTAAGCGTAGATATCAGGCAACTCGGTCTTGGTCTCCTCGTTCAAGTAGCAAGTCTCGACCCGTTCGTGCTTGTTGAGGTAGGCAGCCGAGTTCCAGTCGGGGTAGGGGTTGAAGGGAGCAATGTCGACGGTTGGCTCCTTGTGTTCCTTGGACATCGTGGGCCACTTTGGCTTGATGTTGTCCTCGGGATTGCTGCTAGTCGATTTTCGGATAAACTCTTGCTCTGAAACATAGTCCCGGTGGGGAACCAAGGTGCGCACACCGTTCCAGAAACCAGTCAACCTAGGTCACGTCAGAACTTTTCGGCTCTTGCTTGTCACGGACGTAGCTTCGCTAGGGGTAAGTAGACTCACCGAGGATAATGTTCCCAATGGTAGAGCTTTCGCTCGTCTGGCCTATTCCGGTCCTCGTTCCATCTATGTCTCCTGTAGACGCTTGTGCCGATCATGGACGCGATGAGGAGGGATGCGACGACGAGGGTGAGGATGCGAGCGAAGGAGAGGCGCGGCCGTTGCAGGCGGCCCACCCATGGTGCTCTGTGTTTGAGGGACTTGAAGGTGGGTGTGCCGAACAGAGGCGATGCGGTCTGGCTGTCGGCGCCGGGTAGCTTCTCGTAATTGAAGCGTGTTCGGATGAACATCTTGTTCTTCATACTTGAAAAACGCGACATGATGTGAGCGGTGGTAGTGATGTGCGTAGATGCGGGTTTTGTTTTGCAAGGCAAGGCAAGACAAGATTGCAATGCGTGCGATGCGTGTATGTCCGGTTCTAGAAATGGACGAGTCTAATGGATTGGGAGTTGTATAAATTAGGGGTGCATCTGCGGCGGCTGGAGAGGACGGCTATAAACCGTGAACCGTGGACCGTGGATGTGAGGCTACAGACAGTAGGCTGTAGACTGCAGAGTGTGGAGAAGAATGGAGAAGGAGGAGGTTTTCAGTCTGCTTATCGAGGAGAAGCGTGTTGCTTGGTTGCTTGGAGGACGAGCCTGGGCGTGTACGCGGCTGGGTGATGATAAGGAAAGACGGGGGGGTGGAGGAAAAGATTAGGGGCTAAAGTGGTATGTGTGTGCTGCTGGAAACGAGCGGAGGGTCGTGAGCGAAGACGACGGCGAAGACGACGACCAAGGCAGGAGGATATGAGCAGAAAGAAGATGAAGAAGAGGAGGAGGAGAGGAGAGAGAGAGAGGAGATGAGAGAAGAGAGGAGGAGAGGAGAAGTCCGGGGCCGAGAGGCGTGGGAGGAGAGTGGAGGTGAAAAAGGATTGGAGGAGGTGAGAGGATGTCCGGGGGGTGGGAGGAGGGTTGAGAGGATTAGGAGGAAGTAGGAGCAGGAGAAGGAGTAGGACTGTAAGAGGAGGAGGACGAGTAGGAGGGAGATGGTCCTGGGAGAGAGAATTGAGTGGGTGAATAGAGAGGCACAGCAGAGACAGGACAGGATTAGGTAGAGACAGTAATAATAAAATATGGATTTGATGTCGGCAGGCGGCGAGAACGCAAGAGAATTGGACGAAGACGAAGACGAAGAAGGCACGGACGGACTGCAGGAGGGAGGAAAGAGCTAACTGCTAACTAGGGGAAGAGCATTTAGGGGGGGGGGGAGGTAGGGGGAGGAAGAGGAGGTTGAAGAAAAAAGGGTGGTGGGAGAGTCACCCTTGATTGGCCACTCAGCCAAAACTAGTGGAGATCCGGGCTTTGCAGGGAAGGTGCGATAGAGAGAAAACGTGAAAAGAAAGAGACAGAATTAGAGGAGGAAGGTACGGATTGGGATGGTAATAATCATCTGCTAATATCTCTACTCTAATTCTGCTCCCAATCTAACCATTTGCGGTGGTTTTTTTCCTTCCTTGGTTGGACGATGATTATTTCCTCAGATCTTCATGGAAAGATAGATATAGTTGTCGATAATTGACGACTTGGAGAGCTTCAAGTTGTCATCTGGAGCTGAGCGAAGGATGGGAGTCGTGGGAATTTCGGGCTGAGGATCCGTCACCCAAGTAATCGCAATAAAACCACCTGACATCCCATGATTCTCATCTCACCCCAATACTCTGATCCCTTCGTGAGGAGATATCGAGCGACAGAATAACAAGGAATCATGTACGGAGTAGGTATACTTGAACAGTCCTAGTCTCTTGTTGGAGTGGGTGATGATGATGAAGCAAGCAGAGGCAGACCCACCAGCATGAACGACACAAGCCTCAAGTCAACATGCACTCCAGCCAAAACAAGAATTTCCAAGGAAAGCCGCCGCCGCTCCCTGATGTCTCCCAACAAGCAAGCATTAATTATCGTTGGCGGTTCGTATCATCTATCAGAGTATGTACGGAGTAATATTCAATTTATTGCCTCAACCATCCCTCCATCTAGTCAGTCAGTCATTCAGTCAGTTGACTGATGGATTGACGTGACGGAATGAACAAACAAACACGTCGATAAATAAACAAATAGTGATCCCAAGAACCGATCTGCGGTCTTCTCCCACGCTCAGGAGACCTTTACCATGGGATGCGATGTATGCGAAGGAAGGTGCAATGGAAGGAGAGTAGGAGGGGGTTTCTCCACCTCCCACGCTCCTTCCTCATCAGCCGCACTCCCGCCTTCCCAACCTACTATCCCTGGGTAGTCACTGCCTTTCTGGTCCCAACAAATACGGAGGATGCCATCACTACAACCTCTTCTTCACTTTACTCCGTAGGTCTCAACGATTCAACTCAATAATACTCCGTACATTCTCGCTGTCATAATTATTTATTGCGCATGTGCTAGGTACGGTGTGGCCAGGTACATTCGATACATGCAAATCATCACTCGATCCAGCGTTTGGGGCACCGTAGTCACCATAGTCACCATACAATTTGGGAAGAGCTGTCGTAAGCTGTCCGACAAAAAGGACCCACTCCTGCCCGTCCACCGGCCGCCATCAGATATCTCCTCTGTCGTCTGTTCTAACAATACGGGCCTTGAATCTTGAATCTTGATAGCCTTACACAGGTGACAGTCCACGGTCCATACAAGTTTTGTAGTGAGGATTAATTGTCCTAGCGCTCTCCACTACAAGTAACTACAAGTTACGAGACTGACACATACTATCCTCCTACTTACCTAGTCGCTGCGCAGGAATTACTCGTAGCCCTCCTGCCCAGCCTCCATCAATGTGTCTGGACTCTGGATCTGCCCTGCGGTGGTTCTTCTACGTTGCCCGCCATCTAATCACCCATATTGTGTGAAAGACCACGAGCTGTCTCAGGCCGCCAGCCTTCGTCGATCCTGCTATCTAATCGCCAGTGCTCCATACTGTGTAGTTACAAGTAGTAGCAGTGGCAGTACAAAACAGTAACATCATTGTACATAGTCCGTAACCACAGGTAAGTCGCAATAAGAGAATTGACCAACTACTGGTATGAAACCCGGCAAGTGTCCGTCCATCAATCACTCAGCAACGCAATACCGCCAGGAACGCGCAACTCCTCGACGATCTCGAGACCCATCTCTCCATCGGATTCCCACTGCACCATGCCCTTCTTGCCCTTGTGCCTGTTCTTGCGCTCAAGTCCTGCTCTTCTCCCCTTTCCCATAGTTACTGCAACAATAATAATACGAGCATAAGTAATCATCCATCGTCTGGCGATCATTGATCGTTCGCAGATTAACCCCTGACTGCTTGAGCCGGTATTGAATTCTATCCTCCTCTTCATTCGTCTTTCAAAGACTTGTATCAGATCAGTCATCTTGCTCTATTTTAATTTGATTAATACAGAACCGGCGCAAAAAGTGGCAAAATCGCGTGCGCGTCTCTGCCAAGCCACCTGTCCCTCGTCTCGCTCCCGCCAGAGGATCCCGGAAGCCCATCCCGGAATAGCTTCACCACTGCTCGTCCGTCCGCTCCCTACAGTATTCAGCACACATCCTGCAGTTTGCATGAATACCATCTTCATAGTCATCATCACCATCATCAATATTGTCACTTTTGCAATTGGCCTGTTGTCGGTGTCTCCGTACACACAATGAACAGCTTCTCTCGAGAGCGGAAGGTCGCTGAAATACGAGCATAGAGCGTCGTGGCTTGATATCCCATCCCGCTCAACGCCTCTATTGCTCTGGTACGGTTCCATGGCTTGGCGTGACATACCGGACAATCTCATCAACAGCCATGCCATGCCATGCCATCCCAAAAATTATTCCTTCCATCCATCCCATCCATCCCATCCCTCGGCGGCCATCCACGCTGTCCACCACCATTACCACCATTACAAAGGGTACGGTACGGTAACACTCCGTACTACGACCGCCAACCATCGCCATCGCCATCGCATCGCCCCCATCGCCCATCGCCCATCGCTCATCGGTCCGCAATCCTTCCAATCAATCGCCGCCCGTCCCAACCAAAACGTCACTAGCTGATAGACCTTGCGCGCCCCTGGTCCCTTTTTCTTTTCGCTGCGCTGCCCCCCCCCCCGGTCCGGGACCGCGACTGGTGTCATGCACCGACGTTGCTGCGCTACCGGCGCCTCCTCGGCTTGGGATGGGTGTGTCGCTTTGCGGCGCGACGTGCCTGGGGAATGGCATCACTACCTACCGAGGAGGTACTCTGTAGATACCTCTTTGTTTGATGCTGTGATTGATTGTCGAAGTGATGTGAATGTGAAGCTGTGATTTCAAAGTGTCATACTAACTCGACCGTCGGCCCATTATCGACAACTTCCTTCCCAGCCTTACGGCATAATTAGACCTCGGGAAGATTAAAAGATCAAGGCAGTTTGGTACGCCGCATTCCCGCCGTATTAGTATGTAATTCTGAAACACCATCTCTTGTGTAAAAGTAGGTATGGTATGTACCACGTTCTCCCAGCGTGGAAATGGATTGATGCGGTTGATTGAAACGTCTGTTTCTTTGTTCGTGGATTATCAAGGCAGTGGAGTGTCCTGCTGCGTACTATTTTTTGATGCTGTTGTTAGTATGAAGTGACGTCTGCACGGTTCAAGCGACGAGTGGAGAGAGTTACGAATTCAATCCATACGCTGTAATAATAGAAAGAGACAAGCAATGAAGGAAAGGATACGTTGTTAACACATTCTTATGGAGGTGGCTCTGTAGGCAGACTTGAGCATTTCAAGTTGTTATTTTACGGGTAGGAAGATGTATGTACCCTTTTCCCGAGTAGGAAGTATGCTCGTGATGTAGATGCCAAGAATTTAGATGTTTGATTGCATGCCAGCCTTGTGGGGTTGTTACGGAAGAGAGTCTTTCCATATGTAACGAGTGACGAGATACACTAGGCCGATACTCTGTAGTTCTGACAAGATAAAGCACAAAAGAAAGGACACTTCCAAAGGCAGCTCCAAGCAAGTGACCCTGTAGGCAGAGGGACTGGAATGTTGGAAAAGCTGCCTGTCGTAGATAGCAAAATATATGTATCCCTGTTCGTTAAGCATGCTTGATGCTCGTGATGTAGATATATGCTAAAATTAGGGTGTTGCCTGAAAGTCTTATGAACGTCTACGGAAAGAAGCACTCCTTGTGTTATGACTAGGGTAGATCTCGGTTTTCAATGATGTGATTTACTCTTGCGCCGAGGTAGGCAGTCTTGCAGGTAAATGTGCTCGTATTGGAAGTTGTGGTCCAGCGTCACCTAAGAGCGTTGATGGGTACGGAGTCTGTAAGGTATGTATAGGTGTTGGAAGATGACGTATTGTCTACTTGAGCTATAAGCCATTTAACAGTGGGAAGATGTTGAGTATTCGGTGATTGGATGATGAAGGGTAGGTGTGAGGTGACCTAAAGATTGGCTTTGATGGTGAATATCTGACATTAGTTCTGTGGTAGGCATGGTTGTCGAGCAGGAGATAGATCTCCTCAGTTCAACAATGGTGCTGTATGCTATGTGGTGAAAGAATGCCTTGTCCATATTGAGGATAGATGGCTTGTATGAACGGTTTGTGTATATGATTCTCAAAAAGTGAGTGTACCAGTAGTGTAGGCACTGCCATGTATTGTGCCAGATGGTTATTCTGTTCGGTTGTCTAGCTATTGTCAGTACTGCTTTCGCTATATAGAGGGTAGACACGTAAAAATTTACACTTGCTAGAGCTTTCAGCATATAAAAGGAATCATACGCATATCTACAACCTCTGATTTGCTGTACCCTATCATTCCTCAGCCTTTGTACCTCAATTGATAGACTATACCTTTTTGATCTTGTCAATGATATGCGTCGTAGCATACAATCATCACATGCTACTTATAAGTTGTCGCTTCACCTACTTCTACTCAACATTTGAACTACCATATATAGCCGGTTGGAAGTAGTCTAAATCCTTCACACAATGGATGTTATGGAAGGACTTCAAAACGCGAATGTGTAAGTGTGGGCACCGAAAACTACCCAAGTTTGGCCAGCCCAACATGCCTACTCTCTCTGTGGGTCGATGCAGAGGACTGCATCTGCCTGAGGCCAGCCTGATTGCTCTTCTGCTAGCCAAAATGATTGTGTAGATTTTCTGCACGTACCCAGTCCCGACCTGATCGCTCTTCTATCAGCACGTCTGCCTGAATTGGGTCACTATCACTATCACAATCACCATACACTACTCTTATTCACTCTGCTCTCAACTCACACTACTCTTAAGCACACTCCTCTTACCCACAACCCTCTTACCTACACTCCTCTTACCTACACTCCCCTTCTATACACTACTCTTCTATACACTACTCTTCCATACACTACTCTTCCATACACTACTCTTCCATACACTACTCTTCCATACACTACTCTTCCATACACTACTCTTCCATACACTACTCTTCCATCAGCCAATGTTACAAGATGGATCCCATCAAAATTACAACTAGCATCACTGCTATCCTCGCTGACACGCAAACAGTTCTTGGGTACTTGAAAGACGCAAAAGATGCCCCAGAAGAACGCAAACGATATACCGCTGAGATCATCAACCTCCGCACACTGCTATTCGATATAGAGGACCACGTTAAGTGGGCAGATATCACTCAACTAGGGTACACTGCTGTCCAGGCTCTCACAGTCAAGGATGGACCTCTCGACCAGTTCAAACAAGCGCTCGAAATGATGCAAGGGGACCGACAAGGGAGGGAAGGTGACACGCTAGTATGGAAATTCGAGAAAGAAGATATTGCGAGTATTTTCAATCGAATGGAGCGTTTGAAGTCGCTGTTGCAGCTTGCGTTACCAGAGGCCAATTTGTAGGTTTCTACTACTACTGCTGGTTGCATCGCTAATATAAGTCAGCAAACTTTTGAAAAGCATCACAAGTGACATCGAATCTGTTCGGGACAATATGCGGGATATTCGGGACAATATGCGGGATATTCGGGACAATATGCGGGATATTCGGGACAATATGCGGGATATTCGGGCCAATCTGGAGAAGGTACTGCAATACCAGGAAGACTATAAGCACCGTCGACTGGTGGAATGGATATCCCCCTCAAAATATCCAAGTCAACACTGGGACATCATGAAGCGCAGAGTAGAAGGAACAGGCCAGTGGTTTTTGGACGCACCTGAGACGGCAAAATGGCTCACCGAAGTCAATGGAACCCTCTTCTGCACAGGAATGCCGGGAGCAGGCAAGACTATGATAGCCGCTATCGTGATTGACCACCTACAGAGATCAACGAGGCACAACTTGGATGGTTTGGCTTATGTGTTCTGCAACTATAAACTTCGAAAGGAGCAGGATGCTCAAAGTATGCTGGCGGCCATTCTACAGCAACTAGTACGTGCTCGTCCATCGGCTGCAGAACCTGCAGAACAACTACACAAGCGGTGTACTCTCAGGGGAACCCCACCGTTACTTGACGAAATCTACAGCGCTCTTCAGGGTGTGCTCCACCATTACTCTACGACCTATATAGTAATTGACGCCCTGGACGAATGCCGAGAGAATGTCCGCGATACTCGTGCATTCCTTGCCAAACTCCAAGCCCTACAAGCTGGACGAGATCTTCGCCTCATGGTTACCTCACGGTTCATACCATGGATTGAAAAACTATTTGGCGAAGCGACGAAGTTGGTGATTCGGGCCAACGAAGAAGACGTGAAGCGCCTCGTTGCAGATCGATTGCCCGATTGCATTGAACGCAATAAACGCAGTGAAGAGCTGAAAGTCATGGCTCAAGCAAAGATCGTGGAGGCGGCAGACGGAATGTATGTCTCTAGTTCGATTTTAATTAGCTAGCTAGGCTAACTTACTGCTAGGTTCCTCCTTGCTCGACTGCATGCAGATTCACTGTCGGAGATGATATCGGAGTTAGAGTTTGTGGAGTATCTTGAGGAGATCTACAATGACTCAACCGCAATCGATGCTGCATACAAAGATACTATGGCTCGAATTGGAGGCAATTGAAAGATGACCGGGAATGGGCCAAGAACGTATAGCATGGATCACCTTCGCCAAAAGACCGCTTACCACAGCTGAAATTTGCTGTATTCTAGCAATAGACCCTGAGGAAGGAGGGATTGATCCGGAAGGCATATGCCGTGTTATCTACGTGTGCAGGTTTCGTCGTTCTTGATCGGGAGAGTTCTGTCGTCCGTCTCGCACACCACACTGTGCAGAATTATTTCGAACGGATCAAGGGTGCATGGAGACCATCAGCACGGGAGCAGATCGCTAACGCATGCGTGACCTATCTGTCCTTGAAAGAGCTATCCTGGGAAGCGAATGGGGGTGAGGCAATTGTCAAAATGCTGCTTTACGCCAGCAAGGTAAAAGTAGACTTAAAATATGGCGAGTCGTGGGATGCAGAGCGGGAGCGAAATATCATAGCAGAACTGCTTCAATCCTATCAGGTTGCGTACGGAAAGTAGCCACGTCAAGCTACCCGCCTGTTAGCCTCATATATTTTCTGTGCCCGAATTAGCTATGTAGGAATATACGGAAATCATTCAAGAGTAGTGCAAAGCCTTACAAATGAGTATTTTTGACAGAGGATTGCTACCGGTTGACACCCCAAAAAGCTCTGCCAGCATTTGAGCATGTGTGGACAGTTGTTGGCACAAATTATTACGAGGTGGATAGCCCGACGTGTCGACAAAATACACCCTGTGGCTTGATTATCTGGTGTAATATAAGAATCTTTAGTATTCAAGAGCGGTACGGCAGCTTTCCTTCGTTTTTCCCCCTTTGGAGTATGCCTTGGGATGAAGTGATTCATATTGTCGCGTATAGACACCTCTGTAGTAAGGGGCATCACAGGCACGACCCGCAATTGGTGGATAGATAGTATAAGCAGATGTTTCTCTCTATCGATAGGCCTTGGGGGGTAGGGAGATGATGCCTCAATCTCTCTCGGCAGCCCTGATCGATCTATCAATGCCCTGCGTATTGCCTTTCCCCATACACGTGATCCCCGAATAGCCTCATCTAACCTGCTATCCCACAATATAGTCATCGAAAATCACCCATTGTCTATATAAACTGTGCAAAAATTCACCAGTATTGAGTACATATGTAGAGTGGCAGCTGAAACGGCCATTCTTCCGCCACGGAGGGTTGTTAATGCGAACCAGTATCGTCCATATGTGCCACGGTGACTGTCCGTCTGCCTCGTTGGTCCCTCCAGATCAGCTTTGGACCAGCTCTGGTGCTGAGGGAATAATAGAGTAAGTAAAATTCAACCAACTGAAAAGTAGTCGATAAGAAACTATTCCATTCACTTCTGCTCATCTCTCTGAAACTCATGAGGAACTGCATCATTCTCTTACACAGGAACGAATAATATACAAGCACTTTTCCTTTTCCTATCCAATGTCATACCAAGGTAGAAACCTGCTCAACAGCTCCAAAAAAACCCAAAACAAGACAATTTTACAATCTGTCGTCGCCTGTCTGCCTGCACATGCCGTCTGTCTCAATCTTTGCCAAACATCATGTCTCACGCTAGATCCTCCCTTCTCCTACTACCAAAGCTCTCCTGTCCACCCCCGCAATCGCTATCCGTCTCCCTCTATTTATGTTTCATTTCCTTCTTCATTTCCTTCTTCATCCCTTCGAGATGACTACTCTTCATACCCTTCATATCACTCGCCCCGCCACTGGCATCAGACAGCGTCCTATGATGTTCTAGAATCAAACATGTCAACATCAATTGACCAAACCCTGCCCGTTTCTCTCATCCCACTCACCTTTTACAGGGCTGTCCAGCGGCGCGATGTGCGTGTGATCCATGTCGTTGTCCTCGCCGCACACGCCGTGGTCCGTGTGCGCAAAGTGCGTCTTCGTTGGTGAGGCGAGAGGGTCGATCTTCGCGCCAGATATCATGGCGTCGTAGTCTGCTTCGCTGTTTTGGTTGCTTTGTTAGTTGTCGAGGGTGTGATGTTGAAGGGTGTTGATAGCTAATATCACATTGCAAGAAGGCGGGTAGCCGGCAGATAAAGGGGAAAGCAGAGGTAAGGTTCACCTTGACATTGTGAGGTTGTATATCTTGAGGAATGGTACTGGTTGTTATCCCGTTTAGTGTTTATAATTTCAAAGAAGTGTTTTATATTTGTTGGGAGGAAAAGGAGATGGGATGAGAGGGGATTCCGCCGGTATCAGCGGCACGCTTTATGGGGAATGGGGATGGTGATGGACCCTGGCGGTAGATGACATCGTTTCCCGTCGATGAAAGGCGGGGTTCCAGCGACTGATCGATGAGCTCAACGGGATCGTTCGAGAGGGGCTCGTGACGGATTATAGAGGGAGAGGCCTCGACCGTGTGTTTCGTAGTCGTCCTTTTCGATGTCCAACGTCCAGGAAAGCATGCTTTGGTGAGGTGCTCTCTCGATCTAAGGAGAGTCGATTGCAGTCCTGTTGCCGCAGAGATTTCGACATTGACATCTGCCAGTATAATTGAGTATATGAATGAGTTGTACATTCAGCAAAAAACCATCCCTATATTACTTCTATATATTAAAGTAGACGTCCCAATCTGGCATCCCATTCACCATCCGGAGCATCTGACCAATCAGATCGCACGAACCCCCACCAAGGTCCGACCTTCGCACATCCAACCACCAACCACCGTGGGGTAAATTTGCCAAGGCCGCATTCCGAATTTCGACTCATCATCAGAAGAACATTGCCGCCAAAGCGAACAGCGCCCTCCAAATTCCGCTACGTCGATTCAAACCCTCCCAAACCCAACTCCCACCTCAGTTCGAAGAACAAGATTAGAAAAATCACAAAAGGCCCTGTAAACATGTCGGGCGGAACCCGGGGCGCCGTCCCCCTCCACACCAAAAACACAGTGGCGCAAGACATGCTGACCCATCTGTTCACGAAGCCCACCCTCAATTCCGCCGAAGACTTTCCCTCCGTGCCTCAGCCGGAGATCAAGGCTGCGCTCGACAGGCTTGCCAGCAGGTCCATGGTCGAATATGTGACTATCGACTCCGAGCAGGCGACCCTGACGCCAGAGGCCGAGGCCATTGTCCAGGAGGGCAGCCACGAGTTTAAGGTCTGGAGCGCGGTGAAGCAGGCCGGGAGGATTGCGATCAAGGATCTTCCTGTACGTCATTTTTATTCTCTTCTTATATGTGGGTTGGGAGCTGGATTTAGATTTCGAGGATTTTGGATTTACACGTAAAGAGATGTAGCTTGGCGGAATCGAGTGGCACAGACACGGTACAAGAGAACAGCAGAACTGACAGGAATGTTTAGAATTTCGTTGGCGCGGATTCCGCAAGGGTCGGCTCGGGCAATGCGTTCAAGAACAAATGGATCAAGAAAGATGGCGACTCGTTGGTGCTCGTCGCGGAGGAGGTGAAAGATGTAACTCGCGACAGGCTGAGAGAAATTCAAGATACCAAGACACTCTCCGATGCGAAGCTTCTAAATGACTACAAGAAGCGGAAACTGGTCACCTTCTCAAAGGTCATTAGCTATACAATTAACAAGGGACCCAAGTACGCGATCGAGATGCCCGTCGAGGTCACGGATCTGACAGTGGAGATGATCGCGAGTGGAGAGTGGGAGAAGGCGAACTTCAAGGGTTATAATTTCGCTGCGCTAGGTGCTCCGCAGAATGCTGGCTCTCTACATGTGAGTGTGAACGTTGAGGTGGATTATCTTTGCGCTGATGAAATGGTAGCCTTTGAATAAAGTGCGCACTGAGTTCCGCACCCTTTGTAAGTTCAGTTACATGAGAGCATGACTGGACACTACTGATTGGGGCTTTCAGTCTTCAACCTAGGTTTCACAGAGATGCCTACAGGCCACTTTGTCGATAGGTAGGGGCTTCGTTTCTGGATATCATAAACGAGAAACGGTTCTAATTTATGGCCAATAGCGCTTTCTGGAACTTCGAGGCTTTATATGTCCCCCAGCAACATCCTGCCCGTGACGCGCAAGATACCTTCTTCATCAGCTACCCTCCGAAATCCGACAAGCCACGCGCAGATCCCTACACAGACAACACTTTGGATGACATCGAGGCAGGTGCCCGAAGGCTTTACGCTGCCAATGAAAAGAGAAAGAGGGTGCCGAGGGACTACGAAGCATACTGGGAGAATATCAAGGCAGTTCACGAGAACGGTGGCGATTTTGGCTCTATTGGATACAGGTACTCTTGGTCGGAAGACGAAGCGCTTCGTCTTGTCCTGAGAACACACACAACGGCCGTCTCGACAGCCGTTTTGCACCGCCTTGCAGAAGACCCTCGGCCTGCCCGGTACTTCTCGATCGATCGTGTTTTCCGTAAGTCTATCCTTTATGTTGGCTGCGTCAAGTCTGCATCTGTCCTCAATTGGAGGTAGGATGCATAAGCAGAAGAGTTGTCGCTCCTGAGTCGATTCTGAACTTGTCGCTGACCAAGATCACCACAGGTAACGAGACAGTCGATGCAACCCATTTGGCCGAATTCCACCAAGTCGAAGGTGTTATCGTATGTTCCCCTAACCCCCGTTCTTTCCAAATCCGTTGAATCGTATTGACAAAGTTAGGCTGACTTCGGCCTGACATTGGGTGGCCTCATGCGCTTCCTCGAGGACTGTACGTTCATTCTCCTCCCCGCCTCTAAATAAACGCAACTAATTCCATAACCAGTCTTCTCCAAAATGGGTATCGACGGCCTCCGCTTCAAGCCCGCATACAACCCATGTAAGAGCAGTCAGCGCCACCAATGCTAAAACACAACTAACTCTACTTCAGACACCGAGCCTTCTATGGAGATCTTCGGCTACCATACTGGCCTAGGTAAATGGGTCGAGATCGGAAACTCAGGCATGTTCCGACCCGAAATGCTCGGTATGCGCATCCTCTCCCTCTTCCACACCACCGTCTTCTAATAAACCCCGTAGAACCAATGGGTCTTCCCCGTGACATGCGTGTATACGGCTTTGGTCTCTCGCTAGAGCGCCCCACCATGATCAAGTACGGCGTAAGCAACATCCGTGAGCTACTTGGACACAAGGTCGACCTCGGATTCATCCAGAGCAACCCAGCCGTCCGGCTAGATAAGAATTAAACAACTAAAGAAAGTGCATCAGCCTTTCTTGCAAAAAATGGAGGAGTGAGAGAATGAGCAGAAAAAAGAGAAGTGAAAAGAAACGAGAGAAGGGAGGTTTCGAACGACGTTTCGAAGTCACGTCCATGCTCATGTGTGTGCGTGTAAATATTTCTGCTTGAGGTTGGTTGGGAGGAAGGGAAGAGTTCCCTGTATGACGACAATGATACCGGAATTAGATGTCGATTTGATTAGAAATTATGTCAAAATTCTTTTTCAAAGTCCTATCCTCGATACGGGCAGGTCAAGGGGGCGGCAACCAGTGGTCGGTTGATGGCGAGTAAGATATATCCCTCTGTCAGAAAAGACAAGAATAGGGCACGAACATGAAAACCAAAAAAGAAAAATAGAATCAATGTTTCCTTACAAGAATGAAGACTGAGAATTGTGAATGGCACGGTCTGGACGCGATTTTTTCCCTTGATTTTGCAGTATTAAGCATTTTGGCCTGGTTGCCCTAAGTTTTGACAAACTATTGTGCGAAACTATGTAAGGTCGAACTCTGTATTTCTTTTCCCGTTCCAACGTTCATTCAGACGATTGATGCTTCCCCTCAGTTCCGTACCTTCGTCCGCGACTGGAGGGGTGAGGGAAAACCGAGGATACATGTTGAATTAGAGGGACAATCGTATGCATGCATATCCCGGCACTGTTGTTGATGTGTTCAGTGCTGCTGCGGTGTAGCTTTGACTCCGTGTGAATCGAGGCTACTGGAGCTGTTGAATTTCCATTTGCGGGATGGGATACCGGGCGTATGCCACCACGCTCGCGGGGTCTTGTTGCGCGCACTCTAAGGTTCGAGGTACTTTTCCCATAGCCAGGAAGCAATCTCCGAGTAGCGTTTTCCCAGTGATGCTTTGCTTCTGGTGTCTGTGGCTCGTCCATCCTACAATAGTGAAGAAAGTGGTCGTCCTCACTTCTCCCCTCAGATGTGCGTTCTCAGCGGCTGGAGAGTGAAGTTCATCTCACTTCCTTTTCCCACGACGGACCTAGCGTTCAAGCACCCTTCGCCTCAACCTCTACGCCATCTTGACCCTCCTCCGTTCCCTTCCCTGCGACCTCACCAACCCACCCCACGCTCCTTCCCCTCAAATATGTCAACCCATCCTGCCCCAATCCGAACGCCAACCCGACCGCCAACCCAAGTCTGATCGTCCTCGCAGCCGTGACCATGGGGAACGCATTCCAAGCGCTCCAAATGCCGCCGGTGACCATCCCCGCAATCCCACTGCTCACAAAGTCTCTGCTCCTCTCCACCGCGCCGCCCATGTCCCGCATATCCAACTCATCCACACCCTCCATTTCCGCCACCGTCCTACCCGCCTTCCACGTCCCGCGGAACACGTCGATCGATTCCTCGAGCACGAAGAATATCGACGTCCACGCCGCGAGGTACCCGCCCTTGCGCACCCCGACTACGATGCCCTCCTTTGCTTTGTAGTAGTTCTTCGACTTGTGGTATAAGTACCAACCCGGTTGGGAGATGGGTAGCCGGTGCGCATTCTCGGCTCGGAAGCGGAGTGAGGCCAGGTGGCCCGCGTGCGAGGTCCCAAGGGTAAAGCCGCATAAGAAGGATGAGGAGAGTGCGAGGAGAAGCCGTCTGTCGAAAGGCATTCCGAGCCGTTCGGGGGAGCTGCGGTATAATAATTCTGCTGGGGATGTCGGGGAGGAGGACGGCGACGAGGATACAGCCTCAGTTGCGGCTTCGAGGTCGGCCATGGTGGAATATCGAGTGGTGTCGTCGTAGTTGTCGAAATATGTGAAGATCCTTTGAGGAAGTGCGGAGGTGGTGCGGAGGTCGTTAACGGTGCAGGACTGCGGTCGTAGGCCAAACTAAGCAATTGGCAATTGTATGACAGTGAAGATTATTATCTAGAACGCCTGATATGCGCTACTTTTGCGCAGCGGAAGAGACAAGCGGCTACTGTTGAAAGTGTAGGTGGAGTGAGGCTAACTGTGGAAGCTCGAACATGGACGTTTTGATGCCAAGGCTTCTGTGCAGGGATCATTGCCCTAATCCAATGCATCGCGACTACATCACCCCGCTGCCTTGCACCAGCACTAGGATCTGAATAACTTCGCGTTGTTTCTCTCAATGTGATCATGATCCTACGATGATGCGATTTTGACCATAATTACCAACAAGAAGAAGCCTCTTCAAGACCCGCATCGTCCCCCAACCCCCCCAAAAATACGACCACCAATAACTACAACGCCTTCTCGAGCGTCCTCGCGATCAACAGCTGGGTAGGTACTCACTTCCCCAATTGATTGCTTCCTTGAACTTATGACCGAACCGTCCAAGTCGCCCGACAGAAAACAATGGTCGAACCATCCCCACAAACCTGGACGCTACGTCTCAAATCCTACAAAACCACCGTCTACCTTCACGTCGACCCCCTCTCCACCTTCACCTCCATCAAACAAGCACTCTTTGATGCTCTCGCGGAAACATCGCTAGTCTCTACCACGGGCGAAACTATCACACTCCCCGACTCGTCGTCAGATATACAGCTCGGAAAGCCCGTGAATACACACGATCCGAGAGCTGGTTTCTTGCTGGGAGAATGGGAGTACCCAGATCAAGACTCAGACGAGGAAATGGATGGGAACGGCAAGGGAAAGGGAAAAGCGAAGGGGAGGGCGAAGAAGACAGCTAATGGTGCCGAGAATCTGTCTTCGTCAAAGCACTGTCCCAAGGGCGCTGGCCTGAGGGAAAACGCTGTGCTGGCTTTCAGGTGGAGAGGCGATGGAACTGGCTGGGAGGATGAGGAGGACGAGGCGAGTATGTGGGGTGTTAAGATCCCGAGCTTTGAGGATGGGTATGGGGTCGAGAATGAAGGGGATGTCGGGGGAAGACCGCAGTTTGAAGGTTGATTTCCTTGTATTAAAAAAGGCTATAAGGGTTGTAATGACAATAATGAACTATTAAAACAGTGTAGACCATGAATCATCGTCGAATATCCACCTCGGCTTTGGTGTAGCGCGAGGAGTATGGACCAGAGAACTAGACAAATTTTCCTTAGCGGTTATAAAACTCACTCGGCCTTCAGGATCATCAAGTCTCCTTCTGTATTTCGCCCGAAAGTTGCCCGGTATGTCACGGCTAGCTTCAACAAGTCGCCGTCAGTCTCCTTTTGTCTCAATCCAATCTCCCCTTGAATCTTTCTCCACTCGTCTGCATTCCAGCCGTCTAAACCGTCTGCCAACAGGGCTATGTTCGAATTCTTGAATAAATATGGCTTCTTAGTCGACTTCCATGCAGTCAATACTAGGAATACCGCCGACAATAGTACCAGCAGCAGTGGCATGATGAACCATTCCCACCGAACTTGGTAGCGCGTCTCATTTCTCATTGCCCACCCAGTGACGTTAACATGATTCGGAGACGCAGTGCTCTGTAACATATTCGTCATGGCACCGGCCACTCGTTCAAAAAATTTTGACCATTTTTGCTGCTGAAATACAGCACCGTAGTCCGGTAGATCCTCTGTCAATAGCTTGGTAGCGTTTCGCCGCTGTGAGTTGAGCACGCGTGCTGCTTCGCTGTAATTCAATTCAAAATTTGGCCATTTGTCAGATGTTCCGAAATTCGGGACGACGTCGAGCATGATTGTATCGTTGTGGTTGTGGTTGTCGTCGTCGCGATGTATCGTGAGTTCGGCGTCAATGATTTGCTCAACTTCCAGCTTTCCGTTGATGATCCGTGGCTTCATATACCATTTTGCGCACATTTACAGCTTGCAGTGGGAGACTCTCGCCGGAAAGTCTTTGATTGTCCTATAATCTTGCATTGCAGCCTGCTGAGCGGAAGGCTGCAAGCAAAACATTTCTGTGAATATTGGGAAGTCGACTTTTCCCGAAGATTTAGGCACACAGCAAGAGACATCGTTGAAATCAAGACCACGTTCGAGCCCTGATGAAGATCCGCCATTCTGTGTAGGCGATATGGCGCTGCATTGAAAGGGTAAAACATCATTGCTGTCTACGATCACTTCTATACTAGTGCCAGCGAGCGTGATGTTGCAAAGTCCAGAATATTGGGCGTAATGGGAATCGGGTAAGTGGGTGATGATATCTTTCACTTCATTGAAGGATAGATTTGTCTGTATCGACGGTTTGAGCGCATTCTCATGGAATGATAAATTTGTCTGTGTCGACGGGTTGCGTGCTTTTTCATCCCATATCCACAGGGTGTAGTTACAAGCCTTTGTTTCGGAATTGGATCCCCATTCCTCGGTGTTGCAATCACTGCACACAGCTAGCGACTCGTATGTGCCGAAAGAGCACTCGCTGGTTGAGCAATCATATGTGTTTGGAAGGCCGTTTCGCCCCTCACGGATGTTAGTTTGCATATCAAACAGGAACCACGTGTTCACTGTATGCTCCAGTCAGCTGTGATGATTGAACTGTACCCTCATGCAGGGAGAACTTTGATCTACCTACACTGCTCATCACCCGATATGCCAGTTCCAAATTCATCTCTCAACGCAAGTAAACTTGAAATGTTTGCTGTTGCGTCCAGAATCGTCTTGTTGGACGTTGAGACATTTATGACCTGCTGGGCGAAAGGCTCAAAAGTGAGGAAGGCTACGGTAAGAAAGGCTCCCAAGCATGGAAGAAGTGCCTTCTCTTTTGCCAGATGTCTTAGTATCATCAGTGAGCCCCATGGGCCTCTGCTTGCTTCGTCAAACACATCCAAATGCTGGACATAACGAGCCGTGGAACTGTCGAAGTGGATCCATTTGAGTTGGCCAAGTCCTGAGGTTATGGGCACGAGCATGGCTGATTTTGCGACGGTGGAGAATACGGATACCAGAGCATTAGGCTGTATGGGAAGCTTCCAGTCCTCAATAGGTTTTTTGTTTACCTCGCATAGAACCGCTACTGCCAACGCAATAGATATAATGCCCGTTGCCATGCTAGCGCACTCCCAGCCCCAATAGGATGGATTGAAAAGCTCTGAGAACAATCCACTGTCCAGAGATAGCCTTTTGAATTCTGTGAAGATTTCCGAACAAGATTTCCTCGAGGTTTTGTCGGCCGCTGCAAGAGGCCGAAGAGTGGTAGAGACGGCAGGGTCGGTAGATAGATGGAATTGGAACTGGAATTCGCCAGAAGAACTCGAAATGAATGGACAGAGGACTGGAATGTCTTGTTGAAGCTCCATGTTTGAAGCCATCTTCGCTTCTTGGAAGGATTTGCGTTGATTCTCCTCTGCCTCTCCTCAATTTACTGTATCAAATGACATTATGATTATGCTGGACCTATTTCGACATTTGAAGGATACACTTTGAACGTCGAAAAGGAGAACTTTATAATTGATAGCCAGGTCTGCAGGTGGGGCCAAATCTTACCGTTCATTTCATCTCTGTTGATTACCTACCTAGGTAAGGAACTTAATTAATGGAGCTGAAGGTGTCCCTTAATTTCGCCTGGTTTGTACCGCGTGATGTGGTTTATTTCCGCCTTGGGAGGTTTGCCTTTTTTGAGGTGTCTCCTAATTGCGCATAGAGGCTTACTGCGATCTACAAGAACCTACAGAGGGTTGGCACGTCGGGCAGGCCCTATGCTAGTATTTTATGCCTACAACAGTGTCTTAGCAACGTTTATTGCAAGCAGTTAAGATTGTTTACTAGCTAGAGTACATTCTTAAGTAGAAACTTTGGGTATAGAAAATACATGAAATTAGCAGGTAGCCCGACGTGCCAACCCTCTGTACTTTCAAGTTACGACTGAGGACACTTATCTTGGACCAATGAGTGCACATCGACATCAAGCAGGTACGCGAATCTACCCTGCACTGCAATGATACAACAGACAATCATAGAATGTGATCTAGTCGACCACATGTACAAACGAATGTACGAATCTCGCAGACGAAAGGTTCCAAGAGTCCAAGACGTACCTCGATATCAATCTTGACGAGTAGATGCATTTCTCATTTTACCTACAGCACTCTCTTCGCAAGAAACATGCCACTTCATAGCTTACTCTGACCAGCACCCTCCGTATCCGCAATCCTAAAGACATACTTCGTCGCACTCGCCTTCCCATCCCTCAAGTTCTCCAACGCGCCCTGCAGACCCGCCAACCCCCCAGACACAACCTCGAAAGGATGCGGAGTGAACCAACCCTCCGCAAGCCCCCTCGCCAAGTACCGGAACCAGACGTACGCGAAGTCCTTCGCGTCAGAGTGCGTAGACCCAACGCTCGTGATGGTCTGCTCGACGCCCTCGGGAATGCCTTCGTAGTTCTTGCCGGGGAGGACGAAAGTGATTTTCCCGCCCTTCTCCTCGAGCACCTTGACGATGTTGCCGTAGCTGCCATGCTCGGAGACGGCGTCGAAGGCGTACCAGAGCTTTTGGCCGTTGAGCGCGGAGCGGATGTCGGATACGATCTTGGAGTCGTCCTGGCGGTAGTCGATGACGGTGTCGCCTTTTGAGCGGTCGATGAGCTTCTCTACGTAGGGAATTCCGCGCCCAGCGACGGCGATGATGGGGTGGATGCCGGCTTGCTTTGCGAGCTTGATTGCGTAGGCTCCGACTGCTGACGCGCCGCCGTAGACGACGAGAGGTCCAGTGTCGGCGCTCTTGGGTACCCAGGGCTGGGGCAACTTGAGCCGAAGGAAGAGGCCGATTGCTGCTGTCATGGCTGCTAGGGGAAGTGTTGCCGCTTCTGTTCCAATGAGTCAATTGGTCACCTCTTGAAGATGTGTACCAAAACAAGGCAACTGACCTTCGAAGGACACATTGTTCGGAAGGAGAAATGTGCTATGACTCCATCCAAGAGCATACTCCGCGTAAGAACCACCCTTCGTCCTCATCTCATGGAAACTCGCAACTCGATCCCCCTTCTTGAAGTCCCAGACATTCTTTCCAACCGAATGGACAATTCCTGCGATGTCATCACCACCATTGTTGGAGTCACCGAGCCATTGCGGAACTTTCCTATACAAACATCAATTTCTTTGTCCAAGATTTTTGAATTTCACATCTTACCAATCTTTCGGATTCGACCCGGACACCACGACCTGGATGAGCACCTGGTCGTCCTCAGGTTCCGGGATGGGGGAGTCCACGATCTTGACGACGGGGCCTTTCGACACGTGCGCTTCCTTCATGCTTGCGACCGTGAGATGTGTACACAATAAATATTTCTTTACCAAATTGGGAGTTCGGATCAAGATTATCAATTCTACTTCGTCGACAACAGACACTACAAACTAACAAGTAAAAATGGTTCAGATGAGGCGCGTCGCGTTCCCTAGCGGCGGGGGTTACCATTTATACCTCCCTCAAAGTCCATCCTTAACTCCAGCACCTTAGTGGCGACTGGAATCATGACGTTGATTGCGTGATATCGGCCGGGGGAGGGGCTCCAAAAGTCGCAATAGTGGGGTTGCTATCTGCCTGTCTCTCTGACCTCTCGCATCTCGACCATCAATTAGTAATGGCATTTTCACCAGATCAATGGCAATCCTTTTCCTCGCGACTCGAAACAAGCATGTTGGCGGTTTCGAGCTGTAGAGAGGGGCAGGTAACTACGTAGTGACGTTGCCGAACTTAGCCGGCTCCGTTTGGTCGACGACGCCCGCCAGCAAGTCGTTTCCCTTTGATGATATGGGAAAGTTGCACTTTCGAAATTATTTTTGTCAGCTTGTGCGAATGACTAATTAATCAATTGAGCCTTTGATTCCTTTGCTTTGGATGTCGTGGTGATGAAATCTATTCTTTCGAGTCAAGCTGGTGGCATCTCATCCTGCAAGATTGAAGGAGAAGTTCACAAGATGCATCATCTTAATTGTGTTTGCAAAATTGAGCACTTTGATTTCGATCCTTCCAACAGACTTCAAAGGATGAATCCATGTGTCCTGTCCTATCGTTGAAATTTCCAAATGCAGCACTGTACCTCGGACATGCCCCAACATCACGTCAAGATCGATCTACAACGTCTGAGTAGCGGATGCTAGTCAATTAGTGTCAGATCCGCCGAGTGCATGACACGTGCGACGCGATACCATATAACCAACCCGCATTGAAATACCAAGGCTCTCACGAACGACCTTAGACGACAATGTCATTCACGAGAACAATCATCAAAAGAAAAATAGACGGGTAGTCGTAAAGAGTAAATATATATGCAATTGGATATCGAGAACACTTGGTATTCTGGACACCTCTTTCTTACGAGATAGAGGAAACGCACCTCAACCATGCCCTTTCCTTCTGGCACCACAAGATATAGAAACACTTGAACGCCCATAGACCGTGAGTCCTATAATGAAAAGAAAACAAAGGACACCAAAAAACACCGAACCTCCGGCCATGCTAAAGTAGGGTTTTCTTCCAAGATTTATGGGCGAACAATGGGAAAATTCAGACATCCAATCATCAAAAACGCCAGTCACTCGCTTACACTCTGCCCTTTGAAACGAGACTGCAAAAACACCTGGTATAATCAAATGGAGTATTAGGAAGAAGCGAAATCCACAGTCATGCCAGCAGATCACAACAATCGACCCGCGGTGCTGTCCTGCTCTATCACCGACGGATACTTTTGGGAGAGATACCTCAGCGCCAGACGCTCTTGGGACCACCCGCGAGGCTTCCGCGAGAACCACTAGTCAAACGTACGGGCTCTCTCTTGAGGGCTGAGCTGTCTCGTTGGCGGTCTTCACCAGCCATGGTCATGGTGGTTCGTCGAGCGGCACCTTTGACGATCGGAGCAGTGCGAGGGCTCAGAACACTATTCTGCCAGCCCTCACCTTCTCGCTTTCCCATACGCCGCGCTGCTCCAGCGGAGAGCATCGAGTTCTCGTTGGGTGGGCTGCACGATGTCGCAGCGGTGGGGCTTCGACGTCGGTGGGCACGACTGGCATTGGCAGAAATGCTACCATTTGTCGATGAGCGTCGTCGCATAGCGCTTCCAATCTTGCGAGCATCAGAGCTGGTCCATTTCTCTTCATCAGATCCGGATGCACCGCTCTCCATGGGCGTGCTGTCCGAAGAGGCCGTCATAGTCTCTGCATTGCTAAGAGAGGATAGACGGATGGTATTCGTGCCACTCTCGCGCAATGGCGACAAAGGAGAGCGCTCCGAGTCGGAAGAAAACGTTGTCATGGTAGGAGGTGGTGGTGATCCATCCGACTTCTTTGAGAGAAAGCCAGCTTGGAAACGGCTGGGACGGGCTTTGAGTTCTAGGGAAGCTTGCGGAGGGCTGGGAACCGGAGAGGAACCTTGCTGTTCAGGAACGCTCATGACACTGGGAAGGGTAGGTGGCGGCAAGTCCATTGACGAACTCGTTGGTGTCGCCTCGAACTGCTCGGGGGTCTTTTGAAACTCGGCCAAGGTTCCATCCTCGGTGTCATCCCTCCAGCGCACGGCACGCTTGACCTTGGAAGGTGACTTCTTCTTGGGCGTGAATTGAACACCCTTCTTCGGCCCGGCCACTTTTCTGCGGCGTGGCGAACCCTTCATAGGTGACGCTGTGAGGTGCGGTGCTTCCATCACGGTGGACAATGCTGGCATCGCGATTGGTTTCATTGGCGAGGGATCCTTGATCTGGACGGGCTTTCTCCGCTTGGGCGTTCCTTTGTTGCTCGGGGCAAAGTATTCTGTCACTGGAAGGTTGCGGTCCGGTCGAATCGCTTGCGCCGAAGCGTTGGTGCAGGAGTTCATGATCTTGGCGAGGACCTTCCTGGCAGCCTGGATAGCATCCGCTTCTTCCATCATCGTGATCTGGTTGAGGATGGCGACTGTTTCCAGATGAGCTTGCAAAAGCACCTGCACAATAGCTGCATCGCCACCCTTGTCTTGGTCGAGCATGGCCATGTATGCTTCCCTGTCTGCGATCGACTTCAACAGTTCGTACTCACGTGTGAGATTTGCGGCATCATGGCTATCGGTAGAACCGTCGACCTCGGTGAGTTGTCTCAGACCAATTTGGAGGGCAGTATCGAGACCGCTAGTCCAGTAGGTCCTCTCAATCTTGCGGTGGCAGTGCTGTCTGGTCTGCTCAAGCTCAACTGACACTCCTACCGCTTCCTTTCGCATGGCACTGAGAGCCTCTGGCGCATCCTCACCTTCACGATTCTCGCAGACGGTATCGAATGCAGCGATCCAAGATTGTATCAGGGCGACACGCTTTTCGGCCTGCTTCAGGGTCTTCATTGTCATTAGACGGGCCCGGCGTTCCTCCGCTGAATCATCATACGCCTGGCGCAATCGGAGAATGGCTTCTCGGAGGACGACTTCCTTCTTTTCGGTCTGCTTTTGGAACTTGATAAACGCGCTAGCATCGTTGTCCTTCTGTTTCTTCATCAACTCATCGATCAGCTGCCGCTGCTCATCAATCTTCTTCAAGTAATCCTTCACGTGGCGGTTGACATTGAAGACGTTCTTGGTGACCTTGGTCTGGATGTTCTTCGCACGATTGGCGTATCGGAGTGTGTTTTGCGTCTCGTCGAAATGTGCGCTCGAAGGACTGACGCAGACAATCATGACAGTGCGACAGTTACCTCCCAAGGAAAACTTGAGCAGACGGGTGAGCTTCGAGTTTCGGTACGGGATATGGTTCCGAGTTCGTGGATCGCAGAGGGCGTTGATACAGCTACCCAGTGCGAGCAATGATTTGTTGATGTTTGCACCTTCCAACAGGCGTGCTCCTCGATTCTTCGTTACACTTGCTCGCTCACTTCCTGCAAGATCAATGATGCTGAGAGTTGCCATTGTATGAGGTTCGTTCACGGGTGCGTTGCGATCTTTAGAAGAAATGTTGATTTGAAGGACGGCGTGGGATCGGGAGGATGTTGCATTGGCTTCGGTTGGAGACATTGTGCGGTACTCGTTGCCCCGCACAATCATGTCCATGACCTCTTGCACCTGTAGAGTTCAGTAACGGAATGAGAGAACAAGTCGTTCCACTTACGTTTTGTGGCCGATGGCTGGAGAGCCCCGCCACCGAGACAGATTGGTTTGCATCCTCCCGAAGCATGAGCGCTGTCTTGCTTCCACCCTCGACGAGCAGATCACGAATTGTCTCATTGTAGATCTCCAGGTAAGAGAGCGTGACTTCTGTAACCTTTTCCTCTTGGACGTCCTGTATCTTCTCGAAGAGTTCCTGCATCGTTAGGAAGATGATGCCAGGCTGTTGTGCCGTACCCCTGATCACTCGTTAGCTGTGCTCTACCCGCAAACAACCCTTAATAGCAACATACGTGATGGTATGAGTCTTTCCGCATCCCGTAGCTCCGTACGCGAAAACAGTGGCATTGTATCCCTCCAGAACACTATCCAAGAGCCCCTTTGTCGTCGAGTCATATATATCGCCCTGGGATGTGCTTTGGTCGAAAACATGATCGAATGCGAATGTTTGATCTTTGACGCGTTTGCCCTGAGGCAGGACCGAGCGTGAGAATCGCTGGACGGGGCTGTCCTCTGGTGGATCAAAAACACTAGCACGATGTCAGTTTCAGGGTCAAATTGTTGTCGAAATGGGGAGGGCCGTACAGGCACTTGTCGTCTATCACCTTGATGACAGAACGCAATCCCTTCGAGGTCAGCTTCGGTGTCGGTGCAGCTGCGAGCGATCCATCTCCCAGGAACAGTGTTTGGTCGTCGCATTTTGCTAGTTGCGCCGCCTCGCGGATTGTGAATGGGCGAACACGGACGATGACAGAGATGGAAGACGCGCCATCGGCTCCCATGATGGGGGATATTACAGCAGAATAATAATCAGAGAATGAAGGTCCAGGTCCTGGAAGGGCTCTGCGTGCTGCTGGTGTGGTTAGTAGAAGTTGCTGTGGTTGATGTTCGTTCTCGCTCCTGCGCAACTGTCGTAATAGCCAAGTTCGAGTTCCGACAATCTCGGGATGTTCCTTAACATAAAGCGCCGTTGTCCAGGCAACGCCGCCATGACACGTGACGGCTCCACTCGCCAGCTCACACTTCACGCGACTGGCTTTATTCGATCTAAAACACGAAAATACATAAACAATGGACTGGACTGATGTTACAGCGGGTTGTCCCGTAGAGACAGCCGCCGCTAGTGAATGTGTTCGACTGGCCAGCATTCAGTTTCATTCAACGCCTTTGATAGCTCTTTGGGAGGCTACCTAGGTAATCAATGTATCGTATTTCGTAAGAATTAATTGCAGCCAAAGATGTTGTGACGCGCAATGGTATGAGTCGATGTTTTATATCCAATCTTTTGACCTGGTCACATCCAAATATCGCAAAGAGTTCCCCAGCATGTAACTATTGTAAGACTTTATGATGACAAACTTGCCTAGTCGTAAAAACGAATAGTAATTAAGTCAGTCACAGAAGTGGGTCACAATGCAAAGCGCAACAGCGATTTTCCAAAGCACATTTATTTTCGTCAGAACTAGCAGGATAATTTGGGGGCCCCCTGAAGCAAAGAACAAAAAGAAATGTATGCATAGAGGCCATGACGAGCTCATGCCTCCGGGCACTTCCTCCAGACCAGGTCGTCAACATTGAAGGCGTCCCATTTGCGGACAGAGATGAAGCTGGCCCTATGGTAATCCCGCTCCCTGGTCAAGACCCATCAGCGTCCACTTACTTATTTGTTGCACTTCTGCCATTGTACGTACACCACTTGGGCGAACTTGAGGTCCGTGGAGTCGGTGGTGAGCAGACCAGTTGCGCTTGAGCTGGAGGACTGGAGGCGGACTTGAGAGTTGATGTTCAAGGCACCAGAAGCTCCGCAAGGAGACCAGACGATGGAGGTGCTGTCGGCCTCGTCGTGCTTGAGGTAGTCGCCAGTCAAGGGGCCGACGAAGTTGTATTCCGTGCTGGACTGTGACGAGTTAGAAAGGTCCGTATGTGATTACGATGCAGAACGTACCTGAGCAGTCTGGCCAGAGAAGTAGTAGGTCGACTTGAGCGTACCGCTGACACCCTTCTGCAGAGAGGCGTAACCGCGGTAATCGGCGCTGAGGATGGAGTACTGGAAGCCACCGGGGTACTGGATGTCGACGTTGAGCTGGCAGTTCTTGCGCTGCTCGGTGACGGCAACACCGGGGCCGATGGAGGCAATGTACGAGTCGAAGATGAGGGTGACGGTGGTCCTGTCAGCAGAGATCTGGCTGCTCATGGTTCCCTGGGGGCATCCAGTTCCACCATAGGTGACACCACGGATGGTGACCTAGTTTGTTAGCAAGCTGCTGAGATGTATAGGAGTAGGAACATACCTGGCCTGCGGGTGGTGCATCACCAAACTCAATACCGGGAAGGTTGGCCGGGGCGGCGGCAACAAAGGGAACGAGAGCAAGGAGCCACTTCATTTTGATATGATTTGGATTGGAGCTTGGGATGCTGCTGGTGGAAGATGATGCAAAGTGCTGATCTGTGGATGTAGTACAAGAGACTGTGAATGGCAACTTGGTGAAGATCATTTGGGAGGACTTTGATGGACATTATATACCAGTCCCTCGGAGACTCCGCACCATTCCCGGGCTGGCTATGACCGTCGCTTCAGCAGCTGTCGATTGATGCAACCATTCGACCCGGGCGCAATAGCTGCTGCCAAGGCATGCTCCCAATATCCAGTACGGCTGGTCCGGCGGGCCGGCACAATCATCATAGGTCGAGAAGCATTTTTCAATGCTCAGGTGAGTTCGTGTCGGTCATAGACCTGCGCCATCGGGTTCGGGGAACGCCTATCGAAAGTTACAATCGTGCTCGTGCCATAGCATCCAAAGCAGGTTCAGTGGAATTGCAATGGGCTCCATGGACCGAATTCGAGCAAATTCATTTCGATTACCCCAGTCTAGAGACGACTAGATCCTGGTCGAAGGCATTAACATTATCGGTAGCGTCCTCGTGTGTCGTTCTACTGGACCGGGGACGGTGGTCCAAGGGCGTCCTTGGAGTGCAACAAAGCCTGGATTTTCGTATACCAGATGGGAGTAACAATATGTGATACGAAGCTTCAGTTTCGACTCCACTTTCAGGCGTCAGTAGTGTGACCCAGAGGTATTCAAGATGCCGTGTTTTGGCGTAGGCGGCGCTCGGCTACTTCGCTTGTTGAAGTTCTCTCGAGAGGCGAATGGGTCAGCACGGCTGTTGTAATATGGATATGAATTGAACGAATATAAAATCCTGGGGTTCTGGTCCAGGAATAGAACAGCCACACTGGAACGCGGGTACCACGCTGGATACAACGGTCCAACAGCTCCACAGAGGTGAAAATCTTCATCTATGTTCTCGTATGGCGACGCAGTGTCGAAATTGTGACTGATGCCGGTCTCTGAAAATAGTAGTACCTCTGATCGATTGAGTCGGTGGGCGAGGCGTTGGAGCGGCTCCATGTCGTCGATCTCGAAACGGCAATGTAGAGATTGCGGCGTAGATTAACCTTAAATTAATGCTTGTCACTCCACGGTGGCCAGAAACCCTGTAGTAATCAATCTTGGCAGAAGCTGGCCTGCAAGGGCACTCGCCGAGCCTAGAGCATGTGTGTAAAAATAACAACTGTAGCTGCAGGTGCTTCTGGCCGTCTTGAAATTCCATTCGATGGGTGTGTCTCGGGCGTCCAAAACGGCATCGTCAAGCTTCCAGACCCACCGACCGTGAGCCATTTGACCCATCATAGCATGCAAGCGACCGCGAGAATCGAACGCAATAGATTGCCGTTTGATTAAATACAGCTTCATGCTGGCGGTGGCGAACATTCACAGCTTGGCCGTGGCAGCATAGCTGCTGAAGACTGTGACGCGAGTGACAAAGACGCAATGGCTAGATGTTGACGACCATCCTACGAGGAAGAAAAGGACGAAAACAGTAACAAGAATACGAGATATCCATCGCTTGGAAGAAGTGAGAAAAGAAAAGAACAGTTTTCACCTACATCTTTCTGGGACTGCGACTTTGCAAACCAAGGTACTCGCACCATCCTCCAGCCACGACTCCAGGAGTTTTACGCTTCACAAGACGGAGAGTCGAGGGAAGAAATGGATGATTTTTCTCTTTCACAGAACGTGTGGGCGGAGTGCATCGGCCGGGTAAAAGCATCGCAATGAGCCTTAGTTGAGGACCAAGCCCAGAAAGTCATCAGATTTTGCTAAATACGCGCCAGACACGATCTTCGAGCCCAATAATGCCTTCGACAGAACCGTTCATCGAGCATACATGAGATGATGTGCGACTCCAATAGGGTTGGAACGACACGCATCTATCCAAGATTGCAGATCGAACTCTCGCGGCGTTTAAATCGACATCCTTAGACCACGGTCGTCGACAGAAGCAGGCGCAGTCCACGCCAGCGAAGAGGACGTTGCGATCGCATGAATTTGGATATGAACGTCGAGGTCGGCGTCAGCAGGCCGAGGTCATCTCCGACGAATAAGTAAGGTTGCGATCAAATGCTGAGGGATCATGGGGACTATTTGCATAAATCAATGAAAGAAGCAAAGCAAGACTTCGGCTGAATGACTAGGTCTCCGGTTAGCATATCGATTTCGGTTGACGGCAGGAACATATCAAATCATCAGTGGGAGCGACAGCAACAAGAGCGACCACGTATTCAAGATAACGTCGAATGTGTTTCGATGATCAGTGTAGTCTTCTGAATATGTCCATATATGTTTCGATAATCAAGTATATTCCGGATATGTCAATATCTGTTTCGGTAATCATATGTTTTCCGTATAGAGTATGGATGGGCAAGAAGACGAGACGTGGTTAGGTGAGATGTAAGAATCGTGGCAGGGTCTGTTACATACGGGTATGATGGAAGGGAAGTGGAGACGGTACGATTGGCGCTGGGCTCCTTCGTTCCTTCCGTGTACAGTAAGTACAGTAGGTACCTTCCTCGTAATGTAAGCAGAGAGCGAAACGCCTTGCCACGATTCGACTAACGCCAATGTCGTCACCGACCCTGCGGTCCAGAGGTGGGGTCCCGCTAACCCAATCCAACAAATCTCAAATCACTTTCTGTAATCCATTATTCTCGAGAACATACATATTTGTATTTGACTGCGCCGCCATTTCTCCATCACCACCACTATATATTCTCTGAGCTTCAACCGTCGCAAGCTCTCAAAAGCATCTCCAAAATCCATTGCATCTCCCTCACATAACCAATTCTATGTCATTTCTCTCTCGCCTGGCCCGAACCTTCAGCATGAGCTCCTCCCCCGCACCCCCGATGACCGTCCCCGAGGGCGCTGAGAAATGTACAATCGCAGCCGGCTGCTTCTGGGGCGTCGAGCACATGTACCGCAAGCAGTTCGGAAACAAGGGATTGTACGATGCGCGCGTGGGATACATTGGCGGCGACTCGAGCAACCCGAGCTACCGAGCCGTCTGCAGCGGGCGCACTGGACGTAAGTCGTCGCGTTTAGATTCAATACACACGACGTAGATGTGATGGGATTGCTGACTTGATACATGTAGATGCTGAAGCCCTGCAAGTCCTCTACGACCCCAAGCAGGTGAACTACCGCACGCTCCTCGAGTTCTTCTACCAGATGCACGATCCTACCACCGCGAACAGCCAGGGCCCGGACGTCGGATCGCAGTACCGAAGCGCAATATTCTACCACGATAGCGAGCAGGAGAAGATCGCGCGGAACATCACGTCGAAGGTCAACCAAGAGTGGTGGAAGGGGAAGGTTGTCACCGAGGTCCTGCCCGCGGGCCAATGGTGGGACGCTGAGGCTTACCACCAGCTGTACCTTGACAAGAGTAAGTTTCTACGATGATATATGCGTGTTGTGGTATTTGACTGGAAAGCTAACGTGGAAGTAGATCCTGCTGGGTATGAGTGCCCGTCGCATTTCATAAGGAGATTTGCTCCGCTATCGGAGTAGGGGATTGGGCTTCTGATTTTCCTTTTGGTCTGGTTTTAGGTGTGGGTTTCGGTGTACAGCACTTGTTATAGATATCCAGGAACACGAATAGTTATCATGAAATCGGAATGTTCTCTCTCTATCATCATCCATTTCCAGTGGCGTGCCATTAATAAGTGATATATTCAATCGTATAATTAAACGCGCTCCTAGATATAAAGTCCATCCAATGTCATACACAAATAATCACCAAGAAAATGAAAACACCAATTTATATTTAAAAAATATCCAAAATCAACCACCTAATAAATTTTTCTCTGTATATCAAATATCACACAAATACACGTACGCAAGAAATCATCATTAAAATAAATCTTCCCTACAATTGATGGGAATAGAAGACTGCGGGGAAGTCTGGGCTTGATCGATTGGTCTGACTGTCTCCAATCAATACCTGCTTGTAGGCATCTCCACCGAGATCGAAGCAACCAAGACGAAAACACATAAAATTACGTTGTAGTCCGATTATTAGCAAAGTGAATCGAATTCAAGCGCCGGCACGAATTGGCAACATCGAAAACAAGAGAAAAGACAAGTTAGGAATGATTTTTTTTCATTAAATTATCTCTTTAGTCATCTCAAATTCATCTCAAGTTCATATCCATAACACCCGTTTTCCACTTCCCTCTTGTTCTCCCATCACAAATCTTTCTATTTTAACCTAACCTCATCCCAGACATTCCCCACGGTCAAAAACCTACGAAGGAGGAAGAGTCTCGAAGGTAGTAGCGACCTCCTTCTCCCAGCCGAGCCTCACCTTTCCGAAGATCTCGGCGGCGGGCTGGAAGTCCTTGAGGCCCTGTGCGAGGAGGCCGGTGCGGAGGATGATGGTGTCTTCGCCAAGGACGTGCTGGTGGTGGTAGACGTGGGTTGTGCAGTTCTGTGCGTCGTGCCGTTAGCATCTATAATTCAATTGCTCTTATTGTCCCAAAACATAAAATTTGTGGCGAGGACGGAGGCGTGCAATGTAAATTAAGTAAGTACCTTGCAGTAGAAGCAGTCGACGGGGCTTCCCGAGTCGCCGTAGTAGACGTATTTGCCGAGATTGTCGCCGCCCTTTGTGATGGTGAGGGCGGACTTGGGGATGATCTGGTTGAGGGTGTAGGTGCCGCCGGAGAGGGACTTGCAGGTGTCGCAGTGGCTGGATCACGAGCAATTGATTAGCTAGGTACGAATACTATTTATTTGATTGTGTGTACGAGGATTGTGGTATATATATGTATGTATAGATGGTGGTGCGGACGGGAAGGCGGGTGGGCATGTGGGAGGTGGGAGGAGAGGAGAGCTTACCAGAGGACGTGGGACTGCTGTTCCTTCTCGAGGGTGGCCGTCCACTCCGTGTTACCGCAATGGCACTTTCCGTTGTAGGTCGTCATATTGAGTTTGGATTGAATTGGTAAGGTATGTTGTTGTTTTCTAATCACGAATTGCGTGACGGTGCAAGAGTAGCCAATGAGATGGTGAGGTTGAGGTTCAAATGGTGTGTGATATAGACATCAAGGTCCTCGGGGCGGGAGCAGTGAGAGCTTATATAGACCTCACGAGTGCCTACCTTACCTTAACCACCCCTCCCCTCTATTCCCCCTCCATCATCTGGGCCTGAGCTGCAATCCTCAGACGTCAATCGAGAATTGGATAGTACCTAGTACCTAGTACCTAGTACGAGTACGATAGGGTGGATAGCCCAGCCTACCTTACCACCTTACCTCACCATAGGTACCTAGCTCGTTGGATTCCCGCCCTCCGCCGCCAATTAACCCAACAAGGACCTGCGTGGCTACCACCTACACAGTAGTACGAGTGTGAACGAGTAGGAACGCGTAGGGAAGACTATGTGAGAGGAGCTACCAGCTACCTCGTAAGGCCCGCACCGCAATGACCCCTCCCCCTCCTCGGAGACACCCCAACAATGACGTCTGGTCCCTCATGCTCCATAATCGAATCGACCCGGAACCCTGAGATAATTAGAGAAGCGCCCGTTTTACCCATAGGCGTGGTTGGCGCGGGACAAGGGGACGTGGACTTGAGAAGTGGTACCACCATGCCCGTCCAAAGAGAATGCATGAAAAAAAAGAGTTGAGGCAGGGCCAGCGTTCACAGTTCACCATTGGACGGTCGGATGCGGAGGGGTAATGGACAGCACCGGTCATGGTCTCTCTCATTTGTCACCAATTGCGGGTACAGACGAGGAAATAGTGTGGAATTGGGATGGTAGTACATTTTCTATCAAAGGTATGTAAGTGGTGGGTAATGTGTGTACAAAGATGCTAATGGAGTATGGAGGACCTCGAAGACAAATAGTGTACGGGATGCATGCAATGCTTCCAAATACTTTTGGTGGAGGAGCACGGGCCATGGAACAGAGCTTACGGGAGCTGGGTCCGATGTGTCACGCTTAGGCATGGATGGATGCATTGTCACGGAATTGGATCTTTGTAAACAGAAGGAAGAGGAAAGAGGTTTCCGAGGGGAGGGGACGTCACTCTTGGGAATCAGATCATGTTCGAATCATGATTCATGACCAAAAGAGACGTACCTACTCGCACTTACACAGTAGGGCTGTAATCGTTACCAGCCAGCCAGCCAGCCAGCCAGCGAGATACGAGGCCATACGAGACCCTTCCTACATTTCCAACCATTATTCATTCAAATGTCCTCCTCTTATTCAGTATCCTTCGCACCCGGCCTTATCGGTTTTGGATAGATAGGGCTGCACGATTGAGGAGGCCCATTATTCCAGCTCCATCTCCATCCGCCCAAGCTCCCCGAACCCGGAAGATTTGCAGCCTTGCAATTGAGTTCGGGGATATTTGGGAATTGGAAAGGGTTCCATAATAACGTCACCGACACCATCATCTTATCCCTCCACCACTCCACCGTCCAACTCAAATCCAGGCACGAGGGAGGCATTTGGAATTGAATCCGCCAATTGCCGACACAGTCGTAAAATTTCCGGACACTTGAGTCTCAGGTAGACAGGGCCAGGCCCAGAAACGACAGCCTTGCAGTAATTGCAATACTGTGCTGCGTTGTACATTGATTGCACTTAATTGCCTCACATTATCTATTCGCGAACGGGCTTCTCGAAGGAATTAGCGTGGCCAACGTAATCCAAACGAACCGTTTCGGTTATCACTCAACTTCCAACAGTTCGTATCGCCCACCGCCGTGTCTATCAAGCGAGTCTTCCACGCGCTCCATGATTGCGAGGACCTTCTCCTCTTCCAGACGTCGCCCAACGACCTGTACTCCAACGGGGAGGCCCGCCATCTTCTCCGCGTCGTAGTGCTTGTACGCACCTTTCGCAACGCCGTTCAGCTTCTGGAAGTTGAAACTCGCCGGCAGCTGGTCTTTGACGGGATCGACGTGTGTGACAGGAATGACGCCGGCAGTATAGTCCAACTATGCAGAGATCAGCAGGCCTGGGATTGGAGACACCATAGGCCATTCGTGGCAGCCCAGACGGATCACAAAGCGACTCACCAGATTGAAGAGAAACGTATAGCCACAGCTACTGACAGCATCGTGCATTCCATTATGAGGTACCGCGGGCGTCGCATTGGGTGGGGTTATCATGGCGTCCATCTTCGCAACGTCTGACCACCAATCGAAGAATTTGGCCTTGTATGCCTCGCGCTTGTACGCAAGTTGCCAGTATTCGTGCGCGGATTTTGGGTACCAGTGTCGCAGTAAACCAGCCCAGATACTATCCCGACGGACATACTTTACCCACAGGTAGTAGAGGTACTTGATCGCTCGTGGGAGACGCATGTAGTACACCATTTGCGCCGCACCGGGATCGTTCCATTCGCCAAAACGGAAGAAGTTCATGAATGTCGCGCCGCCATCACTGAGAAGCAACTGAGAGGCTAGATAAAGGGCTTCGTACGGAGACGGCGGAGTCACGTCAAACACATCATGCCCTTCCTGGACGAGCGCTTCCGCGACGCTGTCCAAGGCACGGGCACATGCAGGCGCTGGATCTACGACTCCATCTGTTCGCATGACGCCTATCCGCAGCTTCTCCTTTATCCTGTACTCCTCCGCGATGTGTTCCCTCCACTCAAGTGGATGGACCGTATAGTCGTACTTCCAAGGCTGCATCCCGATCAAGCTCTTGGTGAAATAACTCAGATCATTCATCGTCCTAGCCATGGGGCTGAACACACTGGGGATGGCCTCCTGCCCAGGCATGCTGGTGTTCATACCGATCTTGGGCCACCGCCCCGTGGAGCAACGGAGCGAGTAGCAGCCCGAGAAATGGGCAGGAACGCGCACCGAACCAGCGACGTCGGAACCGATTCCAATCCTACTACCCCCGAACGCGAGCAATGCAGACTCTCCGCCCGTCGAACCTCCCGGTGAGTATTTGGCATTGTGTGGATTCAACGTGCGTCCCCAGACGCCGTTGGTAGATTCGAACGATAGAAGCGTGGTAGGGAGATTGGTCTTCACGAAAGGGACCGCACCTAGAACCATCAGTCAGACAATTCCAACCCTCATAGGCACCGGTGAACAAAACCGCACCAGCATCTTTCAAAAGCCTCACCATGGGCCCATCCTCAGCGGCAGGTTTCCCAGTATTGCATGAGAACCCAACCGAGACATCGAACCCCTTCACCTGTATCGAGTCCTTCAGCGACACAGGTATCCCAGCCAGCGGGCCCTTCAGATCAACCTCCCACTTTGCCCACTCCTCCGCCTCGGGAAACAGTATCTCCGTCACGCAATTCGTCTTCTCGTGGGCCTTCAAGCACACTTTCCCGTACGCGCGTAGGATGTCGATGGGGTCGGTGATCTGCGCGTGCACATCTTGTACGAGGTCTTGGATCGGCTTTCCGAGTATCGTGCGCTCGTGCGGGTAGAGAGGGTATAGGTAGCTTGAGGGGAGGGCGGATATCTTGGATTTCCGTTCTGATTGTTTGCGCTTGCTGTCACGCAGGTGGGGTTTGGAATGAGCGAACTTGTTGTGGAGCGGACGTGATGTGCGAAGCAGCAAGGCGCGAGTGCGGGGAGCTTCTGTGGGTGGGAGGGGGGGCAGCTTACCAGTCACGCCGGTGTTGGCGATACTCTTGGACGCTCATAGTTGTTCGCTTCTATTAGGATGCAGAGGTGAATGAAATCAACAACAATGCCGATTAAGTGTTGCTTCAATGCGAAATCTTATTACTTCAATGTCAAAGGGAAGGCGCTCATAAGGTTACAGCTACTGGTCAGTGACGATGGGTGCTTATACCTTCCTTATCGGAACAGCTCCAGCATAGCTCAAACCAGGTAAGCTTAGGTGGGGTCAAGTCAAGCTCCCCTCTGATTGGCAAAATGAACTTATCGTATCAGATAAATCGAGATATGATGGTTTTACTGCTTACCTATGCATCTTATTTTCACCGATCAAGACCAAAGATCGGAGAATTGCGCTGTGTAGGTGCGCCATCGTCCGATGTTTTATTGAGGGTGCGGAATGGACAGCACTGAGACGTACCAGGTACCCAGGTAGGCACGCATCACACACTCAATGTAATGCGAATTATAGGAACTCGAATCCATGATTTTTATACTTTGGTAGCTTGTTACATGTTGTCTGTCTTAGATAAAACACTTCAGGAGATCGATCTGAAAGTTCATGATACGATTGTGTTTCCTCCCTATCCCCCCGTTTATATAAATCTGCGCTGTCTAGAGATTATAAATTAGGAGATACTTAGCCGTGACAGTCTCCCTTTACGCCAATCCCATTAATCCTACACGCTCAAGAAAAATCAAATACGCAAATTGAAAACCCAGTTCTACGGTGTCAAACAGAGAGAAGGAGAGAGGCTCTAAATCACACTCCCGCCCATGACCCTCACACATTCGACTCATCAATAACACCCACCGTCTTCCCGCTCCACTGACTCTGCCCCGCCTCCAAATCTGCCGCGATAAACTCCGCATTCTGCTCCAGCGTCGTCTTATACTTCGACGCGTTCATCGCGCAGACCACTCTTCTCCCAAGCAGCGGGACGTGGCGGACCCAGGAGTCCTTCCACGACGGCGGAACGGTTGCGCTGGCGGATAGTTTCGACGTGGGCGAGGCGGGCACGGTGATGGTTGCGGATGAGGGGATCATAGTGTTGGGACAGAGGAGGGACCAGTCGATTGAGTTGGGCGGAAGAGAATGCAGGAGGGAGAGGTTCTGGCGGTGCTCGAGGAAGATGGGTATACTGTGTTGTCGTTAATATCAAACTGTCAAACCGTGATCTACACTCCGTATGTGATAGATTTGCCAGGACAGATATCAACTAACAAATCTGAAAGCATCGACTGCGTGCCTGGATAGCACAGCACCGACTGCCCCGCTAGAAACCACGTCCTCAACGGCTTCTTCCTCTCCTCGCCTGCATCCTTCACACCTTCTACGACCGCTTTGAAGATCTCGGGTAGGTCGCCTTTCGCCCAGGGCGCCATGGCGGCTACTCCCGCGGTGTTGACTACCGCATCGCAATTAGCGTCTAGGATTGCACGTTTGATGGCATCGGAGTCTTTCGCTGAGCCTTGGACGACACTTATTTGGCGATATATTGACTCCGGGACGAGGTTTTGCAGTTTCTGGGCGGAGCGCACGAATGCGACGACGGTGTGGTTGTGGGTGAGGAGTGCAGCTACGAGGCGGAGACCTAGGTTGCCAGTTGCGCCGATGAGGAGGACTTTCATGGTTGTCTGTATATATGATTGTTGCGAAAAGGTGTTTGGTGGAGTAGAAGTGAGAGAGATGAGATTGCCAATTGTTGTTTGTTCGTAAGATGTCTGTTAGGGAAGTGCTGGAAAACCTAAATCGTGTTCGACTTCACAGTTTATTTTATATATAAATCTGTTTTAGGACTCAAGTCGGTGATGGTCTTAATGCTGTGGTGGAGTCGGCACGATTATTAGGCCGGCGCGACAACTCTCCTCTACCAATTTGCCCTTGCGCGGCACAACCTATCCAACGGACGTGCATATGGACCCCTGACACACCAACAAAGCATCGCGTCTGAGTGGCTGGATTGGCTGGGGGAGCATTAGTGCTCATTCTCGGGCGAACCGGCCGACATTTGATGATTGGTGAGATGATGTAGTTGTGACCGCCTTCCAGTGGTGAAGTCATGTTTGGACTTCATGTGCTGATGAATGGAGATGTGCTTACGATACGTGTTCGGAGATAGGGGAGGATCGAGATGTGTATACAGACAAGAGCAAACGGTATATAAATGTCTAAAAGTTCGATGATTGTTGGTATTGAGATGATCGGCCTGTGAATGCCTTCGCAAAATCGCTAACGACTATCACCATGTCTTCTACCTCTGTGGACAAGCCATATCCCCTTATTTCGACTATTGCGTTTTCCAAAGATGTATGTATGCAATCCTACTACTTCCATGTATAGCGCTGAACAGTTTTCTATGTAGACATCCCATGCGGCAAACTATGTCGCAACGCAAATGGCACTCGCCCACAACGGCATGATACGCGGTCTCAACGCCATATACCTCCAAGCGACAGCAATCCCCCACCAGGACACCGAAACCGTCCAGGACTTCCTAACGTACTGCCAGTGCTGGTGCGAATCCATGCATCACCACCACGACGTCGAAGAGGCGGAGTTCTTCCCCGACATAGAGCGCATCACTGGGGTCCTAGGAATCATGGAACTCAACATCGAGCAGCACCGAGCCTTTACACCAGGATTTATCAGGTTCGAAGAGTATGCTAGGACCTGCTCGGCTGCAGATTATGAGGGGGGAAAGGTCAAAGAGCTCATCGATGGTTTCGCGGGCCCGTTGACTACGCATCTGCGCGACGAGATTAACACGCTGCGAGACCTGCATCCCTACGACAATGAAGATATACGGAAGGCCTACAAGAAGTTTGAGAAGCGCATGATGGCCGGAGACAGCGTAAGAGAAGATGGCGATGAACCACTCAGCTCCCTAGTATTGCTGACATCTTTGAAGTATCGGACCGCGCCACTCGTTTTTGGAACTGCGGACAGGAGCTTTGAGGGCGGTATGCATAATTTTCCGCCCGTACCGTTCTTTGTGCCGTATATAATCCACTATGTTTACGGCAGGAAGTATCGTGGAGCTTGGAGATTCAACCCATGCACCATTTGGAGGGACCCTAGGGATCTGGCTTTCCAGAGCAACAGTCCAGGTCAACAATGATACGATAAAGTACAAGAGAGGACGAGGAGATGTGTATGTTCAAGACGACATGGAGTAACAATCTTCCACGGACAGCCACGTGCTCAGTAGTCTCACACCGGCAGGAGCCGACAAAACCCTCACAGCCTTATTCATAACGCAGGTCCTCTAAAATACATACCAATCAGATTGACACACATATCCCACATGCTGCGGAATGCTCCTCTCATCTATACACATGTCGAGCGTATTAGCGTGCAGATCTATATCAGAACATCCCACTCAGCGTGGGATGTACTCGTCCGGGGCTCTGTCACCTCCACGCTTTGTACCACTCTATCATATGCAGCAGTGAACACTGGTAGGTTGCGTGGCCTGTTCGATTGTTCGGACTCGGCCTTTGCCCAATGTATCTGGACTTGCGTCTTCGTGCGACGTAAGCATGGGTGTTGTTGGGATGGCTGGCATGTCTAAATTGACTTCATGTCGACTCTCGACTCTTCCGGTATCTGGAGAGGGTTTGTGGGCACAAGAAGATCTCCAGGATATCTAATCTAAATTCTTTTCATGTTAGCAATTTGGATTTCATCACGATAATATACATCGATCCCCTTGGACATGGACATGGTACTGGTTGGTGAATGTTGAAGAGAGCGCAACGCACAGGCTACGTGGTGAAGTAAAATTGTTCCCTTACTTTCATTTCTGGAATTGTACGCAGTATAAGTGGATATAAAACTGATTATAGAATGAGGGATGCATCCTGCTGCATCTACCGTGTTCGCTTGCAACAGGTGCAAGGTACAATCGGTGTCACCAGCCCCTGTTGCGCGACGCTTCCCAAATGTACGGCTGTACCCTGTATTCACAAAGTCCGTCATAGTTTACTCTTGAGATCTTCAATACTCCTAGGCCACGATCGTTTCCACTGGGGGTTCCTGTTCTTCCACCTGGCCCCTAGACGTTGATGTACCTGCTGCAGCCCCCCAAGAGCGCCGGCTAGCAACATACCCGCGGTGACGAATAATATCAGAGGCATCCACTTCTGCAGACCATACGACCTCCATTGCACAGAAATGTCTTCATCGACAAGCCCTTGCCCAATGAAACCACCAGCGACATTTCCTGCCCCACGTGCTGCAGTGAATAGACCAAGCACGATGAGGATCTGCTCTCTGTCGCCGCTATCGCCAACAACCGTGCCAGCAAAGCGACTGCGCAGAATGCCGAAACCACCAGAAGATGCACCATACATTGTGGCGAATATGACAGATGCAGAAAGCGACTTTACTTCGCCCCAGTACAGAAGGCTAGAAAGCCCACTCACAATCGTGCTCATTATGAGCGTCGAGTAGAACGAACTGCGATGATCTCTGCGGGCTCTTAATCAACGAGAACATTTCCGCATTCTCAGTAAAGACTTACGCAAATAGTCCGAACCCAACTTGCCCAGAAGCTGTGGAAAGGTTAAACATGCTCAGTGCAATGGCGCCCTGCGCCGGAGAGTACTGCAGATCCGTGACGAACGAAGGGAGGTAGATGGCTGGTAAATTCAGCACGCACGCCTGAACAATGACCGAGCCACCAAGCAACCAAAACGAAGCCTTGGTCCAGAAGTCGTAGTTGCTCGATGACGGAGGATGCATCTTCTCGGCCTCGTGTAAAGTCCCACGCTCGTTGAGGGGTATTCGATGGCCGACGCACAACAATGCGCCTGTCGTTAGAACCAACACCCCAGAACCGTAGACCAGTAACGTAAAGCGTTGTCCGGATGCGTGGAGGAGCTTTGAATAAACAGTCGGCATGAACGACCCACAGAGCCCAGAAGAGCCGAACATGATCCCGTACGCAAAGCTTTGGCGCTTGTCAAACCACTCCGACATCAGCACAATGATAGGCGCGGAGAGGAATCCAGCGCCCATACCGTAGATGGCGCCTTGTGTTGCAATTATCTGCCATGCCTTTTGAAACAATACGTCAGCATTGGATCGAAAATTGTAGAGGCTGCGGCGGAGAAACTAGCTCCCGGGTGTAGCAGAGCTGTATAACTCCCAGGCTGCTGTCCCCCTCCTGTAGCAGTACAGCACGCCAGACAAACAATCGGACTCAAATGTTGTACCTTGCTTATTCAAGCCCTTTTCGGCACTAGCTCCTTTACACATGTGGGAGAGGGATCTTACCTTGGTGGAAAACGAAGCCCCTATGCAGGCTACAACGCAAAACAGAAGGCCAGTCCACATCATCCGCCTATTGAACTGAGGATGACGTTTCAGAAACAGAAGCAGCAGCGGCATCAACATCTGCAGGCAGCCATCCGATAGCACACCCGTCACAGCGAGAACCTTCACGCCTTTGAATGGTGGATGCGTGAAGTAGTACTCGCGGAAGACGCCGAAGCATGCTGGAAATCCTGTTTCTCGTTAGCACGATTTGAACAGGTGAGATTTGCCCTGCGAAGAATGCGTCTTGTACCCCAACTAACAGCTTCTATGATGCTCGCCCCAAAAAGAAACACCCACGCCGCTCGGCCCTCGTCCTGCGGCGGCCACCCATCACTCACGGCCTCTGTGAGCGGTGATGCTGACGACACAAACGTCCTCGACGACTCGCTCGAACACCGCGAATCCAGGTCTGGTACCGACAGGCCCCCGATCGCCTGCACTGAACTGGTCTTCGAGTCGCGATAGTATCGCACTAATAAGCGCTCCCCCATCTTGGGTGAAGTCGAAGTTCTAGGGACGAGGGGAAGAAAAACAGAGCGAAGCAAAAGGCGCAATCACATTATCGAGCGATCGTGATTTCCATTTCTACATCCATCCCCGACAAGATATACAAATGAGCCATCGGACTGTGGCATGCGCGATTTGCATGCCGAGGTGGGAATCTGGAAAATGTTTCCTGACCAGGGAACGTCATATGCACGTTGGCGACATTTGCAGAAAGCAGTGTCTAGATGTGCGTGTCAGATGGTGCCGGGATTCGTTGCACGGCGACTCGGATGGGCCCAGATCGAAATTCTGGGGCAGCAGAATTGTGCATTCCTTAACCCCTGAGCCGGATGCAGGCCGTGTGTATTGCCGGTGATAGGGCTGAAGCTAGCGTGAACTGGCGGTAAACCAGTTGTCAATGGAAAAAGCGTCTTGAAGATTGATTAGTATGGTAGGTTGCAAGGTCCTGCAATATCTTCCTTTTGGACTATATCTGAAGGTGAATGGTACTTGCTTCCCTGACCTTTGGATATTGAACTCTAAAGACGCCCGATATCTCTACTCGCAACGCCATTCATCGATATAGATCTACATAGTGTCTCACCGTCGCAAAAGTGACCTTATCCCCAAACTAAATCTACCCATAGAATGGTCCATATTGCATATTCAGAATTATATTATTGGAGCCTCGCTGATTGCAACAGACATTGGTTGCATCATTGAAGGAATTGCGTACGAAGTAGGGTCAGAGACTGTTCTCGAGGCCTATCGGTTTATTTGGGTGTGCGGAATAATTGAATAGATTCTGGCGATCATTGTCCTCGATCTCTAACGTCCCAACTCTGGTTCTTCCGTGTCTCAAGCTCAACGGCCATGAAGACTGTATTCATAGTATCCACGCATTCGCCAGGCATTGCGCACCACTGACTGACCTGATTTGGATCTAGACATATGCCTGAGACTCACCAATGCCTCTAATGTGATGTATTCTGACTCGAAGTCGACCTAACCTGTTCCTGCATCTCAATGCTGAACCTTGAGATCACGCATCTTGTCCGAGATGCTAACAGCCCAAACTGTTATATGATACTGTCTCCTTTCTGTTATATCCCTATGCATTGGCAGAAAAGTTATCAAGGGCGTCTTGCGGGATCCTATAGGAAGCGCTTCGGATTAGCGCTGGATACTCACGAAACTGTGACAACAATCGAATTGAATTTAATTCTGCGTAGTAGAAACTGGGCCACAGGTCCTTGATAGTCACCTACGCTCGCTGCCGGGTGCTGTACTCTTCCCTACCACAACACACCTTCAAACTCCTCTAGAGCGAAGTACATAAGATGCGCTGTACCATGCTGCCTAAGGTTACCGGTAATAACACCCCATATCAGTCTCTCTGATGGTACAAAACTGCCCCAAGGGCATTGAGAGAGTAATGTTGGCGTAAAGAGCCGAAGGCGAACACAACACAGTCAGGCAGCTTGTTTTCGTAATAGCAGCAGTGTTCGTGTAGGCGCCTTGTACCCATTAAGGCTCTGCATAATCAGAATGCTCATAGTCTCAAGACCGCCGGCGCAATGAACCTTCGGAGACATGATAATTCGTACCAACTGACGATGGTGGTGATCTGTGTAGTGACATTACTGAGATTCTCGTCGACAAGGTCTGCATTCTCACCTGAGCCTGTGATATTAGGTACTCCTGTCGAGCCAGTAGAGAGCTGAGGTATTTGTAATTGACATCACGGTCGGTCATGTAACCGTTATCACCGTTTGCCTCTGAGCAAGATACTCCCAGCCTTTCCGTGTCGCTGCATGTGATAGTGAAGTCTAAGAGGGTCACAGATGTACTATGTCTTTCTATCCTACGTCTTTTTGCCCTATATATACTCCGTAATTACGATACCTTTCATTAACGAACAGTGCTAACAGGTGCCTTAGGTAGCCGGTTGGCCGAATTCCTTTTTGCGTTTTCTTTTTGACCTTTTGTGTTTGCCCCTACGTGTTCGAACCTCAGTGGGGGCACTTACTTTTACTCTTTCTTTTTTTGCTTTTCTTTCACAATAGCAGAGAAGAAACTGATGTTTCAATTTTGATTTTGCCTCTACGCTTGGCTCAGTGTCCAAGATACAGGCCTGAGTAGGTGCAGCGTGCGTACATTCACACTGTGCGCTCTCTAGCTTGTAGAGATGTCAGTGACGGAACAGTGCGCGGCGAATCGGAAAGAGATGTAATAAGCGTTGATACATGAGTCTGCAACCCTGCACTTAGCTTCTCTCGACCACGACACAGCATAACGATCACAGGGGAATGTGTTAGCACTGGAGGCCTTTCTACTACCTGGAACAGTGAGACCTAGGAGCACTCAGATCTAGGCCTTGGAGCTGCATTGTATTATACTGGGATAGATAAGACTATTCAGAGATTACGTATAGGAACGCGGATAGATCAGGGCAGCTGAGGAGATTCGAGGGCCATCGATCTACCCTTCCCAACTATAGATTGCAGGTGGTGACCGTGACAGCCCTTACCATGGAGGCCCCTATACGCATTGTTGTATGCCCACACTCATTGTTTTTTCGATATTGGATACAATTCCAGTACAGGAATATAAGGCAATTGTCAGAATTACTTTCTGTCGCGAGCCATACCATGAGATTATGTATCAAGGGGTGACAACATGCTGGCTAAGACCAGTAATATGTGCAACTTAGGTATTCTCTCTGGTGATATCCGCTGCGGTGCATCAAAGTTCCGTGATTCGAGGACCTTCGATTGATGGGTTTCAAACGTGGCCACCCAACTCCACAAAAGCGCCCGGCCTGCTGGCCTATGATTTCGCAACCAAATTTCTCGCATTGCCCGACTTCAGCGCTGCAGCCGCATCAGCCAATTTCGGCTTCACCTGGACCCCTCTTGAGATCTGTATCTACTACCACCAGAGCTATTCCTTGAGCCGCTTGCGTACCTCTCCGCGCACCTAGTAAAAGGAAATAATCACCAAGGACACCTTTCAGCTCGTCCACAGAGCCCGTCTGCAAGATCTGGACTCCTCTGAGGACCTCTAAGTTTCCGCGGTTGACACAGGCTCTTTCAGGCTCTGCCCTGCGGATACATTTGCTTGTTGGGGGGTCTACACCGGCCAAGCAAACGAGAATGGCTCAGTAAGTACTCTTAGTGGCGGCGGGGTCTCGGACAATTCAGGAACTTGGTTAATGCCATGTAGATTAAAAGGTCTTCATATTTTCGCACGAATTTAACGTACAGCTCGAAGAAGAGTGTGCCGCCAGTTTGCAACTCTGCAGGATCCTGAGGGCCATCTTGTCCTGCGTCTGTTTGTCAAGACGCCGAGCGCGCATACACCTTTACCCCAACACTCACAACAAGGGCATCTCTCAACGAGTGCAGGAATCCACGACGGCATCGAGCTCGTTCATTATCAGGGAGCTAGAGCATGTAATTATCGATGCTTCTGCACATTCAAGTAGCAGGAACAGTTATTCTTCAGGTAAACTCCAGTGGGGCGCAAATATTGCGTGATGAAACCATGCGTTGACTTCAGAATGACAGAGCGCAGCCGATTTCGACGTCTCCATCGAAAGACCTTAAGCCCGCGAGAAAACATGAGATCCTATTGACCGAGACGGGGACATTCAGGAATGTAATGGGAAGAAATGCGATTTGTCAGAAGATGATCGGCCTGCTTGCTGCTTGCTGCGTCCAGAACAACGGCAACTACAATGCAGGATCGGCACAGGAAAAGATTGCTGCTGCCACCACCCATGTCCTGCTGCAGTTCATACATACGATAGAGTGACCTGCTACATATCGGAAAATTGCAGAAGCTTACAAGCAGACAAATGAATTCTCCACGTCACTGCTGGCAATCTCCCCAGCGGAAAAGTGCAGAATGGCTACATCACACCAGGGACCTTGCTCGACGATCATTATCAAATCACACCGGGGTCGGAAGGAAAGGCATGCATTAATCTAGAACCGATCTTAGGGATAACGGCAGTTGCATGTCTCTGGCTTGTCAAAAGCTTTGAATCGAAGGGTCTATCTAGCATGGCCGCTCTTGGATACTGTCTTGGCTCTCTGTCCAAACGGGGATGTGATATGAATTCAACAGCCTTTCCCACTTTCTGATCTCCATTTCTATATCCGGACAGATGCTTCTACATCTTAGCTTTCCTTCGGTGCGCACCATCAGAGGGTCCTTCAGCGCGCTCCAGAAGAGGTAATAGCTCGATTGTATCTCTCGTTTCCAATGCGACCGTTTCAGTTGCTCTTCCGCCTAGGCTGTACATAAGTGACAACTTCATGATGAACACTCATCTTTATCAACATGTTCGGTGTTTATCAGCAGCTGCTTTCGGGCGTAAGCCATATCTGTTTCATCAAACTTGTCAAACTTGACAAGATCAGCTCTGCACCGCTTGCTAATTGCTCTATACCCACCGCCATTCCCCAATAGGACAGTCTGTTCCGTCCCAGCATGTCGAATCCTGATCAGGCTCATAGCTTTGAAAGTAAATTGCGTCTCAGCGCCACATGGCAGCCAGCGGCATAAATCCAGGCCGCCTCCGCACAAGCCTACGTTTGTCTTACAAGTATTGTCTGTGGTTAAATTAACCTTCGACCACCGGTCCCGTTGTGGGACTTGCATAACCAAGTTGGGTTGGTCATGTCAGCCATGGATGCAGGGATCAAATAGCGCAACCAAAGATGGACCCCCTACCACCTACATGGTAAATCTTTTTGCAGAATCAAACCCAAAAGTTAAGCAAAGATAATGTACAGCTGCACACATCGTTCCTAAGACTTGATTCAAACTGCACGGTTTCCCTACTTCTAAATTACCTTCAAGAGGACCTTAAGGAAGACATGGCGGAAGCAATAACAAGAATGCTAACCAACGGCACCATCCCAATGGGCATGAAAGAATCGACCACTGCTGTCCTCCGCAAAGAGAAGAAGGCCGACTACTCGCTACCT